TTGGTTCCACTGATCAAACTGTTTTGGTAGCCACTTCGATTATAGGTAGGGTTTCGCCAGAATCGATACAATAACAGTCAGCAGCACCACCACCACCATTATCACAAACGCGACAAGCGATACCATCTTGAGCTCTAGAAAAATGCGACTGCTTAGCAAGAGAGAACTTACGAAACTGAAAGAAGCAAAACAAAATAAATCAAATGATGTTATGAATGTGATGAATCAGAATCAGAATTGCTTGATCAAAGCTCCAGCAAAGCTTTTTCGATCGCACAGCCTCTCCCCTCCATTCAGATTTAAGCTTGACAAAATTAACTTTAGAGGTATGGCAACCCCCTACCATAAATTGCCATCAAAATATCCAAAAAGAAAGTGTAACTTTTGCCATGAATATAAATATGTGTCCGGGGCACGTTCCGGATGATGGGAACTATCCCAAGAACCCACGGACGGGCACGGCCACTGGCACAGGCACGGGCACGGGCATCCTCTAATGGCTAAAATATGAAGCCTGAACTCTGGCAAGGGTGAGGCGTTTTTTGAAAGGAAGGAATCTCCCACCGAGTTGCAAATTAATTATAAAAGATTCCGCTGCCAGAAAGTTAAATATTTTTGGCCCCACCCCCCCAACTTCAGCTTCAGCATCAGCATCAGAGTGTGAGGCGTGTGGGGGCGGAAAATAAGTTGCCAGCAACTTGACGCACATTTGTCACACGCCACCGTGGAAAAGGGGTTCCGTCTACAGGTGTCTTGCCACACACCCCTCCCGTGCTCCCGTGCTCCCCCTGCTCCCTTGCTCTCTTTAGCTCTGTGGCGCTCTTGCGCTCTTGGCTGCCGCTGATATATGGCTCTTTGAAATTAGTCCAAGTGCAGAATGTCTGAGCGGTGTAAAAAATGGCAAGAAATTGCGAGAAATTGAGAATAATTGTAGAACTTTGTCAGGCTGTTGTCGATGTTGGTGTTGGGGGAGGGTGGAGGGTGTGGCCATACGCTTCGAACTCTGAAGTTAATCGAAAATCACTTCATCTAAAGGTTTGATAGAGTTTGCGAATAAAAAATACTTTGAAAGGAAACTTGTAATCGTACTTGTAACCATACATATACTCGTACAAATTTCATGGCCGTATCATGGAGAAATCTGAGAGGAATTTCATAATATTTTTCTAAAAATAAAAATCATTTGGATTTACGCATAAAAAAAGACCGATACACGAGCACTAAATCCTTTTGGAACACCCACAGCATGCATATGTACATAGTTCATATTCCAATTCATAAGGCATAGGGCATTCTTTTCATATCATTAATAAAGCAATTGAAGTGGCTTTAATTTGCTCTAATTTCGTAAGATTGATTGAAGATATTAGTCGTGTTTCTATGTAATTATCCACAGGAAGTGATAAGTACATAAATTTGTGTATAGCACAAAATGCATTTAATGCAATCCAAAATGTTTGCCCCTCATGTTCCTGTGGTCCTGCGTTACATATACACTGAGAAAAAATGTATCTAATTTGATGAAAATTTCTTGAATTTTAGAACAGTCCAAAAACAACAAGTAAACCGAAAACACAGCGGGACTCGTCACTCAAGCGACATGTTTGTTGTTTGTTAAACCATTGTGAGGCGTTCTCTTTAGCAGCTTTCGCTTTTGCATCTCGAGTCGAGGATTAAAGCCCAGCTTGTAGGTCGCCATTGTAATTTTATTTAATTATTTATTTATTTATTTATCATAGGAACTATGTCCAGCTCTTTCCTTGCTGTGTAGCCCCATCGAGGGTCAGGCTTTGGGGTGCTGAGTACTCAATTAGCATTAATGAATCCTCTAGCAGGATAATGCCTGAACAGTGTAGGAGTGTAAGTGGTGGAGTGGAGTGGAGAGTGTACACTGTGCAGCTCAACTGGATAATTGAATTAATGGCGCTCTGGCGCTGCTGCCTCAAGTTGTTGTTTGCTTATTAAGCTAATTGTCTTTATTAAGGCCACCTGCCTTTGCCATTGCCATTGCCTTTGCCTTTGCCTAGTCTCCTTTGTGACGGTCCGAGAGAGTCGATGGCAGGCACTCTTAGACTCGAGTTTCTTGCCATTCTCTCAATTGATCAAATGCACTTTCCATGTTCTCCACCAGCGACAGCAACAATGGCTCACGTCGCAAGTCATCTGCAGCGGCAGCAGCAACAACACAGTGGAAGCAGTGGCAGCAGTGGCAGCAGTGCAGCAGTGGCATCATCGTCTGCATTCTAAAATCACACAAAACATTTTCCAAATGCGAAAGTGCAGTCAAAGTCGTGCAAAATGCAGTGCACCGCCCTCCAGTAACCTGCCACACAACCCCACTCACCATCCTCCGCTGATCATCCATTTAACAGACCTGGTATACCATTTGGTATACACTTCCCAAGGGTATTTACGACCGAGAGAGCAGTTTTATGCAACGCATAGAAGGGGGCGTCATACTCCTAAAAATCATCGTCTCTATGTTCAAATGAAATTATATCTTTCATATATTCATTCGCTTTTTTTAGGGTATTTTACAACTTCGGTATTCGGTCTTCGTTTTCCTCTCCCTCCCTCTAGTTTGCTTTTTTTGTGCTTGTGCAGTCAGCCGTTGATAGAGACATTGCAAAAACAGACAATAGCAGAGGCTTAGTGAGAGGAAGAGAGGTGCAGAGAGAGTGTGAGAGAGTGAGCGTACGCGACAGAGAGTAAATTCCCCTCATGCTAGTATTTTCTAACAGTGCTTTGCGCTTTGTCTGCTGCTGTTGCTGCTGCTGCCAGGAGGAATTTGCAATTGTTGCTGTTGCTGTTGCTGTTGTTGTTGTTATATTTAGCATCGCTTCCCAGACGCAATTTATATAAAGTTTAATTGATTGGAAAATCAAATTGATTCTATTCGATTCGATTCGCTCAGCAAAGGCAACACTAAAACGACTCTGCGGCCACAGACACGCAAAGATATTACCCATAAACCCCAATGTCCAGACCAGGTTATGCTCTCTGCTCTGCTCTGCTCGCTTTGCTTTGCTTTGCTCTACGACTGCAAACAGAATTTGAGCGTCAATGTCATTTATCATGACGGTATTTCATTGCATTACGGAACATGAACAACCGCTTTGACACGGGATACATGGCTAGATGGGGATAAAAACAGCGAGGTGAGGGATCAGGAATAGCTGCTTAAAGTGAAAATAAATATTCTTAGTTGGGAATATAGCCAAAAGATGCCACACAGAACGAGTAAGCGAAAGGAGTTGGGCACAAATGAGCAGCGAGAATGGAATAAATCTCATAAATGTTAGATATTTTCTGTAACAAGTGAAACCACAGAAAATGAACTAAACAAGGGGAGCGAGTTAATCGAACTACATAATTATTCCAACGAGTATGCCAGGGAGTTATTATATAAACTATTCCAACAAGTTATTCTAATAAATTCTTCTTACAAGTCAATTATGTATATCTATAAACGAGTAACGAATACCTATTATAAGCGAGTAACTAGTAAACTAGTAACGTGTAACCAGTAACCAGTAACGAGTGCATGCAAGTCATCAAATGAGAGTGCTAATATGCAAGTAATAAATTTACCCCTGCAAACGAGTACATAATGAACCAGCAACGAGACTGCAAACAAGTGCAAACGAGTAGGTAATCAGGTAACGAGTTAATGCAATGCAATCATTTACATACATTATCCCCACCCATACTGCAGCAAAATACAGCCCCCTTCCGACTAAGCGGACCAACTTTTAGCCATTGCATTTTATATCCACTTTAGTTTTAACTCGCTCTCGTATTTTCACAATTGCTTTATTCCACTAGTGTTATCTAGCAAAACGGAGTTGAATAAACTGCTTGCCCAACACAACACACACCCCAGCCACATCCGTTCAAGCGCTCTCCAAGTGGTGCCCCCCTCTAACGGAGAGAGTGGCGGCAAGCAACAACAATGCACGTCTGTCATTAACAAGCAGCGCAATACCTGTTTAATTTTTATTGTGAAACTTGCCACAGAGAGACAGAGAGAAAAAGAGAGAGCTCAACTTTTCTCAATCTCATCTGCCACCCAATGCCGGCACCCACTCATCGTCGTTGAGCGTTGAGCGCCAATGTCACTGGTCGAGCGGGGGGTGGGTGGTTGGTCGAGCTAGAACGATATGTTTAATGGCAAAAGCAATAGAAAAACTTTTGCGTATAGCAAAGCAATTCAATTGAAAATAATTAGAAACGTAGCCAGTCAGCCACATGGCGAAACTTCTTAATTGCCCGACTATTGTGCGTCGGATGGCGAATACAAATAGAGGACGGGACTGTCTAAAGGGGGGGAATGGTGTGTGTGCTCCGAGAGTGGAGTACAGCAAATTGCATTATGCATAAGCCGACTACGACAGAACCCCCCCCCCCCCGCACGTATCGTAAACATCTACGCAGAGCGAGAGATAGACAGACAAATCCAAGATATACCAGAATGAGAGAGAGCATACTCTCTCTGAGCAATATGCTCAACCAATTTGTTGTATGCTGATGCTCTCTCTCTCTCTCTTTGAACAGAACTTTGTTGCTCTCGTGCTTCCTACGTAAACAGTCTGAGCGGGAGAAGAGACTTTTGTTCGGCGCTCAGCAGCTGAGCATTAAATGAGCGTTGCGGGAATGGATCCACCTTGTTTAATTTCATCATGGGTCTCTCAGTTGAGCAAAGAGCAAAGAGCGAAAAGGCGAAGTTGGAAGGGTCTTTTCGATTCCGTTCTTGATCTCGTGTGCGTGGTCAACCGGTTTTTTGTATGACTGCCTGCAAGCAGGGATCCACTCCAGTCCACTCCATGATGCAATTACACAAGGTGGTCATTGCCTCTCTTTCGGTTCTTGTTCGTACTCGCGCACAAGCAATCACAGCGCAGTTTGAAAAGAGAGCGCGTGGCGGCAGAGTGGATCCACCTTTTATGATTTCACTGCGTGCGAGCTCCTAACTTCGGAGTATATATAATCCATGCTGATATTTTGAAGCTCAATCATTTTGAACTCTTCGCCCTGACCTGACCATGTGCCACCATCATCGTCTGCATGTTCTGCTGCTGCTGCTGTCGCTCTTCAGCTTTGCTTTGCTCAGCGGTAAGCAACGAACTCTACACATAGATTCCTCTATTATTCCATTGTATTCCCTTTGTTTTTTGTTTTTGTTTTGGCAGTGAATAGCCTGCCCTGGGGTGGACCCTCATCGAATAGTCGTGGCTCCAGCGGCGGACCCGCCTGGAATGGCGGCCATGAGGACGATCCCCGCAACATCGTCCTCCATGCGAATGGCAACGGCAAAGCCCACTATGGCAAGGGAAACACTTACTGATCTCAACGTGGGCGGCGGAGGCCTGACCAATAATCCAATTAAGATTCATTTCGTCCCGCAAGACAATGAATAATTCATTCCGATTCTTATTATATATGAATTTGTAATTAAGACAATGACAAATTCCATGTATGCTCAAAAGAAATATAATTGGCCTCCCAAATGATATGATTTAAAGACTTCACAGCTCCCCCTCTCAGTGGCTATGTGCTAGATGAATCCATCAACTGATAAGCGCCACCAGAGATTCAGCGATAAACCCAGAGAACCTTTCGGGTTGGGTTGGGAATTCTGGTTGTGAAAAACCCCACAAATAATCGAAGCTGAAATGAAATGAGGCACGCAGCAACGAATAAATTATGTCTGGCTCAATAATTTGGCACGCTTCGCTTTGGCAGTTTTTTTTTTGTGGACTCTTGTGTGACTCATGGAGGCGGCACCAATCGTTGCAGCGAGTGCCTCCCTCTGCGATGATCGGCAACCGCAAGTCGTGTGCAAGCGAAATAGCAAAACAAATAAACAATCGCCCGCGTTTCTGGCAATTCCCGGCGATTGCCGGCGATTGCACCGCGCTGACCTCCCCAGTCCTATCTTTTCATCCGTCCGTATACGCTAGAGTCTATACTCTGCATACACCCTATAGCCTATATTCTATAGCCAATAGCCTACGTATGCGGTGAGTGCAGCAATTAAGTTGCGAGAACGAGTATGTCAGAGCGGCGATGAAGTATAAATAGCTGGCGCTCGACTCGCCATTGAAATAGTCGATGCAAAATGGGCTTGGGTAGAACTTGGATGATATTGGGGCTAATTGGCAGCGTCGCCTGCCTGGCTAGCGGTAAGTCACATGCGCCATGCTCAACCTCACCACACCACCCCACCACCCCTCACATACCACAACCTTTTCAGCTATGCCCCAAGGGGCGGATGACCAGCAGATACTGCGCAACAAGGGGAGCACCTACCTCTCCAACGGAGCGGGACAGATCATTAGGGGTGCCGATGGGAAGACCATTTTGATCGGTTCCGATGGCCGTAGGATCATAGCCGATGCCTCTGACTCCGAGGAGGATGCCTCCCAGGACATTGATAGCTTCAGTTTCCAGAACGGCGGCGGATCGGGCGTCTCATCGGGGGCAGCAACAACATCGTCATCAATGGCGGACAGTCCAGCATCATCACGAGCAATGGCAAGACCCTGCAGTACGGTGCGGGTAACATCAACTACAGCGGCTACAACGGGCACTCGATCACCGTCGTGAATGGCGTCATCACGCTGACGGAGGGGGGCAAGCAGTACAGATTCGAGGCGAAGCCGGCCAATGTGGAGAAGCGGGAGACGATTGACATCAACGGCAAGCCGGCCACAGTGCAGTACTCGAACGGCGATGTCATTGTCGAGCTGGCCGATCAGACGGTGATCGCCAAGATCGGCGATAGCTCCTTCATTGGTGATCGCAACTCCTTCGAGAATCGCGACAAGCTGCAAGCGGAGGCCAAACAGTATGCCGAGAAAATCCAGCTGCAGGTGCAGGAAGACCTGAAGAACATGCTGCAGGGGATGAGGGAGGAGCTCCAGAAGACTCTGGGCAACATTCGCATCTAGGCGAGTGAGTCCCCTAAAGGATCTTCGCTATGTACACATGTACATATGTATGTATGTAAGCATTCAGTAATGAAGTTGGAACCACAATAAATGTATCTATATCTTTGTTGCACCAAATGGGGATCGCTGATCGTTTGATTGGATTTTCTATGCGAGCAAAATTCAGTTTGGTTTTCTATGGCAGCCATATGGCATAGAGGTTCGATTGCTGTCTATTACTGAGCGAAAACTATCTGCATAATTGCGTTAATATATATAAAAAATTGAGAGACCAGACGAGCCAGACGGACGGGCATCAGATGGCTGTTGCTGATCAATGAGCTTCAGGCCGTGAAATTCAGGTCTCTGCCCCAAGCTATTTCAGACTCCAGAATATTTCAATTAACTGATAAGTTCTAAGGAAATTAAATCCTTCTGCGCGTGTTATTTATTATTTATTTATATTTTTGTTGTTGTAGCAACAATGTAAGAAGACACAGACACTCTCCAAAAGCTCGACCCAATTTGCCACGCTTCGCTCTTCCCAAAGTGACTTCATTTGTGTTTTAGTAGATCCAGCGACGACGTGCTATAAATAGCTGCAACTCGACTTGCCATTGAAATAGTCGCTGGAAAATGGTTTTGGGCAGAACTTGGATTATATTGGGGCTTATTGGGAGCATCGCCTGTCTGGCCAGCGGTAAGACATCTTCCACTTGAAAAGGATTATCGTCCAAGGAATGACTCTCTGCCTTTCATCACAGGTGTGCCTCAATTTCTGGACGCCGAGGATGATGCTTTCCTGTACGACGACAGTCTGAGCGATGTGGGAAGCAGCAATGGCCAGAAGTTCGCTTCCTCCGCGACTACGATCACGGAGAACGGCCACACCTTAATCTATGGCACGGGCGATAGCAACAAACTCACCTACAATGGGCATCGAATCCTCGTGGACGATGGCAGCCTCACGCTCTTGGAAGGCGACAAACCTTACGCGTTCTTCCCGCTGGGGGCCAGTGTGGAGAAGCGGAAGTCAATCAAAATTAGTGGCCATCCAGCCACAGTGCAGTTCTCGCGGGGCAATGTGTTTCTGTATCTGTCCGATGGGTCGGTGGTGGCCAAGATCGGCAGTGCCTACTTTGTGGGAGATCGCTATGCGGTGGAGCATCGCGACGCGATGATACACAGGGGCAATCTCTAGAAAAAGACTCAAGTCAACTGAAAAGTGACTCAAATAAATTAAACCCATTGCCCCCTCGAGTCGTGGCCGTCATAAAAATGCTAAATATTTACTGTGAAAATACAATTGGGTTTTCCCGCTGAGCGCGGCAGGTGGAAACTATTTACTGGTATTATTTATCTGAGCCGATGCCCATTCCCTTGCCATGCAAATTTTTTTTTGCCAGAGCTTAGCTCTGTCGTCTGTCTACTAGTCGCACAATAATTCCCATTGCCATAATTCCATGTGTGTGTGTGTGTGTGTGTGTGTGATTGATTGGCAAGCAATTCTGCGAATAGCGGGATTATTATTGAAGCTTAGAGATGGACAAAACATTGATGCTTCACAGTTGAAATTCCTTATGCCATAACTCTACGGATTTTTGTTTATTTTTTTTGTTTTTTTTTTTTAATTGTATGTATTTAAGTATATTTAAATAATTTTGTACCATCTCTAGTACAGCCACAGCAAAACATTTTGTATTTTTTTTTGTGATTAAATTATCGCATTGATGACTGGGGCTTGATACTGGTGGTTAAGTCGTAACCTAACCTAACACTTTTTGTTGAGGTTATGTTTTTTCCCACGGCGCAGCTATTTCCAACAATACAGTACGAACTATTGGATTTATGCTTTGTTCTCTTTTGCTATTAATTTTATATTTTATAGCGAAAGCGAATATGTTGGCCGCATGACTATAAGTCGGCAATGACCGGATACGTTCAGTTAAGTTTTTTTTTTTTTTTGGTGGACAGCAAAACATGCCATCGACTGTCAATTGTGTGGCGTACAATCGAAATACAGCACTGTAACCACGCGCGACTGGTCATACTTTGCCCTAAATTTCTGGTTTATTTTCGTGCACAAACTTTTGAATGAATGTCAAAGCGCCAAAGCACCAAAGCACCAAAGCATCATCATGAGCTTTCCTCTGACCAGCGAGCAACTGGCCGCCTGGCGCACGCAGTTCTACAGCGAACCACGGAATCTGCTCGCCCAGAATGTGTGCACGATGCACGATCCCTTCAAGGTTTGCCTGTGCTCCACGTCGGAAGTGGGACTGCTGGCGCCCAACAAGCATAAGGTGACGCTGCAGGGAAAGCTGACGAGCGGCGGCCCCGCCTGGATCACCACGGGACTGAACCTGCTGCGCCTGGAGTTCTCCAAGAGCTTCCCAACGCTGCCCGCGGACTTTGAGTTCTCCGCCGGCCACCTGGTCTACTGGCACAAGGTGGAGCGATGCAACTACCTGCTGCACGCGGTGGCCGAGCATCTGACGCGCTGCGAGCCCGTGGATGGGCGCAAGTTTCGATACCTGATGAAGCATGTCGTGCCGGACGGCGGCAACTGGCAGATGTTTGTGAATCTCGTGAAGAAGTACGGCGTCATGCCCAAGCAGTGCTATCAGACAACGGGACGCGTGCGCCAGCTGAATGCCATACTCAGGAGCAAGGTAAGCATATCACACCCCCACCCCCCTGAAAGGTATGCCATGCCCCCGATTAATCGCGTTTCCCCTTTAGCTGCGTGAATTTGCCAGCGTGCTGCACAATCGCTTCATATTCGATGGCGATGGCAGCGCCCTGCCCGCCCTCATCGTCGAGGAGATGATGCCGCAGCTGTACAAGGTGATCAATATCGTGCTGGGCGAGCCGCCGCAGGAGTTCAGTTGGATGTTCAACGACTCGAAGAAGCGCTACCAGTGCCTGGAGCACTTGACCGGTCCCAGCTTCTACGAGGTGCTGCTGAACAAGGAGCCCGATCTGGATGCGATGGTCTGCCTGGGGCACGATCCGCGGCTGTCCTCGAGCTACCTGTCCAACTACGAGGTGGAGCTCAGCTCGAATATGGTGGGTGGCCAGCGGCAGCGGTACAACAATCAGTCGATGGACGTGCTGGTGCCGATCATTGTGGCCTCGCTGGCCGGCGGCCGGGCCGTCTGGCTGGTCCACGACGTGCAGACGCAGGTGGAGCGCGAGGGATTGGCTGACCTTCCGCTGCTGTTTGGCCTGGAGGCGGGCAAGCAACTGAACAAGGCGGAGCGCATGATCTACAAGGAGACGCGCCGCAATCGGGTGCTGCTGCTCACGAAGGTCAGTCTGGATGCCGAGCAGCAGCCGCTGGAGTTTCGCACCAGCGTGCCCTCGGACACGTGCACGTTGACTGCGAGCCCGCCCGAGGCTAGGGCTAGTCTGCAGAGCGAGGAGGGCATAAAGGCTCGATCGCAGAAGGCCAAGGCATCCCTTTGCATCAAGACGGACTGGCTGCGGGAATACGCCTTCGAGATTGTCGTCCACTCGAGCTTTGTGCCCGAGGATGTGCTGGGTGCCGCCACCAGAAAGGAGTGCAAAGAGCTGCCTCCCTGGGACATGATGGGCGGATTCCTTGACTGATTGCTGCCTTTATTCGATGCGTTTAATAAACCCCACGTCCCCGACAATCACTCGGCCGTCCACATGGGCTCCAGCATCGTTATCTGATCCCTGTAGTTGAAGCCATAGCGCGTACCAATGTATATCCGCTTTGGGTTCTTCGTTCTGGCTATCACATACTCATCCTGCGACGAGTCCTCGGGGGGCAGCACCAGCAGCACAGTGTCTCTGTGGTGCTCCAGCGTGGTCGTGTCCTTGTAGAATTTAATCTGCTGCTTTTGCTCTGAGCGCCGAAAGTAGAACTTGTAGGCTTTGCCCCGTCCCTTGGTTATCTGCATGCCGTTCATGATGGCGCACACCCTGAAGTCCTTGTACTGGCCGCATCTGTTGATGTTGCCGCGCATGTAGATGGCGGCATGGAACTCGAAGGGACTGTCATCGTCCGGATGCTCCTCCGGTCGGCTCAGAGATTGTCTATCGCTCTCAGCGTCTATCGAATAGTCCGCTCCAGCGACTCCACTCGCCATGAGACCCACCAGCAGCAGGCAACAGATTTGCATGACTCTTTCTGCCTCCAGTTGGAGTGGAACTGTGTCCAGATCCAGTTCTGTGGGGAATGTAGCCGCGCCGAGCGGCGCTCAAAGCGTATCCAATGGATTCCATTTGCCAGTAATTACCGTGTGGCGCATCTTAAAGTGGTGTTCGTGGGGTTCGTTTCCTGTTAATTCCCACAGCGTTGTCGTCACCGAGGCGCGACCTTCACTAAGTTTTTTTCCTTACGTGCCTCGCATGCCTAATTAGGCATTACAGGGGGAGGACTACCCCCCCTCCCCCGACGCCACGGGCAACTGCCTTTTTTTTTAGGACTTAAGGGATTTGCGCGCCGGGAATTTGGTTTTTGACTTTGCATGGAAAATGGAAACAGCATTTATATTCGACTTAAATGTAACTTTATTTTGTTGGCTACTTAATTTGCGACAATTTAATACCGTCTGTTGCCGTAGTAGGACGGACTTGCGTAGCTGTAGCCGTACCCGGGATAGCCGTGCCTGGGCACGGCAACAGGCTGCAGCTGCTGCTGCTGCAGGATAATTGGCTGCACCACCACGGGCTTCGAGAGCAGATACTTCAGCAGATGGCGAGGCTCGCGTACGAGAGCATCGTCCTGGTGCGTTGTCGCCGCCACTGGCGCGGCGGATCGCGAAATTGCATTAGCATTGTCGCCAGCAGCTGGCTGATCAGGATGTGCGCTGTGCCGACCAGGAAACGCCACCACCAACACGATGGTCAGGCTGCTGAGCAGTAGAAAGGCAACGAACTTCATCCTGCTGCGATTTGCTGGCGAGTGAACTGATTGCGGATCCCAGCGCAGCCTTAAATACACTGGAATTATACACTGGCATGGACAGGTAGTCTGTCGCCTGGCAGGTGCTGCTACCTGTTCTGTACCACCCCCGACAGCTGCAGGCGATTATCCTTTAGGGATTAGAGGATCCTTCCCAGAAATATAGCTGAGGGTAATTTGATTTTTGGAATGCTTGAAACTGTTTTATTGTTCGCTTGGTTTTTCTCTCTGCCCCTCGATGTGGTTCCCATTGACATGCTAAAACGCCCAACTACATGCTTACATATCCGTATATATATCGGCTGCACCGTTACATCGGCGGTGCTGGTATACCCTCGGGCATACCACCGGGTGGTGGCGGAAGTCCAGGTGGAGCCTGACGGCGTTGCTGCAAAGCGGCAAAGTGCCAGAGATTGGAGATCAACAGCAACAGATTCGAATGGCGGGCTGTACTTACCCTGAACTGCTTGGGCGGCGGTGGCGGCTGCTCATTGGCCACAGCACGACGGGACTGGAAATACGCAGAGGGAAATACAATCAGGGATATTCCCTGCAAAGGGATCAACAGCTATGGGGCTTGGTGGCTTACCCTGAACTGCTTGGGCGGCGGTGGTGGTGGGTGCTCCTCATTGGCCACAGCACGACGGGACTGGAAATAGAGAAAAATGAAATTAAGGATATTCCCTGCAAAGGGATCAACAGCTATGGGGCTTACCCTGAACTCCTTGGGCGGCGGTGGGTGCTCCTCATTGGCCACCTCGTGGTTCAGGTCGCGGGCATGGCGTCTTGCCTAGAAGGAGGCATTTAACAAAACGTTGCATTAGCAGGGCTAACTAAATTGGCGACCCGCCGCCATTGCAGCGCCCTCTGTGGATCGAGCTGCTCCATCGCCCTCCTGTCTGCCGGCGTCTCTTTTGGGGCCAAGAGCACTTAGGATTCGTCCAGCCACTAGCCAAAACCAAATGCCACTTACCCGCTGAAAGAGGTCCGTGTGTTTGGGTTCCTGCGCAACAGGATAAAGGATTACAAATCATCCTCGTGACAGGCGGACAGCCACCGGACTCACCTCATCGCCGTGTCCCTCGGCACCGAACAGCATCAAAGCCACAACGTAAATAACCAAAACGGCACAAAATAGCTTCATTTCCGAGCTGTCACGTCCCAATAAAAAGATGCGCCAGAGAACTCAATTGTTCTCCACTGTACTGCGATTCGATGCGAATCGGTGGCTTATATACGATATACGATATGCTGCCTGCCCCCATTGGGCCCCTCATGGGGCTTGTACGGAATGCTTATCCGTAATCTTGTTAGCTGCAGTACTCGAAAACATGTTGATTGGCTGTTAAACCATAGTTATTAGCAGATTTAACTTGTAGATAAATGGAAACATGGCAGTTGCAGCTTCGGGGACGTCGATTGCATGTGCCTAGTCAGAGATGCCTCCCTCAGTGATCAGTGTCTATAGTCTGGACTCTAGAGAGTGTTTTCTTTGAGAGTGTTTCCATATCAAATAATTACATGTATTTCTTGCTAGATTTTCACCTTTCTTAGCGTTCAACAAATTGGTTTTATAGCTGCAATCTCCGTCGTTCCATTACATAACAAATTCCGCCATTGGCTTCACTTCACTTCACTTCACCCTTTTCCTTCTTCCGCTGGACAAATGTGTCCCTCCAAGGTGGTGCCTGGTGGCTGGTGGCTTCTTTCCTCAGCTATTTTTCATTATTTCCGCTACTGAACGCCACAGCGCGTCCACGTTTGCTCTAAGCTTTGCATAATTTTGAAAATTATAACGCGCTTTGATGTTGTCTTCAAGGCGAAACAACGCACATCCTTGGCTACGTCCAAGTCCAACTCAAATATGGCAGTGCAGGCGACAGAACAGCCAGAGGAGCGACAGCGACAGCCGGAGACAAAGGAAAGTGTAAATAAAAGCACAAAGCTTCAACGGTCCGAGGCTTAGATACCCTGCCAGTTGGATTCGTTCTATGATGGAAGTCAAGTACAAGTGCAATAAATAATAATAATCTATAAAATGTAATAAAATAATAATAAAATAAAATAAAAAAATATAATAATATACATATAATATAATACACCATAAGTAATAAATTCTAATTAATTATAATCATTATAATAAGTAAGTAATAAATTTTAATTAATTATAATCATTATAATAAGTAAGTAATAACTTTTAATTAATTATAATCATTATAATAAGTAAATAATAAATTTTAATTAATTATAATCATTATAATAAGTAAATAATAAATTTTAATTAATTATAACAATAATTAATTATAATCATTATAATATATTGCCTTCTTTTTGGTAATATTTGCTTACTCTGAAATCGTATTGTTATGGAATATGATAATATAGTTATGCTATCTGGGTCCCATTTTCATTTTGCCTTGCTGCAGGCAGCAGCTGTTGGAACGATCTGGTCTAAGATATCTAGCCAGTTACCATTACAAGTTATTCTAATAGTTTGCATTTCTCTCTCAAATAAAATACTCTTCTATGGATCCAGACAGCCTTCTGCTACAACAATCTCTGCTCGAAATCGTTTTACCCTGTGGCAGTGTATCAAAATAAATAAGCGCACTTTTTTCTCATTTCCGTTGCTTACTTTGACGTGTTTAGTTTTTGATGTGAAACATTCTCGCACGCAGAGGAGACACTGGGTGGAAATAGAACGCGGGGGGTGTATAGCGCAGGGGGGAAAAAGAGAGCCAGAGCCAGAGCGTGGGAGAGGGACAGCGGCAGGGACAGGGGGCAAATGATTAAATTCGTCATTCGGCAACACGGACAACGTGAATCCCCTTTCCTCAGGGCTTGGTGTTCGGTCTCCTTTCCTGTGAGATGATGTCTTACCAAGGCACTCCCTCTCCCTCCCCCTCTCTCTCACACTGTCCCCATTCGTGTCTCTGTCGCCGGGGCGGCTTCCTCTTTTTGTCTGTGTGCGAAACTTTTCTCATTAGAAAACTTTTACTATTTCCGCTACTCAACGCCAAACGCAAACAACAAACGACAAAAATGGGCAAAAATACATAAAAAAAAAAAAACAACAACAACAAAAAAACAGCATTCGGATAAAAGACAGAAATGCGTAAATTTGTTGTAAATAAAATGTTTGATGCGCCCAAAGCCTTCGTGCATTTTCCCGTGCCTCAAGGCAAATGCATTTCTATTTGGGTATATAAAGGATGGAATGGGCTGGCCATTTGCTGCTCAAAATATCACAGAAAATGAGCATGGATACTGCCGACAACTGCCTCAGGTATGTCTCATATCTGTCATATAATTTGGGTGGGTGAGGCATCCTTTACGGAAACCAAATACATTTGACTTGATCGATACCATAACCTGCTCTCAATAGACGCCACAAAAAACATCCACTCCACTAAGACACATCCTTTGAGGCAGCAAAAATCACTAAAAGCCCAGGAGCTACAATCTCCCCAAGGATACATGCCGGGGGCAAAGTTGTGTGTGCTCCTTGGGCTCCTTGGGACAACAAATGTGGGACAAGGCAACAAAGGGCGGCTCATAAAAATTGTCTCTTATTAAATTGTCTCCCCTCTTGCAAAATCAATAAATCAGAAGGAACAGCGCGGCATGGGTGGTGGGCGGTGGGGTAGTGGGTGCAGCTTACCTCAGTTTCAATTCAACTCAATTCAATCAGATTTTCTTATTTGATTTTAACTTTACCTCGCGACCGACTGTCTGTCTGTCTGTCTGTAAAACGGAGTGGAGTCCTATTTGGTGCCTTCCTGTTGCCTGAGTGCCGACTGCCGACTTCTGCCACTTCTTCCTGTTTCCTGCGCTTGCAGCGCACTTCCTTCGAGTACCTAGAATTTGCTCTAATTTGATTTTGAACGGCAGCTTCTGCTCCGGCTCCTGCTCCTGCTCCGGCTCCTGCTCCTGCTCCGGCTCCTGCTCCGGCTCCTGCTCTCCTCTGCCGATTTGCCACGCTGTCATCTGTCATCGCGTTTTTGAGTCGCCAAAATATTGATTTCCTGCAGATAATATTCCATATTTAAAATCAACTAAAACTCTCTCAACTCTAGAGTCTAGACCCAGAGAGGGCAGGCCAATGCTCGATATTCTCCCCCCTGTTGATCCCCGAGAGAAGTGCCGCAGCCTAATGGCTTGTTAAAGGCGTTCTGCATAGGAATTGAGCAATCACACGCTGCACCATTAGCGGCCCATAGATTCACAAAAGCTGACCATTTAATGCGGCATAAGTAGCAAGTGAAATTAATGCCCGGCTGTCCCCAATTCCCAAAGTGCCTGCCTGGCCTGGCCTGGCCTGGCCTGGCCAAGCCATGGCGCTAATGCAAAACATAAACCAGGCGAAGCGCCTCGCATATCGATGCATATTCAACCATCGAGCAGGGAGCAGGGGCAGAGAGCAGGCAGCAGGCAGCAGGGAGCAGGAGAATGAGATACCCTCACGCCGCGGCGCCTGTCAGTAATAAGTTGAATGGGGAATGGGGGAATGTGGGGGGCAACATCACGTCCTAGGGGCAAACGAGAGCATCACGAACCGGATAATGATCAACGAACTGTATACGTTTCCGCAATCGTAGTCAAATCGACAAACATGCACACAAAGTGCAACGGCTGCTACAGCTCCGGCTCCTGCTCCTGCTCCAGCTCCTGCTCCTACTTCTCTTCCCTTTCCATCTCCATTTCCATTTCCATGGACTGCTGCTACAGCAGGTCCTGCTCCAGTTCCGACAACTGTTCCTTGCTAAGTCCTTGCTGCTGCCGCTGTCACTGGGGACACTCTGCATCGGCATCGGCATCGCCATCGACGGTATCGAAGCGAAGGCCATGGAGCTTTGGCTGCTGTGGCCCAAGCAGCTTATGCCGCTTCAGTGACGATGCCAGCAGTCTGCCGCACCCCACCCACCAGCCTGCCACCACTGCCTGCCCCCCCCCGTTTGAATATTTTGCATTATTGATAAACTGCTTTCTCGTAGTCGTCATCGTTGTCGTGGCAAGAAATAAAGCAGCGGCAAAGAATATTTATGACACTAGGAGCACAAAAATATGTACATCTGTACACATCTACTCGCTGGCAGTCAACGGAGCAAACCGGAACAAACCGGAGACCCAGCCCGGCCCAGGCACGCCCCAAAGCTCGAAACGTGTCGGGCATTAAGCGCCTGAACGTGTGTAATAGGACGTTCTTCCAGGACAGGCCCCTCTACCTATCTGCCACAGGATAATGGTACTTTTACAGACATTTGCTGGCGATACATTGCGCCATCCGATGGGGCAAGTTTTGAGCTACAGAAGATCAGCTTTGGGCTTGTTTTATATGCCAGACAATATAGCATTATTTATCAGATACTATATACCTTAGAATCAGCTGTAAAAAGCTGTATTCTTAGGGCATACAAAAGTCTCCAATCAGCCCAAAACTGCCTGCTGGAAATCCATGCACTTTTTGGCAATTTTTGATGGGAAAAGACAGATATGGAGAGATGGCACAAATGAAAGGGCGATACCGGCGCCAATGAAGCGTTTAACTGTGTGGCGTGGCGTGGCGTGGCGCAACCACTGCGCAGCGCAATGCCAGGAAATGCTGCAAAAATTATAAAGGTACCACCGCAGCTCCCGCAGCAGTTCAAAAGGCATTTGCCAGACCAATTTGGCCGTGGCTCGCTACTGTGTGCTGCGCTGTGCTGCGCTGTGCTGTGCCATGGCTCGCACGGCCAACACTTTTGACGCACACAGTCAGTGCAAAAAATAGTCGGACGATGGACGATGGGCGATGGACGATAGACGTTGTAATTGCATTTGCTTTGTTGTTGCTTACAAAAAGCATGCAGCCATAAAGTGGAGAGAGGCGAGAAAAAGTTAACGAACAGCAGCGCCAGCACGGCACAAAGGGACACGGAATAGAGTCCAGAAAGGCAAGTATATATATATATGTATATAGTTGATATTTGGACAATAGGATACCTTTTTCTTTGGCATCGTATTCCCACCCTAAGTGCGAAAGAAAACTCTAAAGTGGCGACAAATCGGAAATCAAATGGGAATAATTCTGAGAAAATAAATTTAGAAAATAAATAAATAAATTTCACCGATTGCAGTGTTGTTTATAGATATAAATTGATCAAATTATAGTCACATATATATTTAAAATTGCAGCTGCAGTGCAGAAATTATTGTGCTGCTGATAGCTGCTTAAATAATCATCCGATCGTGATAATATTCATGGGATTTGCAGTCAAAAACTGTAGGATCTGTCTGTTTTATATAGCACATTTTACAGATGGACCCACCATACATCCGAGTATATCCCAAACTCGAGATCGACTGACTGTTAATTCTTGTTCTTGCTGTTAAAGATATTTGTATGCCCTTCCATTTTCCCAAGATACAGGGTATGTGTAAAACAGTCAAATGGGCGTGGTCAGGGGCATTGCGTCTGTCTGGTACGCACACATCACGTAGCGAAGTTGCCGCAACTAAAACTTCATCAATTTGCCTTGCGAATCCTTGGCAACTTTTTGTCTCCCTCCCTCTCTCTTTCTCTCACTCTGCGAATGCGTCTGGTGGTTGGTTGGGTGGTGCAGTAAGTATATCCACACCCACACACACACACACACGCAGCTGTCCAGTGCATAAAGGACATTACATCCCATGGTTTTTGGTTTCAGCTTCATTTTGTATAATTTTTGCAGCGAGTCTCCTCTGCTCCATCCGTCCATGCATCGTTCGCATCGCTCCATTTTGTCCATTAATGCCTGGCATTTTATTTATGATTAATTACAGCGTTTAAAAGTCCATAAATTTGCTGTGGAAAAATGCATTTTTTATTGACGAAAATAATTAAATACGTCACACCCATAATGAGAGCAGAGCGGAGCAGAGTCCCAGGGACACAAGGTAGGACGGACGGACGGACGGACGGACGGACGGACGGCAGCTCAATAAAACATGAATTTACATTAAAGAATTTTTGCATGCTTTTGATTTAAATATCCATTGACTTGATTACATTTACAGCCAGGCAGCGCAGCGCAGCGTAGTGCAGCAGAAAAATAATCATTTACTCTCTGTATTTATTTCCAGAATAATTAAACATTTTGCAGCTGCTGGGCAAAGACTGAACTGGCCGAGAGTCGAGCTCTGAGCTTTGATAAGCTTTAATTATTTATTAGTTCTTTGTTATAAGAAATCCCAGTGAGAGAGAGAGAGCGATGCTAATTCCTTTGATTGTCATAAATGGAAACGACAAAGGCCCCATCGTCCTGCCGATAGCCGAGGCCATTGTGCATCACATAGGTCCAGAAGTACAGGGTATCGCCCAGATTCAGCACCGTCTCGCGATCCCGAAACGTCCAACGTCCCCGCTTCGCTTTGGGTATATCGCGGGCCCACCGTCCCGCCTCCAGGCCATCGAACTCCTCGTTCACCTTGCCATGGAAGGCGAACAGAGAGATGCCCTCCGCATCCGGTATGGAGACCTCGAAGCCCTTGGGATAGAACACCCGCACACGGGCCTCTGGCACCTCGTAGGCGTGGCCCGACCAAGCCACCACCGATAGCAGAGCCAAACAGAGCCAAAGACGAGCCATGGAGCGCGGAAGCAGTGCTGCGGAATCGAAGCTTCAAACAGAACTGGCCAGAGGGCAACTGATCTTCCATGTCTGCCCTGCAGCTGATAAGCTTGGCTTATCAATATCAGAGAGAGAGATTGAGAGAAAGAGAGCGGGCGGGGGGGACAGAGAGAGGGAGAGAGAGTCTCGAAAGCTTTATTTTGGAATCATTATCATTCCCGGGCTGCTCTCAGCGACAACAGACAGTTGGCCATGCCTGAGAAATATTCACACGAATCGTATGAATCGGCTAACTCGGTGCGGCAGTTGTCCACGCTGTCGGGCCACGACTCCTGCAGGGCCTCCGCTTCCAGATACTTCTCCATGTGCAAATGCCCAGATTTATCCAAAAGCTGCATTTCGAACAGTATGCAGGTCGCATAGCACTTGACTGAGCGATCCAGTTCACTGGCATTCCAGTCCTTAGGCCAGTTGTCAATGAATGATCTTTGCTCCTCCGGTGTGGTGTAATTTTGACTGCGACAGGGGTCATAAATGGAAGAGTTGCTCTGCGTATAAATGGGCGAGTGGAGAGTGGAGAGTGGAGAGGAGTACCCGCAATGTATTCGAAGATCAACTTACGTGGGCACTGCCATATAAGAGCAGCAGCGAAAGAAGCAAAAACACAACTCGAACTGGAACCGACATTTTTTCCACTCGAAATGTTGCCTGTACAGTGTACACTCCTACTTATAGCAACTATTTGTGGGTACAATCTGATATATATATATATGTAATACAAATTACTGGCACTATTCGCTGTCTGGACAAAAGGGTGAAATCCGATTACCAATTGAATTCTACGAGTACTAATTGGGTGGAAAGATTATTCAGCGTATTGCCCCTCCATTCGCCCGATTGAAATGACAATTTATATTGAAAGCTCTTGGAAATTTTATTTAATTTGAATGCATGTTAATACTTGCAGAATGCTCAAGGATGATACTGTCCATCCTCCACCTCTCCATGCTCCGATTGGGCAGCCAGGGCGAGGCGTTGTGCCTCCTGCTGCGCCCCAATGGCCGCATGCTCCGCTGCGATGCGCTCGAAGGCGCTCAGATGCTTCTGTGTGGCATGAGCCACAGCGGCGCTGGCGTGTGGAGCAGCTGCCAGAGACTGCAATGGAAGGCAGAAACAAAAGCTTCAGCTCAGTGGCCAGTTCTACGATTATACACGACGCGAGCACTCACCGCTTGGCCGGGCGTGTGGCTTGCATGCTCTTGCGCAATGCGATTGTAGGCCTCGAAGTGTCTGCGCTTGGCTGCCTTGACGGCGGCACTGTCCTCCAGCTGGTGGCTCAACTGCGGATGGAAGCCGTTCTCATCGGCCACATACTGGACGGTGCGCACCTGGTTCTTGGGATCGACGTAGGAGAAGGCGCCACGGATGACACCCGAACCATCGGAGACTTCCGTATGCTGGCGATCGACATGGCCGGGCGCCCGTCCAGCCTGATAGCTGAACACATACGGATTGGCCGGACTGTGCGTCTCCAGATGCTGCTGGCTGTTGACCAGGTGAGCCACATCGCTGGCCACTCTGGTGGCGCTCAAAGCGCATACGACCTTCGTGGGCAAAAATAATGATTGAAAAAAAAAACCAGGAAGAGTGGGCGCCCGTTAGGTCATTGTGGCTGAGGCAATCCACTCCCACACCATCGACACCACAAAACGACTCACCAAAACGATCATCAACTGCTTCATGGCCATGTCTATGTCAGAGTCTCGTCTTGAGTTTGGTAACTTAACGTGGTGCCGCCTGCCGCTGCTGTTGAGCTTCGAACGGTAACTGAAACCGAGTTGGCCAACAGTTCATCGTCGTGGAGACGGACCGACCCCAAAAACAGGTCTTTGCCTGACGAGCCACAGCTAGCTTTCCGAGCTGCGCCAAAGCGGGAGCGGGAGCGGGAGCTTCGTGGTGATTCCGAAACTTGTTTTCAACATTTTTGCATTGCCTCCCAACAAGGTAAACATTTTGTTTTTGACATTAAAATCGAATAAACAAATTAAATTATTTCGAATTTTTAAGTATTTTGTTAGTCATTCTAGAGTTGAGAATATTGCACCTTAGAATCGATACTAGAGGGACGCCTAGAGGCTAGACAGACCCTGGAGAGTAGGAACTATTTCATAACTTAGCGCGGAATAAGTACAGTGTGTACATACATATGTACAGTGGTAATACAGTTTAGGCCAACTCTGTCATCGTTTGGGCAATCCAATCGTTGTAGTCCGAGACTCTCGTATAGACGCCCGGGAACATGGCATTGGCACAGCCCATGCCCCACGACACAATCCCGTAGAGTCGCATGCGTCCATTGATGCTGGTGACCAGCGGACCACCGGAATCCCCCTGGCAGCTGTCGCGACCGCCCTGTGGTGTGCCAGCGCAGAACATGCTGCCTGGTCACGGTGCCAGCGCCAAAGTAGTTCCGGGCACACTGCGTCTGATCCCGCTGCTGGACAACTGTGTATCGCAGGCGCTTCTCCGGCTGCATTTGGGAGATCGATTTGCTGCCCCAGCCGCTGACAAAGAGCTGAGCCGATGGCTGGATGTGGTCCTGCCTTGTGGCCAGGACAATGGGCTGGATGCTGCCGCTGTAGACGAGCGGCTGCTGCAGCTGGATCAGCGCAATGTCGTTGTTCATGTGCGTGGGCTGGTGGAACTTCGGATGCGGTACGATGCGTTGGATGCGAATGTAGCTGCCGCCAGTGGTCCAATCGCTGGTGCCGGCTCGGATCACATAGTACTCCGGCTTGCTGTACTCCAGCACACAGTGGGCGGCGGTCAGGATGTGGGTGGGCGAGAGGATGGCGCCGCCGCAGCCATGCCGCGTGCCCAACTGCAGCGAGATCTGGTGCGGAAAGTGGACAATGCTCGTCTCCCAGCCGCCCACAATGCGGCCATCCTGCTGGCCAGCGGTGATATTCAGCGCCTGGCTCCCCGCCAGCCAGATGCACCAAAGCGATATCTTCCAGAGAAAGCTAATCATCTTGTCTCCCAGATGTCGACTGTGCTGGGCTCCGCTGTGGCCCGCCTTCTTATAGCCGGGCATCGTGTCTATGCTTATCTTATCTCCTGTTCGGCAGACGCACTTCTTCTGGCAGTCACGGTTTTTGGGTGGCCTTAGTCAGGGTCAGGGGAAGACCTTGTCCCCTGGGCTATCTTTGGTATTTATGGAAATATTTATGGAGGGCAATGCGAATGCGAGGGCTTGGATAGATGATAGATAAATGGGTGCCTGGTGTGTTGAGGTGTGGAGTGTGCTTCTAGTGCCTAGGCTTTTGCTCTTCCAATCATCTTTCCATGGCCGTCACCTGCTCCTTGAGGTAATCCAAATGATTGACACTGTCCTGCATCACATCGTACTGATAGCCAACGTGCTGCAGGATCAGGCTCATCTTTTGCAGATTCTGATTGCTGTAGTCCGACACCACATCGACCTGCGTGAAATTCTTCAGCGTCTGATGCATAATCTGAAGGAGAATGAGCACCAACTGAAAGTTAAGCACTGCCATGAGAAAGAAAACAGGAATTTGGTGCTTACCTCATTGGATTTGGATGCCCGCACAACCTGTCGTGCCACAGAGCCTGCAATTTTCACAAAAAGTTTACAATTTTCATGAATCCTTGTGTCACCTTGAATCTCACCCAAATTATTCACGTTTATTCCCACGCGGGCACACAGGCGCTTCTTGGAGTCATCGAAGAGGTGTCGGGCACTCGAACTAGATGCAGATGCCATTTTATTAGTCAGTAAACACTATTTCAAATGTTAATAAACTTTGCGAAAGTTAATAAAAAAGTCAAGGCGAACAGCTGATAACGTTACGATAAAATATACCGTCAGCCCCTCAAAAATATACCCAAATATAAAATACCCTACAAATATACCAAGGAAAATCATATTCATCAATTTGGATATTCGATTTAATATTACTAGCTGGTTAGAACTTTAACAACTGTAAATATGATTTTATCAGATAGATGAATTTATTTTCTACAATCTGGCTTATTTTAAGAACTCCGATTTATTCGATTACTTATAAAATAAGGTTTAAACCAAGAAGCACAGCAAACATGTCTTTTTTACATGGTAACTACACGCTAATTACACATTTGCTACATATCAACGAGTTATTACGGGTACCATGTAGAGTATCATGTATCAAAGTTAAACGAATTTTTAAAATAATATTTAAAAAATGTAAAATACTTTTATTCAGTAAATGGAGAATAGCATGTTGATCAGCCCGATCTGTTCCTGTACCTCCTTCTAAAGCAATGGTTCACATTCGGCTTGATGCCCTGGCAGCGGTTGTTCCATGCAACCCAGGCGGAGAATCCCTGCTGGCGCCTGATGTACTTGGCACAGGCAATGGAGTACCTGATGTCGTCGCTGAGCAACAGGCGGCAGGGCAGACGGCAGAGATCCGTGGAGGGACGCCCGTCCGCCGGCTTGCACCAGTATCTGTCGTTGATCTGGAAGAGGCCCCAGTCGACGGAGCCATCCACATTGGAGGGATTGATGGCCCTGCTGTTGAACGAGCTCTCGCCCTCCACAAGGCACAGCCAGTCGGGCAGCTCGCCGTAGGGCACACCATACCGATAGAGCTGGCGGGCCAGGCTGCATCTGCCCACCTGCCGGGCGCCGACCAGCGATGATAGCCACGCAACCAAAAGCCACAGCAGCTTCATCTTCATCCCAATCTTAATCTGCGTAAATTGTGGGCCGCTCTGGGCTGCAGACAATGGCTTTTATAGCCACAAAGCGCGCGTTCTGTTCTGAATGATTGCCGCCGCTTGGGCCACTCAGACGGACAGCTCTGAAGTGGGGCCCACACTCGAGCATAAATCATGAGCACTGGACGGCAAAGTGGGCTAAGATCTCCAATGGAGGGGGGGTAGTGAGGGGGATGGCTCATCAGTGTTACACATTCAAGTTGGACTTTCGATTATCGAGCGATCCAGCCAGTTTTCGGTGATATATGGAGTGGGAATTGTGTGCCATTTAAGGCCGAGATCATCTGCCTAAACGACGGGCCTCAGTTTCAGTTTCACTTTCAATAAATTCTTTTGTTTACCTCCCATCTGGTATTATATAACAATACTGACAGCTGCAGGGATGGGGTGTAGGGGTGGGGGGAACACTCGAGATTGCGTCGCGTGTGCTCCGAAACAATTGTGGAGAAGTCATTCAACTTTGGGGCAACAAGTTTCTTTCTTGTTCTTTGACAAAGTTCGTATAAAAATATGCAACAAATACACACAATAAAATATCCTAAAACATATATAGAGATAGTCCTGGGGGTTATTATCGCACGTCCTGCAGCTCCTGTGCTGGCGGATATTTGGTCTCGTCCCGCGCCTGTTCCGTGGGCTGTTGGTAGACCTGCTTGGGCAGGAACTGCCGCTTGCGTGAGATGGGACGCACCAGGATGTGGGCCACACAGGTGCAGATGGCGACAATGGCAAAGTACTTGAAGCTCTCCCGTCCGCCGAGTCGCTTGAACATGAAGCCGCCGATGAGAGAGCCAATCGAGAAGCCCAGGCCATCGTCCATGCCGGCCATGAGACCTTGAACTGTCGCGGAGGTGCCTGGCGGCGCCACAGCCGACGCGTAGGCCACGATGCACGTGTAGCAGAGGGCATAGGTGATGCCCTGGAAGAAGAGCTCGACGCCCACCAGGTACCAGGGGTTCGGTATCCAGGCAATCAGCGACAGGCGCAGCGCATAGAAGAAGAAGCACATGCTCATGCAGTGGACGTAGCCGAGCTTCTTGATGATCTTGCCGCTGTAGAAGAAGAAGGGCACCTCGCCGGCCAGGCACTCAGCGGCCACCACCAGGCCCTCGATCAGCTTGATCTGATGCATGTAGCCGGTCTCCTCGGCCACCTGTTCCACGTGCCAGAACATAAAGTAGATGATGAACGAGTCGATGATGCCCGCCACGGTGGCAAACACCAGAAAGACGACAATCGGCGGCTGTCGCACCAGTTGCCACACATCCGCCGCAATGGACTCGGAGCCACCGAGCTTGGGCAGCTTCAGCTTGGACACGCTCGCCAGATCCAGCACGCTGAACACGCCCATGATGATCAGGGCGGGCGTCAGGCTCTTGACGGCATCCGCGGTCCACAGATCGACCACAATGCCCGCCAGCAGGGCGGTGGCGCCAAAGCCAATGGTGCCCCACACCCGCTGGGCCCCGTACTTGTCCTGCTCCTCGTCGCCCAGCAGATCGAAGCAGCAGGCATCCGATATGGAGTTGGTCACATTGAAGCCAATGGTGCCAATGAACAGCAGGCAGACGTACAGCCAGAACTTGCCGCTCCCATAGATGCAGCTGTCGGTGTGCTGCAGCAGGCAGGAGACGTTCCCACTGGCCAGCGAGCCCGCCTCAAGGCTGCACATGTGCAGGCTCTCATTGCCATGCTGCAGGTTCTGGCTGAGATTCAGCCCCGCCACAATCAGCGCCTGAAAGCCGTCGCACTCCGCCGAGTGCACCGTCTGGCAGTAGGCGGGAGAGGAGAACACCTCGGGGGGGCATTCTGCTGGTGCATCCAGCAGGGTGACATTCCACCTGGCACTGCCCTCGTCCAGCCGTATGGCATGGTTGCTGCTGGGCAGAAAGTAGAAGCCAGCATAGGCCAGCGTCATCACCAGGATCAAAGTCATAAAGATGAACTTGCGCAGGCTCTAAGGGGGAAAGAGACATTAATGGGGTTGGGGGGGGGAATCGTTCATCTGGAATGGAGATCCTACCGTGAAATAGTCGGCGAGGAAGCCCACCAGGGGCTTGGCCAGGACATACAGGATGGGCAGGACGGCCATTATGTAGCCCATCACATCCGGCGGGATGCCAATTTGCTTGCCAATCACCGACAGCTGCGGCAGTATGGGACCCATGGCTGCGAATAATCAAAGGGCCTTTAAATGGGAATCTCTGGCGAGGAATCCTCTGCACACTTACCCGCCATAAAGAAGAAGAAATGCGCCTTGATGGGCAGCAGGCGTCGATTGAGTCGTACCATTGTCCTTGCTGGTCTACAATTGGCAAAAATGCTCAGAAATATATCACAATTTTAAGGCCAAGTCATGTCTTGAGTGAACTTCGGGGTTGGTTGGGTGTCGGTGTCTGGTGTTAGCCAGATAAGTTCATATTCTGTTTGCACTTTTCGTCTTCGACGTTTGTCGGCTGTCGTGGCTCGGGGCTCGGTGCTCGGTGCTCGGGGGGAGTCTGTAAATATCAAGTGATGTGGATGTAAATTAGAGGCCTGCTAAATGCGATATCTAATCTGGGTTTCTGCCAGCCAGCGATAAGCCAAACCTTTCCAGACACACACCACAGGGAAAAGCTTTAATCGGCAGCATAAAAGCCACCAGATAGAGACACGGAGCCAGCATAGGAACCATCGCCTGCCTATCTGTAAGACGTTGCCAAATCTTATCTGTAGATGGTAAAGATTTTAGGGTCCTATTTTGGAACCCAGGGCAACAATATTCACTTGGTCAGTGCCAACGTTTAGGTGTACGTATTTATAAACCGGTTTACAGACCCCCACTAAGCCACAAACACAAACTTGACACACACAAAAAACGCCACTTACAAATGCCGGCAAAACGAATTGAAGGTATTCCAAGTTAATGGATTTGCCCAAATAGATAATTAATCAAGCCCAAAAACACACACACAAATTAATGAGGGATTCACAGGGTAAAGTGAGAGCAGCGATCGAAGGCGAAAACAAAGAGAACTGGCAACAGCAGCAGCAGCAGCAACGAAGCCATAAAAGTGCTGAGATTTTATTTGATTTGATTTGACTTGATTTAAGTTGTTAGAATCGCAGAACAATGGTTTCACATTCTCAGTCATAAATATATAATTATGTAGATTTTTATATTATTATTTCACCACCCACTCTACTCGGAGATCAATTAAAAAGCCCTGCGACGCCTGAGAGCTGCGGGCGAACGACTGAAGAAAAAAGTCGCTGGGCAATCGCATTGCAGTCTGTGCGGACAGTTGATAAGTCGGCTGAAGCGATAAGGGAATCAATTATAGACATACTAAATGTTGATATAGCAAACATAAGTCTGGGCGGGGGGGGGGATAAGGTGCGAGTCTATGCCTCCCTGTAGGCTGGTATGTATTTCCCCAGATGCGAACGCTAATCGATCTGGCATATCCAAATCCCCGCCTGACTCATCCTCATCATCACCACCATCCAGGGTTGTGCGTAGTAGAGCTCTCGTAAGATCCGATCGGTTGGGAGAATCCAAATCAAAATCAAGTTTTACACGACACAGCTGACCAGCGCGGACAGCAGACAGAGCAGGCTTCAGTCGCCGCTGATCTTCCATTCGGTTCGGTTCGGGATTCAGTCTGGCCAGAAGCTTAAGCATTGACTCTTACTCATATTTATATAATTTATAATTTATAAATAGTTAACTCACACCCGAGTGACGACAGTGCAACAAATTAACTTAATCTCGCAGCCTCTCTACGCGGCCACTCAAGTGACAATTAACCAGCAAAAATCTCAATCCACTGCGACAAGTCATAATTAATTCAATATGCAGCTGCATTTATTTACATTTATATTTTATGTGGGACTGTTGATTGCGGCCTTCTTATCAACATGCGTGGCTGTGGCACCGCCCGATGATGGCAAATGTAAGTTGATTTAATGCCAGGGGGCGTATACAGGGGGCAATGGTTCTGGATCTGGAAATGAAAACAAAGGAAGAATTATGCAAAGCTTTAGCGAAAAATCAAGAGTATAAAGTACCCAGAAACCCTCTAATTAACTAAGTTTACTTGGCATATTCTTGTAACTCTTGAACGCCTTCCTTTTCCCTCTTTGATTTTGCATTTTTCGCCACTCCATTCCCAAGCCAAGAGAGAGAGAGAGCAGCTGACCTTGGGTTTTCCAGTTTCAGGGTAAACAAAAACCCGCTAAAGATAGTATCAGGCAACTCCCTCTCCAACCTAAAAGCCGAATCCAAAAACTTGTCGCCAGGCGACCTTGAGGCGGCTGCTCCACTGCCCCAAGACTCCGGAACGTTGCCAGCACTTTGCGGGCTTATGCGAATTCGGAGAACGCATCAAAAACTGCAAAAAAGTTACCCAGTCCCGACGCTGATGCTGATGGGAATTTATAATTGAACAAGAAATAAGCCCCAGAGCAGGCCAGAGGCAGAGTAGATATTCCCAGCAAACTGCATGCGACACCACAGCAAAAAAATGGACAATAAATAAATAAAAAAAACCCCTAAAAATACGTACGAGTCGTACGAATCATAATTAATGCCTAGATGGTTGGTTGGTTGGTTGGTTGGTTGGTTGGTTGGTTGGTTGGGCGGGAACTGGTTTTTTCGTTGGCGTATTATATTAAGTATCTATGCTAAAGAGTTAGCCGCTAACTGTCAATCTTTTCTTATTGCTTTTTAGTGCGGGTTTGTGTGGTGGAGTCGCGCGGCAATTATCGGAAAACCCCCAAGTTCTGTCCACTGCTGGAGGCCAAGAGCAACATCGAGTGCGTCATCGGTGTGGATCGGCTGGACTGTGTGCGGCGCATACACAAGGGCACGGCCCACTTCGGTGTGCTCACGTCGGAGGATCTGGTGGCGGCGCGCTGGGCCAGCGTGGATATTCTGGTGGCCAGCGAACTGCGCTCCCACGAGTCCAACTTTGAGTACGAGATTGTGGCGGTGGTGGACAATCAGGCCGATATTCACACAGTCCATGATCTGCGCGGTGCGAAGCTGTGCCATCCCGGCTATGGCCTGGGCGGCCACTGGACGGAGGTGTTGGCCAATGTAAGTGCTTCGGACACCTGGACACATGCTGCAGGTCATAATTAATTTCTCTGTGCAGTATTTTGAAGCCGCTTTGGTGTCCAAGACATGCGATCCAGAGCTGACCGTCACTGAGGATCGGATTGCCGCCTCGTCGCGATACTTTGGGCCCAGCTGCAAGGCTGGTCCCTGGGTGCCCGATCCCAAGCAGGATCGCATCCTCAAGAGCCGCTACCCCTCGCTCTGCCAGATGTGCTACGATCCCTACAGCTGCGACCAGAACGACAAGCACTGGGGCCGCCGCGGCGCCCTCTACTGCCTGACCAGTGGCGGCGGCAGCGTCTCCTGGGCCCGTCTCGACGATGTTCGCAGCCACTTTGGTGTGAGTACTGGACGAATGACATCCTAACGGCAGTTTCCTCATCCTCAGATGACTCTCTGTGTGTTTCAGTTCTCGGGCATAGCGGCGCAGGCGGATGCCTCGGAGTACAGCTACCTCTGCCCGGATGGCCATCTGCAGCCGATGAATGTGTCACAGCCGTGCGTGTGGGTGGCCAAGCCGTGGCCCGTGGTGGCCGCACGTCGCACCCATGCCGCCCAGGTGCAGCGCCTGGTCAGGGGACTCACCCACGACGAGCCCGACAGCTGGCAGACTGCGCTGCTGAGTCTGCTGGGGACGTACCACGAGTTCACGGTGCCGCTGGACAATGTCATACCGATCGACGATTATTTGGACCAGGCCACGGCCTTCCAGTCGGCCTACAGCTTCCCCGAGTGCAATCCCCCGCGCTCCATTGTCTTCTGCACCACCTCCATCATTCAGCACATCAAGTGCTCCTGGCTGCAGGAGGCCTCCCAGGTGTACGGCGTCCAGCCCAACATTCAGTGCGTGCGAACCAGCAACGTGGAGCAGTGCCTGGACGACACTCGCTTCCGGGTCACCGATGTGGTGGTGGTCGATCAGGAGATGCGCGTCAAGGCCCAGCGGGACTACAGCCTCGTGCCGCTGCTCTACGAGTTCGCGCTGGACATGCACGACCGATACGTGACCATCGCGCTGGTCCACAAGGACTCCAAGTATCAGCAAATCAACGATCTGCGGGGCGCCCGTGCCTGTCTGCCGTCCTTTGAGGGCGCTGCCCATCTGGCGGTGCAGGAGGCCATTGTGAATGCCACGGGCAGGGTGCACTCGCTGCACTCCTTCTTCCATCGCGACTCGTGCCTGTGGCAGCCGCAACGGGGCCGGGAGTGCCCCATGCACTACCAGGGCGATGAGGGGGCGCTGCGCTGCCTGGCGGAGGGCGGAGACGTGGCCTTCCTCAGCTCGGATGTGTACCAGAAATACGCGAGTGGCAACATGACGGCCGACTGGGTGATGCGCGGCAGCCACAAGGACTACCGTGTCCTCTGTCCGTACGGCGGCGTTGAGAGGCACTCGAACTTTAAGTTCTGCTACCTCCATTGGACGACGCGTGGCCACCTGATGACGCACAATTCCTCGCTGGCGCGTCGTAACGAGATCTACAATTCGCTGCGCGACATGGACCAGCTCTTTGGCAGGAAATACAAGAGCGAGACGCGCCCCTTCACCCTGTATGGCATCTTCGACAAGAGGAACAATATTATGTTCCGGGACACCACGGATGGGCTGTTGGGCCTCCAGGAGCTGCACCGGGACAATGCCAAGCGGGTGATGGAGCACATCTACGATAGATATGCCACCACGCAGTACTACAGCAGCAACAATGAGAGCGGGGCACAGCGAAACAACAGCAATTTCCTGCTTCACTTGCTGTTGGTGGTCCTCTGGCCGCTGTGGCGACACTTTTCTTAGTCAAGAGCACAAATCCGATCTTATTTATTAATGTGATATTACGCTAAAAATTGCTTTAAGAATAATATAAAGTCCAGACCTGTATCACCCAATTCAGTTCTTTTATTTTTTAAAATACAGTTTAAATTTCGATGGAAGCTATCGAAAGGGCAATCGATTACTCACCAGTTGCATACGGGAATTGCAGCATTGGCCAGCACTGTGCATCAGCTGTTCATGTTATTGCTGCTTTTTTTTGTTATTGTTGCCATGCACTTGGGTTTGTTGTTGCCAGGGAAACAGGAAAAATTTGTCACAACTCAAAAACAGGATATTCTGCATTGCAATTGATTAAATATACGTGGCATTTGGCATTAAACTCCATTCACGGAGCATTTAAATTAACTATTTTGGAGGCATTAGCCGGTGTAAAATGTCTAAGACTGCGTCGCGTACCAGCAGCAAGACAAATGTGAGACGATAAGTACAATTACTAAGGGAGCACGCTGAACGAATAGGCTATTAATTGATTAGTACTCGCATGCCGCTGGTGGCTACACTTTTACAGATTAGTTGGCACTCGAGAGATATTCACAAGCAGGAAGCACATTTACGTTTTATTCATCGTTCCACCTGGCACCTTGGTTATTTTTGCATTAAGTTCGCAGCAGATGCACAGCTCCCACGTTAGCACAGACACACACCCGCATATTAATAATGCAGAGGGTTTTTATTAATCAATTAAAATGAATTAAAGAACGAACCGATCGCACCTCGACACTTCTTTTGTTTGGATTAAACCAGTGCTGTCAGATGCACAGCAGCCAGTGTTGCAAAACTGTTAAGACCACATTAACTGTTAAAATTTGTAATTTTTTAGCCACGAAATGAATTGCCAAGAAAAACTACAAAATCGCCGGCTGCCAGCGGTACAGGCGCAATCACCAAGGACAGAAAATCACTGGTCAAGCAGCCGGACAGCGTGGAAGGCGACCGGGTGCTAAAGAAACCAGCAAGGACAGCGACAACAACAACAACATCAACGAGCAGAAGACCAGCAGTGTCATCGAATGCGAGCAAAACCAAAGTGAGGGATCCTCCCCAGCCCACCAAGCGGACGACCCCATCGCCCAGCACATTGCGGGCCGTCAAACAACAGCCCCAGCCCATCAAAGCGAAGCCCAAGTCCAAGCCAAATGCCGTGCTGGACACATACCACAGCGTGACGGTGGCATCGCCGCCGCAGAAGCGTCGAGTGCAGCCAAAACCAGCAACAGAGGCAACAGAGGAGCCAGAAAGAGCTGCACCTCAGCCCAGGACACGCACACTTACTCGCACGCTCGACCCAGAGGAGGTAAAGGTGCTCAAGCGGGAGTCGGCCAAGCAGAGGAGCGACATCGATGTGGAATCTCTGCCCGTGAAGCAGCCAGTGGCCTTCGAGGTGAAGTTTGAGGAAGCAAAGACAAAGACAGACAATGAGTCGGACAACTATTCGGATGACTTTGAGTCGTACGAATCGGATTTTGAGACTGGCTCCAGCACGCCCGAGGAGGAAGCAGACGATGACGATGATGATGAGGAGGAGGAAGAGGAAGAGCCGGAGGAGACAGAAGAGAGAAAAGAAAAGCCAATGGCAGAGCTAGAGCCAGAGCCAGACATCGTCGAAGAAGAGGAGGAGGAGGAGGAAGACGAGGACTCTGAGCCCACGCAGAACCCCATCACAGTGATACATCGGGACAGGGAGCAGGATCGCAAACTGGACTCTGGCCACTACGACATGCACATGCGCCGCCATCCGCTGCTGGCCGAGCTCAGCTCGCAGTCGACGCAGCATCAGTGCGACAGCTTCGACACCAACTCAATGGCCAACTCGGAGCAGCTGGACTCTGGCATAAGCACAACGGACCAGGAGAAACCCCCAAGCGGAGAGTCAGAGTCCAATGTCTATTATGGAGGCTATGCCAACTTTGCATCCCATCCCGTGGAGAGTCGCCGCGGCAAGGAGCTCATGAGGAAGCTGCGCTTCGACCACCTAAACTATCGTCTGTTCGAGATGAAGCCCCTGAGCTACGAGGGCTACATGCAGAGCTACGGCAAGCTGAACACCTGCCAGCTGGCCACCCAGACGCAATCCCCGTACGTGGACACCGAGTGCCAGACCCTGGAGCTGCACAGTCGCAGCAGTTGGACCCAGCATCCGCCCCACTATGGCGGTCAGCTGGTGCTCAGCTGCAGCGGGGATGCCGAAGCGGAAACGCTGCTGAAGCGACCCACAGATGCCTACGAGACGAGCCTGTCCCGCCTGGAGCAGCTGCATCGCGTGGAACAGGAGCGGGCGCAGCAACAACAGAGGCTGCGCCTGGCCAAACCCACCGACTTTGAGCGTCTCGGTGCGTTCCTGCAAAAGGCCTCGCGGCTGCTGGGCAAAGTGCTGAATGAAAACAGCCAACGAACAGCCCGACCCAACAGCCCGCGCCACCTCCCCCTGCAGACGGGACTGCTGAACGCTCTGCCCGTGCGCCGCATCTTCGGCAGCTGGGGAAGCGGGCAGCTCGTGGTCACGGTGCACGAGTGTCCGCCACAGAGCAACGTGTACAGCGATGACTTTGCCAACTTGCTGATGGTCTGGTCGCTGAGCCATCCCGGCAAGCCGCTGCGCCTGCTGTCCACCTGGTCGGAGGTTTGCCGCGTGGCCTTCTGCTACGAGGCGCCGGACATCATTGTGGCAGGTCTCAGGGATGGCAGTGCGGCCATGTGGGATCTGCGCGAGACCTACAGCTACTGCTCCAAGTTGGACGGCCACTTGACTCACTTTGCTGCCACGCAGTCGGTGGTGCCGTCGCTGCTGGGGCAGGCGACTGCCTTGGATCTCGGTGCCATGGTGGATGTGCGCAGCTTCCGCAGCCAGCCCAAGCCAGTGGCAGTGGCAGTGGCAGGAGGAATGCATGCCGCGCACAAGGAAATCCAGGTGTGAAATGTCTCCCATTCAAAGTGCTGGATAATAATTTGGGTTTATCCTTTCCACAGTACGCATCGCTGAATGACTCTGGATTGCTGACCATGTGGACGCTGGTGGAGGGCGCCTCTAGCGCTGGCAGCTCGGGCAGCAATGAATACAGCTCGCCGTGGGCCCGGGTGAAGCTGCTGCAGAGCGCCAGCTGCGATCTGAGGGGATATCTGGAGCGGCGGCTGCTGAGGAGCAACCAGAGTGCCTACGAGAAGACCAAGTCCCTGTTCCAGGGCAACGTCTATAGCGACGATCTGCTGAGGGAGCTGAACGAGACGCAGACCCTGAGCACGGCCCTGCAGGGCCAGGGATTGCAGGGGCTGCGCTTCACCAGCATCGACACGGGCAGCGACCTCATCTACGTGTGCAGCAATCGGAACTTTGTGCTCTGTTGCACGCGCAGCCTGAAGACGGAGCGCTTCAGCCGGATAGCGGTCAACGAGTGCCGCTTCCTGTTCCCCACCTCGCTCTGTGTGCTCTCCAACGAGAGCTTCGTGGCGGTGGGTCTGTCCAACGGCTCCGTGATGATACTCAATTGCAATCAGCGGCAGCACCAGCGTCAGGGCCACAAGAGGCCCACCACGGGGATGCCACCATCAACCGCTGACCTCGGTCCGGAAATTGGCAAATCCTGTGCCATCCAGAACATCATCCTCAACGAGCGTCACTCCTTCGAGCAGCAAATGGATCCACCGGAGGGCAGCAGCTACGATCTGAGGCCCAACACGGCCCTGGAGCTGATTCGGCAGCCGCGTCGCTCCTACGAGATGCGCATCTTTGACCAGCAGCTCCTGCTCAGCGGCAGTGGGCTACGTCAGCATCTCGTTCAGGCTCTGGTCCTCTCCAACGACGGCTGGCGCCTCTCTGCCCTGGCCAATGGAGCTATACGCACCTACGACTTCTACTTGGATAAGGAACTCCCCCAGCAGCAGCCAGGCGAAAGCAGATCCCAAATCATGGACATAGCCGCCGCACGCAGCTCAGGGAATGAGCAGCATTTACTCATCCTCGACCATGCGGGACAGGTGCAAATGCATTCACTCGACTCCGCCTAAACTGTTGATTCTTTTTTAATTATTACTTCTATGCGTTTGTTGAGCCCTTTCGTTGCGAGCAAATAAAAATAAAATATATGGGAGATAGAATTGAAGTACCAGTGCCCCGAGCGCCACAACCACAAAGCATCACCCAGCGACAGAATAGGCAAGGGGCAAGAATAACGGACTAGCAGTACAAAGAAGACCAGAGAAGGCGCATATTCACTTAAAGTCCCTTCATGGGCATATTCATTCATATTTTACAAAATTCTACAAATAGTTCTAACAACTTAAATCCGCTTCAACATTATGGTAGTGCAAATTAAATTTAAAAATTCCATTAATTCAGGGAGGGGCAAACAATGTTTCAAAATTACAAATATCAGCGAGCGAATGGTTTGTCCTTCTATACTCAGATATCGTTTTCTGTTGGCGATATTCAGCAGTTCAAAATGTACACTCTAGCGATCCTCTTATATTACAAAACGATAATGATAATGAAATAACAATTGTTTAGGTTCCAGCACTCTTTTCACCATCATCTAGCGGTGCAGGGGATGGACGCGGTCGTCGCTTGCGTCGCGATACACGCAGCACGATCTCGTCGTTGATGCGCTCGAACTGATAGTCCGTGGAGCCCATGGAGCAGCGTTTGGTCACCACCGAGGTGTCGCTGCCAAAGCTGCGATTGGGACTCTCGTCTAGCGTCTCATCAATGGTCACATGCTCCAGCGTCGGGGATGCCTCGATGCCGTGCGCTATCGATGGCTGGGATGGTGGCGGTGTCTGCGGCACCAGCAACTCGTCCGTCTGCAGATCCTCGGGCATGTGGATCTTCCGCTTCTTGAGCGGAGTCTTCTCGACTCTCAGTTTCTCTGGTGTCGTCTTTCTACCCTTGGGCGTGGACTTCGCTGGACTCAGCTGAAGAGGGGATGCGGTAAGAATTTGCGCCAAGTCCTTTTGGGGCGACTTTTGGGATTTGTTGGAGGTTGACGTCACTTTCGTTTCGTCCGGCGACGTCTGATGCAGCTGCTGCAGTGCCATTTCGATGGTGTCCTCGGCGAGTGTGAGATTCGGATAGCTCGTATTGGCGGCACTCGGCACCGGCTCCTGCTCGCCAGTCAACTCATTCATGGCCGCCTCCAGCACCATATCCTCGCTGTTGTCGGTCTTCGTTGAGTCTGGCTGAGCATACAAAATGCTGGAAGGCTTGGAAGTCGCTGCAACTATCAGAGAATCATGTATGGATCCGTGGGGCGGAAGTATAGGAATCTCAATTCCAGTTGATTGAATTGCAGCAGTCTCATTTGCATTACACTCAATTCTCGATTCGTAAACTGCAACTACAGGTGTCTCCATGAAAGGAATCTCTCTGACAAAAGTCTCCATAATATCTGGAGTCTCCTCAATGACAGGTGTTTCTACAGCAGCAGTCTCCACAACAAGAATCTCATCATTGGATTCGTAAACGGCAGCTACAGTCGTCTCCGTCTCAGGAGTCTCCATGGCACAAGTCTCATTCTTCGATTCGTAAACTGCAACTACAGGAGTCTCCATGAAGGGAATCTCAGTCACAAGAGTCTGAGGAGACTCTGAAGCAGGCGTATCCATTGAAACAATATCCATCTCATTCTTTGTCTCAGTCACTGCAGCCTCAATCACAGGCGTCTCAGCTTCCGGGATATCATTCTCTGATCCGTGAGTTGCAGTTGGAAGCGTCTCAATGGCAGGGGTTTCAGTAAAAAGATTCTCAAACGCTGGAGTCTCAGCTAGAGTAATTTCATTCTCTAATCCTTGTGCTGCTATTACAGGTCTCTCAATTGGCGCTGGTTCGTCTTCTAATCCGTCAGCCGCCGTCTCATCTCCAAAAGTTTCCTGTTCAATCTGCATATCTTCATCTTCATCCAGTGCAACAGGAAGCTCAGCCTCGCTCTCAATCTTACCATCAACGACATTTAGGTCTTGGGATTCCGAGTTCCCATCTGAAGTCATTTCTGATGAATCGAAGGGAACATCGACGGTTATGGCAATATTCTCAATGTCCACTATCGCTGGCAATCGTATATCCTCAATTATTTCGATGACTTCAGTTATCTGGCTGGCATGCCCTGACGGGGGACAGTCATCGTTTAAAATCGTATTCATAGCCGAACATTTTGTCGGGGCTTTAATCTCTTCTGATGCTTGATCCTCAGTTATTTCACTGGGACGTCTTGGTGTGGGGCAATCATCATCTAAAATCGTGTCCGAACGTTTGGTGGGGGTGCCTGCTCCTGTTGCCTGATCAACGGCATCCTTCATTAATTCGGGACTTGCATCGTCCACTTGTGCTGTGGCGGCATCAACTGGCGTCGTAATTTGAGTTTCTTCCTTTTCTTCGGATTCGGGTGTAAGATTTAAGCTAGGCGCTTCGATATCCATAGAAATATCTTCGTCTTTGCTTGGAGTTTCGCTGTGTAATGCCGCTTCGGGTGTAATATTCGTGCCTGGAATTTCAATGTCCATTGGACTACCCTCGTCTTTGATTGGAGCTTCGGGTATGGCTGGTACTGGCTCCAGGGACAGACTCTCTTGCTCCATTTCCCCCATCGATTCTGTTGGCTTACAATCCTCTATGTGTCGAGTATTCACTTCCTCCGTATGATCAATGATACAATCTTCAATTGCATCTATTTTCTGAGTACCCAAATTGACGTCTTCAGGCTGTTGCGTTGTATTCTTAATGGGCGAAGGCAGCTGACAAATCATATCCAATCCTGGTATCAGTTGCTTATCGAAATTGCTTGCCCAGGAAAAGGCTCCAGCTTTTGGCTCAGCTTGCTCCAGGGTCTCCGGGATGACTTGCGACGCTGGCAGACTGCAGTGTTTGGCGAGAGGATTCACCTGGAAGTACCCATCAATATCAGAGATGCTAATCTCTTCGTTTTTTGCGGGCTTGTCCCCTCCACGGATCGGTGCCTGCAATTGGCTTTCTGGTGTGTACAGCTCCACTGACGTCGCTGGGGACGTGTTGGACTTCATTTTCTTGATCATTTCCAGATTGGGACTGGCTAGAACTTGGTCGTTTGTCTCCTCACCGAAGAGAGTCGTCACGGTGGCTTCTTTCTGTGTCTCTGTCCTTTTGGAGCGATCATCCGGCTGCCGAGCACTGAAAGAATCGTCAAATGCTGCTGTCAATGAAGAATTGGGCGGAATTAAAGCCTTTTCTTTCTATTGATTACCTTTGCTTTGCGGCTGCCGTTCGGTTGGGGGATCGAGAAACACTTCGGCGTTTGCTGGAGCGATCCTTGCTCTGGCGGCCACGATGATGTTCATGTCTGTGGGAACGTTTGGCGCTACGACTGCGACTGCGGCGTCGCTCGCGTCTGTGTCGATCCTCCCTGGGGGATCGGCTGCGGTTTGTGCGCTTGCTGTCCTTGTTGTCATGCGTCCTGGACTCTCCACCTGTTGAGCTCTTTTGATGATTCATTTTATCACTTGCCCTGGGCTCAATTCTGAATTTGTTGGTCACAGTTTCCTCCAGTTTGTGCTTCCTTGGCTCCTGGGACTCAGCCTTGAGTTTATTGGTCGCCGGTTCCGCCAGTAGTTTTGGTCGTTTGTGCTCTGTGCTCTTGGAATCAGTGGGGACCACAGTTTTGAATTTGTTGGTCACATGCTCCTCTGCCAGCATTCTGGGTCGTTCATTCTCGTGGTTTGTATTCTTTGACTCATTGCCGAGCGCAGTCTTAAATTTGTTGGTCACGGGCTCCGACAGTTTGGAGCGTTTGTGCTCCTGGCCAGCAGCCTTGGGATCCTCATCAGCTCGACCCCGCTTTCGCCTGAAGCATAGGTCGTCTTTCCTGCAGAAAAAAATAATGTAAACATGTTATGATTCACGGACAAAGAGGTTGGCCCTTACTCCTTGCGCAGCTGCGTAATCAAAGACTCCTTTCGCTTGATTTCCGCCTTGGCCGTGTCCATGAGATTCTGCAGATTGACCTCCATGGCTCTGATCTTCTTGTTGAGCGCCTTATTTTCCACCTTTAAGCACTCGATTTCGGCCTGTGCGCCTTTGCATTGGGTCTCCCAGGCTTGCAGCTCTTTGGATTTCTGGAAGACAATTTACACGTTATGTACAGTTTGCTGGCACTCTGGATGGACACACGCACCTTCTCCTCGGCATTTTGGAAGTCGTCCAAGTCGCCGTATATGTTTAGATCATCGTCATCGCCCAACATTTTAGCAAATTAAAATGCAAGAGCTGCAAATTCGTGCAGCAACGTCAGAAGATGGGGTCAAGTGCTGGCTAACGCAGGAGTCGCGAAATGCCGCGTATTTTGCCAGTGCTGGCAAATGGCGAATTTAGTTAAGCGCGCAGAATGGAAATTTAAAATAACCTGCCAGTAGTCAGTGTTTTTATCATCATAGAATAAAACACAAGCAATAATGAACACACAAAACAATGGATTCGCAAGCACAAACACACTTCTACAAGAAAGAGCGGAGGAAATTCTCGTTAGTCACGTACATCCTGACATTCTTCTTTCTGCTTCTATCGGGGATTCAATGGCATTTCATTCAAGAATCGTACGTATGCAGGAGCCCTAGCTTGTAGCCTTGCAGCCTTGTAGCCCAGCTTTCTTTCAGTGACGATGTAAACGAATTCTTCACCAAAAAAGATTGGGTGGGGAGCTTATTTTTCGCCGTGGGACTAATAATCTTTGCCGTATTCATTTTCTTCGAGACTTTGCGCTTTATGGTGCCCCTCAATTGGATCTTGGCCATCGTTATAGTAAGATGATGAATATTTGCAAAGAAACATCACAGTTTCCAATCCGCATTCACAGTTTGAGTGTGTTGTCATGGGAGTCACGTCTCTGGCGGTTCGTCACCATAAATTTCAATTGCTGCTGAGCTTCACCATCTGGGCAGTGATTCTGGGCATCTTTCTTCTGTGCGGCTCCTTTCTGCCGGTGAGATATCACCAAAGTGATCATCGTGACAATCATTTCTCATATTTTCCTCAGCACGATCTCACTCTGGATATTGTTGTGCTGTTTGTGCTTGCCATCCTGGCCCTCATTGGCGCCATGTACTTCCTAATGATGCACATCGTGACCAATATGCCGTATTCGTTTTTGATCCATCGGGGATTTGTTTTAAGCAGCATCTGGATGGTATGAGGAATATATACTGCCATTCATCGGTTTCCTTTATTCAACCCCCTTGCAGTTTGTCATGTATCATGCACAGATCATCAATGGTGGAAAGTTTGCGGAAATGCGCACCAAGGACTATTTGCTGGCAGCTTTGATGCTCTTTCACGACTTTCTTCTAATGTTTTTGCTATCATTTCATATGGCCCCCAAATGGTCCGATTCATGTGATCGCCATATGAATGACACTTCAATGGTGATATTCGTAACAATCGAGCCAACCTCAGCGCTTTTTTAGGACAAGGTCTAAAAATGAATACAAGCAACTCAAATAAACAAAGTAGAAATAGTTTGAAAATTGCGCCATCATTGATGGATGGGCAGCACTGCACTCAATTAAAATCAATCGTTTTACAGCACTGTCTGACGTTTGGCGCAATTTCGCCACAGCTGCTTTTGGGTTTTTATTTATTTCGCTTGTTCTTAGATTTCCGAGTGCTGATTCGGTGAATAAACTGTAATTGGCACAAAGCTGACCGAAACAAATAAATAAACCACTTAGCCACTGCAGCATAGCATTCGTGAATTCAGTTGAATTTCAGCTATGGACCCCACAATATCCGTTTCCAAGGTGAGTTTCAAAAATCTTCCATTGAGCTCAGGGAATTCAAGATGCTTTTTTAGGGTTGTTTTGTCTACAAAAATGGAGCTACGCGTGCCGGCAAGAAGGCATCCGGCAAGCGAAAAAGAGCCACAGGCGGCACGAGCAGCCTGCTGGGCAAGGAGGTCGTTGGACAGCCATTCTACGATGCGTACGCCCAGACCTGGATTCAGATGAACGAGCACATTACCCGCCTGCAGCAGCAGAGCTATGCCCGCACACTCGAGCAGTTGGTGGAGTTCGTGGTGGGCCAGGGGCAGATCGAGGACGAAATTCTGCCCACAGCGGCACTCCTCACGGGCATCAATCAGCCGGATCACCTCAGTCAGTTCGAGACTTTCACGCGGCGCCTGCATGCCCAGAAGGCGGCGCGGGTCTGTGTGCTGCAATCACGAGATTGCCCCACTCTAAAGGCAGCCATCGAGGCCATGGTCTTTAGCCTGATCGAGGGCGAACAGGACCAGGAAGACACAGAGGAGGAGGAGGATGTGGGCGATCGGGATCGCAAGCGACTGCGACGCTCTCACTGCACGATAAAGCAACTGACGTCCTGGTACATCAACAACTTCGAAACGGAGGAAAGGAAAAGCCAACAGCTGGTTATCATATTGCCCGACTTTGAGTGCTTCAGTGGCCACGTCCTGCAGGACTTTATCCTCACACTCAGCGCCCACCGTGGCGACCTGCCGTTTGTCCTGGTGCTGGGCGTGGCCACGGCCATGTCGGCGGTGCACAGCACCCTGCCCTACCACGTCAGCAGCAAGATCAGGCTGCGCGTCTTCCAAACACAGCCAGCCCCCACGGGCCTGAATGAGGTGAGAGATTTCTACTAAAGAATAGAATTTAGCATTAAATTCTGTGTGACTTTTCAGCTGCTGGACAAGGTCTTGCTCTCCCCCATGTACGCGTTCCACCTGTCTGGAAAGGCCTTCAAGTTCCTCACGCACATTTTTCTGTACTACGACTTCTCCATTCACGGCTTCATCCAGGGCTTCAAGTACTGCCTGATGGAGCACTACTTTGCCGGCAATGCGTACGCCCTCTGCACGGACTACAGCAGGGCATTGAACCGCATCAAGCTGCTGACGCACGACGACATGGAGACCATACGACGTCTGCCCTCGTTCCGGCCGTACGTGGAGCAGATCAACGACTGCAAGCGCATCATAGCCGTCCTCACCGACGACGACTACCTGAAGAAGAAGCTGCCGCAACTCCTGCGCGACTGTCTGCTCCACTTTCTGCTCTTCCGCAGCACGCTGGAGTTCTTCACGGAGCTGGTGGGCGATCTGCCGCGCTGTCCGCTGGGCAAGCTGCTGCGCGAGCTCTACGTCAACTGCCTGAACAGGCCGATCGCCGCGTCGCCCGAGTACAAGGAGTGCTGGCAAATGCTGAGCTTTCTGTCCAAAGAGGAGTTTGTGGCCAAGGTGCAGAGAAGTTTGGCAAGAACGGAGCAATTTCTGGCCGCGGAGATCGCCCCCCTCGAACTGGGAGAGGCCTGCACATCCGTGCTGCGACCGCAGCTACAGAGCATTCGGCAGCTGCTCGACGACGTGGTCATGGGCACCCTGGAGATGGTGCCGGCCATGTCCACGGATGAGAGCAGGCCTGCAGCTGGTCTAACGCAAGTCGCCTCGCGGCAGGAGCTCAAGGCACAGCTGCTGCAGCGCAGTCAGGTGGACAGGCAACACCAGCAGGCTCCCACCACGGAATTCGCCCGATCGGTGCAGAGGACGCTGGAGCACATTGAAACGCAGCTGGTGCGCGGCCATTTGCGTGCGCTCCAAGAGGCTCCACCGCTCCACGAACTGTTCGTGTTCAGCGACATTGCCACGGTGCGCCGCAACATAATTGGCGCCCCGCGGGCTGCCCTGCACACGGCCCTCAACAATCCGCACTTCTACATGCAGTGCAAGTGCTGCGAGCTGCGCGAGCAAACCCAGCTCATGGGCTCCCTGCCCGATCTGTCGGTGGTGTACAAGCTGCATCTGGAGTGCGGGCGCATGATCAACCTGTTTGACTGGCTGCAGGCCTTCCGCTCGGTGCTGCATGCCAGCGAGGATCCGGACGGAGAGGTGGCCCAAGAGCAAATAGATCCGCAGATACAGTGAGTCTCTCTCCCTTCTCCTCCTGATCTCCCCACTCTTTATTGATTCTCTTTTACCTCTCTTCCAGGGCACGCTTCACGCGCGCTGTGGCCGAACTGCAGTTTTTGGGCTACATTAAGATGTCGAAGCGCAAGACGGATCATGCCACACGCCTCACCTGGTAGTCCCAGATTCGGATTTTATCTCTCTTTCTGTTTATTTATATAAATTGCTCGCGTGGTACGCAATAAATACATATTTTATCTATGGGCATGCACGAAGAAATGTCTTTGAGAAGCAAGCGAGTGGTGTGGGGGGTGTGGGGGAAGGGGCCAAGCGTCCCTTGAATATCAACAAAATGCTCATTCCCGAGCCCATCAGAGAATCCTTACATCAGCTTCAGCGTCTCGATGGCAGCCGTAATGCGTTCAATCTCCGCCCGCGACTCTGTGAGCTTCGTCTCGTTGGCCGTTTGCACCTCGGCGGGCACCTTAGTGGCATAGTCGGAGGCCTGGATGGCCTGGGTTAGCTTGCCGACGGTCTGGACCAGCTGGTCGCCCTTCTTCTGCAGCTTGGCGATCTCCTTGTCGGCCTCCACGAGGCCCTTCAGCAGCAAGTGCACCTCGCACTGCCCCGTCACCGTGAGGATGGCACATCCGGCCGGCGCAGGGCTATCGAAGGAGACCTTGGAGCAGTAGGAAATGGTGGCCAGATCGCTGGCATAGCGTTTGAGTATTTCATTGGGCGTGGCATCCGTGCAGACGATGTACGCCTCCGTCTTGGTCTTGTTGGGCAGATTGTAGTCGGAGCGGGCTGAGCGAATGATGCGTGCCGCTTTCTGGACAAACTCCACATCGGATTCGATCTTTGCACTGCGCCACGAGGTGTTGCCTGCAAGGATTGGGCAATAAGTAGGATAAACAGAGGCCAATTGGGGCAGCTACTCACTGGGATAGCTGGCAATGCAAATGCTGGGCGCGGGATTCGCGCGTGGCAGGCGCTGGTAGAGCTCCTCCGTGATGAAGGGCATAAACGGCGAGAGCAGCCGCAGGCCAAAGTCCAGGCAGACGTAGAGGGTGCGCCGGGCGGCGGTCTGCTGCTGCTCGCTGCCGCCCTGGAAGATCGGCTTCAGACACTCCAAATAGACGTCGCACAGATCGTACAGCCAGAAGGCGTAGCAGGCGCTGGTGGCGGCCGCAAAGTCGTACGACTCGAAGCCCGCATTGCAGGTCTCGATGGCGGCCGCCAGTCTGGACAGGATCCAGGCATCCATCTGGTTGACGGCATCGCCAGCGCTCAGCTCGGTGCTGAACTTCTCGTCGCCGTTGAAGTAAAGCAGGGCAAACTTTGTGGCATTCCACAGTTTGTTGCAGAAGAAGCGGTAGCCGAGCACTCGATTGATGTCCAGGTTGATGTCGCGTGCCTGGGTAATGTACGCGCAGAGGGCGAAGCGCAGGGCGTCCGATCCGCACTCGGGTATGCCCTGGGGATAGTCCTGCTTCTGGCCAGCCTTGGCCTTCTCGATCTCGCGCGGATCGAGATTGGAGCCCACGAGCTGGGCGTGCAGTCCCTCCAGTGTGATGCCCAGAATCACGTCCATTGGGTCGATGACATTGCCCAGGGACTTGGACATCTTGCGGCCGTGGGCATCGCGCACCATGGGATGCAGATAGACCTCCTTGAAGGGCAGCTTGCCCAGCAGCTTCTGGCCGAAGAAGACCATGCGCGCCACCCAGAAGAAGAGAATGTCGTGGCCCGTCTCCAGCAGCGATGTGGGATAAAAGGTCTGCAGATCCTTGGTGTTGTCCGGCCACCCGAACACCGAGAAGGGGAAGATGCCCGAGCTGAACCATGTGTCCAGCACATCCTCGTCCTGCTTCAGCACAATCTTGCTGGCATCCACCTTGAATCTTTCGGCCGCCTTGCTCAGCGCCTCTGCCTCGCTGCGCGCCACAATCCAATACTGTTCGTCGTCGCTCTGCCAAAGGATACAAAAGGATATGTGAGTAAAAGAATAGAGAGGAAGGGGGCCAGGGGCATTGGATTACCACTCCACCAAGAGCAGGCTGGACAAGAGGGATCGCAAGGGATTAGCTCCGACAGATGGATTCCTCAATGGATTTACTTACCGTTCCGGCTGGGATGGAGGGATCGCTGAAGCTGACGTGGTAGGCGGGTATGCGATGGCCCCACCACAGCTGCCTGGACACGCACCAGTCCCGTATGCCGTCCATCCAGTGGTACCAGGTCTTGGTGTGGTGCTCGGGTATGATCTTCAGCTCGCCAGAGCGTACCGCTTCGGTGGCCGAGGCGGCCATGTCCGAGCAGCTGACATACCACTGGGGCTTGATCAAGGGCTCCACCACATCCTTGGACCGGCTGCAGATGGGCACCACCATGGGATTGTTGATGGTCTCGCGGTAGAGATTGAGCGCCTTGAGCCGCACCAGGATCTGCTTGCGGCACTCGAAGCGCTTCATGCCCGTGAACTCTCCGTAGTCGCCGATGATGAAGCCGTCGTCGTTGATGATCGTGATGAAGGGCAGGCTGCAGCGCTTGCCCACCTCGTAGTCGTTGGGATCGTGGGCGGGGGTGATCTTCACGGCGCCCGTGCCAAACTCCATCTCCACAAACTCGTCGCACACGATGGGCAGGCGGCGTGTGCAGAACGGATGCACCACAAACTTGCCATGCAGATGCTTGTAGCGCTCATCCTTGGGATGCACGGCCACGGCCGTGTCGCCGAGCATCGTCTCAATGCGCGTGGTGGCCACAATGATCTCCTCGTCGCTGTCCTCCACCTTGTAGGCGAATTTCACCAGCACGCCAAACTCCACCTTCTCGTCGTAGCCGGGAATCGAGAGGAAGGTGCGGCCGGGTATCTCCACCTTGTCCACCTCAATGTCCGAAATGGCCGAGCGCAGGGTGCACGACCAGTTGACCAGCCTGGAGCTGCGGTAGATGCTGCCCTCCTCGTGCAGACGCACAAACGCCTCCGTCACGGCGCGACAGAGCTTCGGGTCCATGGTGAAGTTGACCCGCGACCAGTCGTAGGAGGAGCCCAGCGACTTGAGCTGGTCGTAGATGCGGCCGCCCTTCTCACGGCGCCAGTCCCAAATGCGCTCAATGAACTTCTCCCGGCCGAGGTCGTGCCGCGACAGCTTCTCGTCGCGCCAGAGCAGCTTCTCCACCACCACCTGGGTGGCTATGCCGGCATGATCGCACCCGGGCACCCACAGCGTGGTGCGTCCCTTCATGCGGTGGTAGCGCGTGATTGCATCCTCGATGGCGTTGGTCAGGGCATGGCCCAAATGCAGAGAACCAGTCACGTTCGGCGGCGGAATCACCATGATGAATTTGCCATTCGGATTCGGCGCATCTATTGAATCGCGCTGCAAGGAGGGGGAGTGTCAGTGTCACGGCTGGATATCATCGACTCCCTACTCACCCCATATTCGGGCGTGAAGAAGCCCTGCTTCTCCCACCAGCTGTACCACTGGGCCTCCACGAACCGCGGACTGTACGCATCTGGCAGCGGATCACTCAGATCTTTCATCTCCCCGGGTTCTGTCTGGGCTGTGTACACAGCGGCCTCCTTTACCTCTTTGGTACGCTTCTGTAATGGAGCACGAAGTTAGCTTTCTCCCTGAACAATAGCCGCAATTACCAGATAATTGTGCTCTCCACCATTCACTTTTTGCGCACATAACCTAGTTTCCAGTGGCTCAGTTTGTACATACTTCGGGCTTCTCTTTCTTTTCGGCTGCCGCTGGAGCTGCTGACGCCTTCTTCTCCAGCTTCGCCTGCAGTTTGGCCAGCTTCTCGGCCTTGAGGCGCTCCTTCTCCAATTGCTTGGGGGTCTTGGCAGGATTGGCGCCTCCGTCGCCCGTTTGCTGCTGTTCCTCCTCTGGCATGGTTCCGTCAAATGTTGGGGCTGTCTCAATCAATACTTGGATTGTCTGATGCAATTCTGACCAGGTTTCTGTTATTACTCACCTGCAGCTGGAGTTCGGAAATGGGGAAAAAAAACAGATGAAACGTGTGCAGTTTTCGAAGGGATTTATCGGTATCGGCTCGGTAAGTTCTGGTATTAAACGAGCGCGCACGTTTTTTTCACAGTATTACTTGCCAAGTATTTTTTTGCATTTTGGAATCTGTTCACACTAATAATTACTTTATTTTTGCATCACGAAAGAATTTTGCGAAAACTAAAAAAAACCGTACTAAAAGAGTCAAGTGAAGACATTCGGATATTGTTTTAAACGTAAACTTGTTCTCGCAGTGCTGCTGCACACAATTGCCATTAAAAGTGTGCCTCAAAACAGTGTTTTATGCGTGCAACGAGAGGAGACGCTTCTGATAAGCAGCCATCTTCGTCTTCTTATAAGAATGCCTGCCACACACGGCTAGAAAACGGTTTGCTTACATTATAAAATGCCAAAACAGCGTAAAAACTAAAGCTAACGATATTGATACCGCTGTCGCATCAACACCGCCCCCTCGCCTAGGCAGTGCCACCTACAACTGCAAAATCCACACATACAGACATGTGCAGCGCGCAGCTAATCTATTGTAAATAAACTGCGTCCACACGCGACTATCGTGAACGGGACACATACTCTCGGTCACGTACGCCGCCGCCGCCAAGTGTTCTGTTCCGTTCCTCCTGCCTGCTGCTTCCTCGTACCCACACAGTGTGCGGGTGTGCGGCTGTTCTACCTGGAATAAAGTTTGCCATAAATCAGCGGAGAATCAGCCCAAAGCATGTGAAAATGATTCTATAAAGAGGAGCAGAGTGCAACACATCCTCAGCATCATCAACATCAGAGGAAAAGTAAGGGGTAAGTCTTGCAAAGAGAACGAACATCTATTGGTGGGTTCCAGTGGGGGTATTCCAATTACGATTTTCTGTGGCCAGAGCATAGTGCAGAATCGATTTTTCAATTTTAAAATGGCTCATTCGCTGCTCTTTCATTTCTCTCTCCCCATTCCTCTCTCTCTATGTGTTTTGTGTGGTTCGGGCCCACTCATTGCATTACTCGCCCTTTTAGGCCTCTAATTAATTGCATTAACTTTGGTAGAAGCTTTCAGCGCAGGGGATTAGAATGTGGGGATGGGTTTAGCAAGCGAATATCTTGATTTAAAAGTGACTTTGAAAAGTTCTTACCATGAAAAACGTATAAAAGGGAACGTTGGGAACTATGTTCCTGTTTCTTCCTATAATTATATTCCCCTGTATGAGTATTGGTTGCTCTATATGGCAACGTTATTTGATCGTCAAAGAGCTGTTGTACCCATGAGAAAACTGCGGCTTGCGCCCCTACCCAGTTGTGCCTCTCCCACTCCCACAAATGCCCGATATGCCTCGGTAATGACTTCTTTTATCCAAACAAAGACACAACAAATGTTTGAGGAGGACGAAATAAAGGCAGAACCCCAGACAGGATAACGAAATCAACTCTTTCGGGGCACAAACAACTGACCTGCGACAAAGGCAAGGTAAAGGCAAGCAGCGCCGTCAAGAGAAACATCTGCCGCAGTGTCTGAACGTCGGAGACAGCAGCGTCTGAATATTACCTGCCCCTTGAACGATGTGTGGAAGGATGGAAGGATTCAAAGTTCAATGTACGCCTGCGCAAATACAGTTCACAATGGGTACGGCACAATGCAGCTGCCCGAAGGAGGAAGACAGACAGAGAGATTGCCAGGGAAGTTGTGATTTTTTGTCAGCACTCGCACTCTATTCCCGCACACATCCTTCTCTTCTTGACGGTGGTAACCAGAAGCCCGAGGCGGAAATCTCAAAATGTTGTTACAGTTATTGTTCCGCCTTCCGTCTGAAACTTTTATGTAATCTCTCGCGATCCTTTTTGGGAATGGGATCGGCATCGGGATCGGGTGTAGACTCCTGTCCTGTCCTGTGCGTGTAATACCGGTTTCTGTACCTCCGACACAAGTTGTTCAGAATGCAATTTGAAACTTTACCCTCTTTTGGGGTCTGCTGAGCCATGGATTGGGGGGCCAACTGTCGTCCCCTCTTCCTGTCCTCACACTTGTGCATGTCCTATCCCTATCCCACGGGCCTACGGGTTCTGGTATTGGGTTACAGCTGTGAGAGAATATGTGTTTGGAAAGCTGTTCCTTCGACGACGACTGAGTTGAAGTTTTTTATGCTGGTTTCTTTTTTGGAGGCAAAGCAACGAAGAAGCGAAAGGCAGGCAGCGTTTGGATCATGCAGATGATGCTGGAGCAGCTGCCATTAGGGCCTGCATCTTGTCATCGTTGTGGGTCCAATAAAACTCTCGGAATCCTAACCATTCTCCCACACACACACACATAGAGGAGAGCGACAGCGACCGAACCGCAGACAATCAATCGAATTGGGTGCCACATTCGAAGGCAGATGCCAGCTCTAGTGGCCATCTATGTGGCACATGCCACAGGCTGGCACCTACAATGAAAATGAAAAGACTCACGTTGAGACAGACCAGGCAGACCAGGCCACGGTTTGGACAGATGTTGCAGCCGGAGCCCGACCGCCGATACGAAGTAATCAATGCAACAGCAGGCAGGCGGCCGGGCAGACCGAGCCTCATGTGATCCCTTCTGTCTCGACCCAGCCTTGTGCTCTGGTGCCCCGGTCCTTTCATTCCACTCAATGTGCAACGGCCGGCTGCAACTCGAAGTTAGACATCGCTGCACATACATTTTCAAATTTTTAGTGCATTTACAGCCAACATCTGTCGTTGCAGTTCTCCTTGTCGTCGCTATGCGTCCTGGACAGCTGCTCGCTCAGTCACTCGTTTGTTCCCTCAGCGCCTGGGGTCTGGGTCTGACTGCCTGACTGCCCGTTCGTATAAGTACTGTGCGTGCAGGTGTGTGGCACTGGTATTTTTGGGGCATGCCACACTCCACTCCTTCCGGACTCTGCCGAGCCTACACACTCGACGACGCACTCGACGATTGGGGGATGGCTGGCCAAAAGTCAGCTGTTTTTGCGCAATGTTTATAAACAAAAAGCGTGTGCCAGAGTAACCCTTAGACATGTCTGGGCATATATTTTTGGAATCACCACCGACACTCTGGCAGAGACATGGCCAGAGCCAGAGCCAGAGGCAGAGCCAAGGCCGGAGCAACCACCGACCTACATATTGGCGCACTGGCACTCTGGGCCACATGGCGCACGGGGTGGTTCCGCTCACACGCAGAGCTCTGGTTATGTTCTGTTCTGTTCTGTGGCCTTCTGTAGGTGCAAGGACGTTGGGAAAACCCCCCCAAAAGAAAAAGTAAACAAATGGAAAGCAACCCCAGACCAGTCGTCTGTCTCTGGCACCGACCGCATCCGCTCTCCTGGTCTCCGGTCATGTGCTTCAACCCACCACCTTACTGATGGTTCTGGTGGCGTGTGCCTATGCCTGTGCCTGTGCCGGCATGTCATCCATCCACACAACGTCTTCGTCAATTTTAGGGGTTTTCCCAAAAAAATACGCAACTAAAAACCAAAACAGAGCAGGGATTCATTCGGTGGTAGTTAGTGCATGGAGCGAAAGGAGCGCAAGGAGCGTCCGTGCGCTCCCATTCATAAAACATAAACATACCCCCGTGGAAGCGGCGCTTATGAGCACCGCACCGCACTCGCATTGTTTGCCCACACCGACCACGGTGACGATTACGATTGCGATTACGACCTGGACTAGGACTACGACTACGACCACGACCATTGTAGGTGGTGTTTTCGTCGCAGATCCCGTCCGGCCACTCGGGGGGAGTCCCGTGCAAGAGTCAGGTGCACGGACAACCCTCGACGGCGGAGTGGTAACAAGTTGGTAGCTCAACAGGTCCCGCCCGCCCGGGTGGTTGAGGATTCTCTTGGGTGGGTGGCTGTTTGGGCCGATTGTGGATTGAGGGTATGTAATTAATACAAGTGTGGGGTTACGTTATGGCATTGACCCAATCAGATATCCTCGAATACGGAATGGAATGCCTTCACTTGTAGTATTTTGAAGGGTTGAAGGTCATGTCCTTACCTATCCTTCACCTACGAATCCTGATGTTGTGCAGGGTTGGGCTCAAATTGGAGCATTCCTGGCACAGATTTTTAAAGCTAGTTTTCCCCCAAAAGATGGGAAAGAATTGTGGAGCTTTGCTGCTAATCGCTGCCTACTTTCGTGGGTTCCAGATATCGATGACAGATTTCTTTTGAAAGGAGAATTAGTATTGAGTCCTTCTCTAGAAATGGGATTTATCTTGTCAATAAATGAACTATAATTCAATCCAAGCATTTAAATCCATGGCCATGAAGAAACTCTAAGCAAATCTGAACTCAACTCTTATCCAGCGAAAATATTCTGGCCTTCTGGTTCTGGTTCCATTTTAATCAGAGTTTGGCCTTCTTTAAGACGTCGCTCAGTTTGAATAAGTGGCAGACAGGCTGGCAGGCAGGCCATGGCCTGGCCTCGTTCTACATTGCAGCATCAGCAACAGATCTGAATCTGGAGCATTATGTTTGGAGGATACCAGAGCCGGAGAGCTCTGGCTCCTCTTTCTGCTGATTCTTTTACTTTCATCCTGCGGGATGTCCAAGTGCACGCCTCTTGAGCACGCGCCTCCTGAAAATATGACAAGTTTACCGTTTTTCCATTTACTTTGATATAATTTTACCGTTTTGCTTTGCGCTTTTCAAAATGGCGACAATGGCTGACCAATAAACCAGAAAAGGGTCCGGGGGGACGGACGCTGAGATGCGAAAAACGTTGAAATCCAACCGAACAATGGCGACGAGGCGGACGTCGTAAAAGAGAATTAATTAGATTGCGGCGGCAGCTGCTGGGCGTACGTACGGCTGCTGAGCGAGAGAGATAGAGAGCCGAAACAACGACAAACACTGAGGAGAGAATTTAAGCCAGAGAGCAATAGAGAAAGAGAGAGAGAGAGAGAGAGCGCAGCGAGTCTGGTGCGCTGAAAGCCTGCAACTGTAAAGTTGTCATGCGCTTTGACTGCCATTCTCTGTCGTCGGTTTATTCCGTCATTCCTTTTCCTCTATTTAATACACAACAATAACAAAAAATAATGGTCGCCAGGAGTATGAGGATACACACACACACACACAGACGCATAGAGTGAACATGAAATGTAACGAACGCAAAAGCAAAAACAAAACAACGGCAAGCGGCACAGGAACCATCGCAAAGAGGGGGCAGGGGAGACAGAGACACAAAGAGAGGCACAGGACACAGCACAGCTCGGCAGCACAGGCAGAAACGAGGCAAAGGCAAAGCCAAACAGTTGTGCAATTGAGATAAAGGACAACAAAAGGGAAACTTGAAAAAGGGGACGCGTGCTTTGCTTTTTGGTTGGGTCGATGTCGATGTCGACGCCGATGCACAGTGGTTGCCGATCTATCGAAAATGGTAAAGTGGGTTGTGGTTAACAAAAATCTGGTATATTGTGAATGAGATTACAATAAACATTTAAGAATGCCTTCTGTTTCATTTATGAAAAGTATAAAAAGTAAGAAGGATCTGCGAAAATAGAAGAGCAACTGTCTCAGAAGTATAAAAATTGTATACAAAAATGTATGAAAAGTTCACATTTCTTTGACGATGGATGAACTCTTCATTAAAATATTCCTTGGCCTTCAAGTTAACTTTTTTGCCCCACTGTTCCTCACTTCCGATGTGAACGCGCGTGCTAGTCGTCACAAAAGGATATAAAACAACAACTGCAAAGCAGAGGTAGCGGCAGCGGCAGCGACAGCGTCAGCGCCAGTTCTGGAGGAGGAGGAGAAGGAGCAGCAGCAGGACAACAAGAAAAAAAGCATAAATAATCTTGTAGTTGTTGTCGCAGCTGAGGAGCCAGGCTCGAATTGAAATTTTATGAGAAATTGTATTAGAGAAATGCTTTGTTAAATCACACGAGACACGGACGGACACGCTCGCACACACACACATGCAAGGAGCAGAGGCATACGTGCGTGTGTGTTCGTGTGGTAGATGCACAAATGGGAAATGGGGAATGTGGAAAAAGGGGACGCGCATTATGGCAGTCTCTACGTGTGTTCTTTCGACGACGTCATCGCTTCTGCTGCTGCTCTGCTACTACCGCAGTTGTTGTTGGTTCCTGTTTTCGCTTTTTACCGTTCAGTCAATGACCACATTGTGTACACAAATGCAGCTCTCTCTCTGTGTAGTATGTGTGTGTGTGTGTGTATGTCCTGCCGGAAGTTGAAGCCGCCGTCTGGTCATTCTCGCCGCTTTCGTGCAAGCTCTCGCTTCCATAAGCTCTCTCCCTGTCTCTCTCACTCTCTCTATCTCGGTTTGTTCCGCTTGAGCTACTTTTGAAAAACAAGTATTTTCAGTCTCGCAGGATCTGTGTGGCTCCCCTTACTTACTCTCACTCTCTCATTCCCACTCACACTCCCATACAAAAGTGCTACGTTTCCGATTCGCTTTTTCTTGCTGTTTTGTTGTAGTCCTGCAGCGCAGCGCAGTGTGGCCCATTCCTTTTATTCTGCGCACACGGGTCTCTCTTCTGGTCACGCTTTGATCCTGCCGTTCGCCCGCTCCCCACGCTCGTGCTCCTACTCCTCTTCCTCGCTTCTCCCACTCCCCTGCATAGGCGTTGCCCAGCTAATGACATGTTGTAAATTATATTTCTCCTCAGCATTTCGTACGCCGTTTCATGCTGCAATAATTACACTCGGTTCGGTTTCCTTCCCATTCGCTTGTTTCGTTTTATAATGTTCTGTATGGCTCGTCGGTTGGTTCTTTTTGTATGGGTTTCCTCTCCTCAGAAGGGGGCCAAACTCTGACGTAATTACTGCAGTTTTAGTTATCCCTTCCAATCGCAGATGTGCCAATTTCCATGCTAAATACTTGGACTTGGTAGAGTCTAAAGTCTAAAGTTTGATCTGGTCGTATGATAATAGAACTTATTTCTTGATTATAATTCTTATCTAATGCAATTCCAGGCATTTGATCTGATGATGATAACTGATCTTGCTTATGGGTCGACTATTTCTTATCTAATCATTTACCAGATTACAAAGATAGACCCATCCACTGAGAAAAAAAAACACACACACAAAAATATTCATTTCTTTACATCTAATTGCCAGATTTATCTCTCAATTCTGGCACAATTCTTAAACAGAGATGTTCAACTGGGCTTTCCGATTGCTGTTCTTTCAGTGTCTACTGTTGGATGTGTTCCGAAAATATACAACAATATTCATGACATATGAGACCTTCTCAAGTGTTTGACATGGTCCACATCTCAAGTGGGACTCCTGCCGTTAGGAGGGCTACCATACCTCTACCTGCCTCTGATTTCTGATCCCCGAGCTGTAAGTCCGAGATTATGCAGATCTTTGCCAAATCGAAATCTCTGGAAAACGATGCCCAGACACTGCATAATGAGGACTAAGCCCTTTGCGATTTCTCTGCCGGCTTAGTCAGAGAGGCAGGCTGAAACTAGAGATAGAGAGAGAGAGAGAGAGAACGAAACCGAGGGCCAGACCTAATGGGGAGCACAAATGCGAGGCAAGAGCGTTTCCAATGGCGAATGCATTTTCCATTCGGCACGTCTCGTTTTTGCAACAAACAGAAAAGCAGTTTGCCAAATGGTAAAAGGAAAAGGGAAAATGCATTGTTTGACAGATGGATGGATGGATGTGGATGGAGGGACGAGCGAGGCCTCAGGGGACGGAGAGGAAAACAACTGCCAACTGCCGCTTTTCCACATTTTCCCTATTCCATCATTATCCTGCCAAACTTGTTTGCTCTCGCTCTATCGCTGGCTCCGTCTCTCCCATCTCTGTCTCTTGCGCTATACCAATTTTCATTTCAAATTATGCTTTGACCAAAGCATTCGCATTAAAAGGACAACGCTCTCCAGCTCCTGTATCCTGTATTTGTGTGTGTCTGGCTGCGTGAGCGAGTATCTGTGTGTGTGTGTGGTGCGAATGCGAGCGACCGAGCGAGTGAGTTCCATCGACGGCTGCGTCGCCATCGTCCTGGCATCAGGCTGTAGTTCAGTTTTCTCTCGTAGCTCGAACAGCTCAGACATGTCGCTGGTCCGCGCTCGCCGTGTGTGTTTATAGTTCGCATATAAGAGCCAGATAGCTATATATACATACAAGCCATACATATATATATTGATACTCTCGTGAGCCACCGCCCCCCGTCCCGCAAAACATACAACACACAAAAAAAAAAAAAAACGAGCAACTAAAGAAAGAAAACCAAAGTCAAAGACTGTGGAAAACGCAAGACAAACGACAAACGACGCCATTTGATAGCCAAATGTTGCAGGGCAACATTTTCCAAAAGTTTAAAACCAAAAAAAATCGAATCACACACTACCAAAGTAAAATCAATCCAATTTGTTTAAACAAAAACTAAATAGAAATTGTGCAACCAAAGTTCTGTGAAAGAAGTAAAAAAAAAAACCAAGAGAATATAGAGATATATTTGATATGCAAATGCAGATAAAATAATGTGCAATAAACTACGAATCTTTATGGAGCAGTGAACCACTGCCTGCCTCTATAGACCACCTATCAGATACTTGAATACCATTTTGCCATTTTGTTGGGATTTACACAGCGAGCGAAACGAAACGAAACGGAGAAACTGAATAATAAACCATAAATAAAAAAGAGAACGAAACGAAACGAACAAAAACCCATCGAAGCACATCACAAGTGAGTTCTAAATTTCATCTTTCCATACAAACACACTCACACACACACAGATACTCCTGTAAACACACACACATATATCCCACTCATCGCTCGCCCCCTTTACTCGTTGCTTTGTTCACTCGCCCATTATGTTGTGTTGCCCTCGCCCTCTGTATATCCTGCGTTGGTCCTCTCTCTTTCCTACTCTGTGTCTACTCTGTTTCGCTCACTCAAATATGGAAACACGAACCCAACCAGCAAATAGTTTTGCGCACTCGTCATTATCCTTCGTCATTGTTCCCCCGCCCCTCACCGTTCCCCTACCTATCGTTGCTGCTCCGCTCTCTTCTCTATCTCTGTCTCTCTTTCTCTGTCCCTCTCGCACACATCGAATCCCTCATCGGGTGGTGGTACAGTTTTCTGCGTGGCCCAAAATTGCGTAAATTTTCATCTAGTTCGCGCTAGGATGTCTCGCACAGCGTTGGTTGTCCTCGCTCCTTTCCTTCCGGCTTCTGCTGCTCCTGCAGAGCTTTCAATCTGTTTAGGCTGACAGTAAAATCGAAACACGGAAAGCAAATAACAAAAAACAGAAAACAAGCGGAAACCGGAAAAGTTTTTAATACAAATCCAAATACAGATGTGAGATTATTGCTTATTGGGCGTTTTCTATTTAGGAAGGATGCAGCAGAGTGCTGGGCATTAATTGATTCCCCCCTCTGTGGCATGATTTATTGCGGCATCCTCTTGGCATTTCATGTATACAGGAATACATTGCGAAAAATTGCGAAATCACAAAATGGGAAATGGTAGAAAAGTATACCTGAAATAAAAAAACCTTTTCGTGTGACATTTTATACGGGAATCGGTTCGCCAGTGTTTTCCTGCAGTGTATTGATAACGAATTTATTATATACGGACTTTTATTTTAAATGGTATTTCAGCTTTGATTTAACATCTAAATTTAATGGTGAAATTATGCCCGATGGGCTGTAAGCTTGGGATTTTCGATCTCCAATAATTGTGTACAATTTACATAGATTTCTTATGGAACAACATAAAATTATTATTGCATAAGGAAACATATTTTTTTTGAATATTCGCAATGGTACTTTAAAATTTGCAGCTACTTTCAAAATTTCAGCTAGTCTAAGGATAAATGATATGTGATATATGATACGAACCCATTCTACGTACTACTAACGATACAATATCTAATCCATAAGATCAATGCACTTTCGTTTTATGGGTTTTATCCAGAAACAAAGAGATGGGCAAGTTGAAAAGGGGAATGGGGAATGCCTGCTGCTGTCTGTTGTCTAGCATTTGAGGAGAGTGGAGAATCGAACGATCCGCTCCTCAAACAGCAGCAGAGGCACACAACCAACTGCATATCCTGCCAGCCTCTATCCACACGGCCCGAATGCCTGCTGTTGCCCCTGCCCCGGTCGCTGCTGCCGCTGCCTCGCCCATTCAGAAAAAAAGGCGCACGAAAAGTTGCAGCTGTTCTCTTTCTGTTTGCTTTTGTGGCAGGCAGAACGATCCGCACCGTACCGCACCGCACCGCACCGCACCGATCCGATGAAATCGTTCAGCGACGGGGCAAGCAGGCAGGCACTGAGACTAAGACTGTGGCAGGGGTAAAGGCGGTAGGCAGGAGGCATCTGCTTCGGATTAATGGGCTCTCCGAATGCATTGAGCCAGAGCCATGGCCAGAGCCTTGAGATAGAGTGCTATATCTGATGAATGCGGGAGTTTTAATGCCTCTCTGCTTTTATCACAGTTCCAGGATCGAAGCAGAAATTATAAGAAAGAAGAGAATAACAGACAAAGGGAGAGAGCGAGCGATTCGCTCAAATGAAAATGTCCGAAATACCGCGCATCATGGTCTTCCGACCCACCTGGGAGGAGTTCAAAGACTTTCCCAAATACGTAGCCTACATGGAGTCACAGGGCGCCCACAAGGCCGGGCTGGCCAAGGTGGTGCCGCCATCCGAGTGGATACCACGGCGCAGCGGCTATGCCGATCTGGATGCCCTGAACGTGACAATTCCCGCGCCCATCTGCCAGGTGGTGACGGGCAAACAGGGCTACTACCAACAGATCAACATACAGAAGAAGCCGCTGACGGTGAAGCAGTTCAGCGACCTCGCCAGCACCGAGCGCTATGCCACGCCCAAGCACTTTGACTACGAGGATCTCGAGCGCAAATACTGGAAGAATATCACATATGTGGCGCCCATTTATGGGGCCGATGTCAGCGGCAGCATCACAGATCCCGACCAGGATGTAAGTGTTTCATTGGAGGTTTCATTGGGGACTTTGTGACCGATCTGTTGTCCCCCTTGGGCTGTTGTGTTGCAGAGTTGGAACATCAACAGACTGGGCACGATACTGGACTACGTGAACAAGGACTACAACATCCAGATAGACGGAGTGAACACCGCCTACCTCTACTTTGGCATGTGGAAGACAACTTTCGCGTGGCACACCGAGGACATGGACCTCTACTCGATCAACTATCTGCACTTTGGGGCGCCCAAGACGTGGTATGTGGTGCCGCCGGAGCATGGCCGAAGGCTGGAGAAGGTGGCCAATCAGTATTTCCCGGCCAGCTACAAGAACTGCAATGCGTATCTGCGCCATAAGATGACGCTCATATCGCCGCAGATCCTCAAGCAGCACAATGTGCCCGTTAGCAAGGTTAGCCATTCAAATAGAGAGTGTCCTTAAGATAAGCCATCCTCCATCCTCCATCCTTCACATACTGCAGATCACCCAGGAGTCGGGCGAGATCATGATCACCTTCCCGTTTGGCTACCATGCGGGCTTCAATCACGGCTTCAACTGCGCCGAGTCCACAAACTTTGCCATGGAGCGCTGGATCGAGTACGGCAAGCGAGCGGTAAACATAGACCCTACCACCCTCCCCACCCCCTCCCCTGGGACAGCGTCCACTCATGCGGGTGTCGTCCTTCTATTGCAGGTCCAGTGCACGTGCAGCAACGACATGGTCAAGATATCCATGGACACGTTCGTGAAGCGCTTCCAAAGCGACCGCTACGACATGTGGATGGAGGGCCGAGATGTGGGCCGGCATCCGGAGGATCACGCCGGCGGTACAACGGTCACAGCTGCACCCCTGCCACCCCACCTCGATGTCCTGCTGTGTGATAAGAAGTAGGTTTCCCATCTGCAGGATGCGTGACTCGCCCTTGACTCTTCTCCCTTCTCCCTCTCCCTTTTCGTCAATGCAGAATGAAGAAGCAATGCAATCCCACCATAGCGAAGAGCTTTAAGGAGCGCAATCCCGACCTGGATCTCGACGAGATCCAACAGAACCCGAATGTGCCCGACGACGTCAAGGCCATGCTGAAGGAGAGCGTGCTCACCCTGGACACGGCCGACCTGGGCATCGAGGGTGAGGGCGATTATCCGAACGAGGATGCCGTGAGTCTGCAGAGTCCTGCGGACTTTAAGACCAAGCAGGAGCTGCTCGAGTACATGGATGATGGGACAGGTGTGTAGGCCCGCTGTAGAGTCCCGAGATCTGACCTAAAATTCTCGTTTTTTTGTTCTCTTCGCCTTCTCCCTCTCCCTCTTCGTCTCTTGGTCCCAATCTATCTCTGTCTCTCTTTTGATCTTTGCAGAAGACGATGACGAGGAGGAGGAGTTTAAGCGTCGCAAGGCGAAGCGGCGGTACGATGCGGACTACGATGACGATTGGCTAGCCTCCCACCATCGCCGCACCAACTCGCGGAACAGCAGCCGCGGCCGCAGTCCGCGCACCAAGGACGAGCGCTCCATATCGCCGGCCTCCTCCACATCCTCGACATCGCGCGGTGGGCGACGTGGCAAGGGCAACTCCACGACCCGCAAAACGCCATCAAAGCGAAAAAAGGATGGCGCCTCTGCAGTGTCTCCGGCTGCAGCAGCCTCAACACTTGCCACAGTGGCAGCATCCACAACTGCAACACCAAATACAACAGCGACAGCAGCGACGGCAGCGGCGGCGGCGGCGGCGGCGGTTAGCAGCGATGGAGGTGAGAGCAGCAGCTTCATAAGCCACTGCACCACTGCCACATCCATATAACCACCGCAATCCCATCATCAATCATCAACCGTGATCCTATCATCATCCAGATCCAGATCCAGATCATGTCAACCATATCCCTCCCAGACTGTCCAGCCTACAGCACTCTCCCACCCACCACCACCACTCCCCCGTGGATGGGTCGAGGGCCACTCTTCCGTGGCCTCGACAGTCCCCGACAAATGTAAATAAACTTTAGCCGCATCTGCAGCTGCCATTTTCATCTGCAGCGTGTCCCCCCCCATTTGTATCCTGTATCTTGTATCTGTTGCTTGTGTTTTAACCTACCTACGATATACATACCACATACCATAAGGTCTCTAGCTCTGTTCTATTCTGTTCTGTTCTAAATCTAGTTGTAAGTGCTCCCAACAACAAATATACGATCACGCTTTTAAAACTATGCTAAAAACTAACCAAAAACCAAAACTGTTTTACTAAAACCTCCATCTGTCTCTCTGTCTCTGGGCCGCCATCTTCAGTGTTTGTTCTGCTTTCGATTTCGATTTCGATCCTGCTGCTGCTTTTGCTTAAGCCCAACCGCCACCATTCCACTCCCACTGCCCCCTACGCCATGCTCCTTGATCCATGTCCTTTCATATCTGTGTGTGTGTGTGTTTACAACAAATATTAACCACTCAAAAACAACATCTATGATACTGTAGTCAAAGCAGATATTAAAATATGCCGATTGCCATTTTCCAGATGCCAAAAAGGAGCAGCAATCGCTGGCATTCATGCAACAGCCTCGCAAGTTCGAGGGCAAAATACCAAAACTAAGTCAGCCAGCATCAGCAGCAGCAGCACCAGCAACTGCTCCAGCAGTCGGAGCATCCACATCCACATCTAGTCAGGATCAGCATCAGCAGCAGCAACAGCGAATATTCTACATCAATATGTTGCCGTCAGCCAACACTCTCAATGGCATTCCACAGCAGCAGCCGCAACAGCAGCAGCAGCAACAGCAACAACAGCAGCAGTATGGCAGCACCGATGGTAACGTCTATCAGCTGCAAAATGAAATACTCTGTGATGCAAATGGACAGGCGGTAACGGCTGCCACAGCCACATATCAGACGACAGTACCCAGCAGTCCCCAACAGCAGCAGCAACAGCAACAGCAAAATGTTGCTGTTAGTGTGGCCAACAACAACGCTGCCGGTAAGTGTCTTTTCTGTTATTCTGTTGTGTTGATTCCTTAACTTAAATGTTCCTTTGTTTGTTTGTTGGTTGTAGTCTTTGTGTTTGGTTTAACTTTAACCCACTTTGTGTACTCGTAATTGGTGTCATGTCGAAGCTCTCAGAACTAACCGATCCGCATTTATAAACCACACATAATGTATATATCCAGTATTCGTATCTGTTTTATTTGTTTAACATTCAACAAATTGGCCAAAATTCAAATTCAAATTAACTCGATTTTATTTCGTAAGTGTCCGCATTTCATTCCATCTCATGCCACATCCATTCATCCATCCAGAATATCGGAGATCTGTTCAATTTTCAACTATTATTTTAAAATGTTTCTTGTGCCCAAAATTCATTCGCACCCTTCAAAATAAAAACAAACAAACCAGAGATAAAAGAAAAGAAAAAGATTATCAATGATTATTTCTTCCATTTGCGGTGCTCAAAAATAAAACATATTCAGATTGATTCAGATTCATCAAACCCAAATGAAATCCACACCTGATTAACAAGAACAAATGCTTTTCCAACTAAATAGTCGTGTTTATTTTCCAACACGATAATCCTCCACCTCCATTGGTCTGTATCTCTGCCTCTACTCTCAAACGTCAAATTTCCATCAAATTGTACATCAAATCTATATAAATAAATGCACAAACATTTCCCCAGAGGGAACTCCGTGCTGTGCGCGTTGAAAAAGGCTCAAAAATTATGCAATTATTATTTGTATTATTATTTTAGTTTAGTTTAAGAGTTATTTCACACAGTTCAAACGTGGCGCGCGCTCAAGTGATGGCCAGCCAGTGTGACCAGCTGCTCAGCCGAAACAGTGCTGCCCATCCATGCGCACGCATATGGCAATTTGGTCTTTGAACTGAACTGTTTTATTTTTGTTATTATTTCTTAGATTTGCGTTTATTATTTAAGTTAATTTTAGTAAAGTTATTTAATTTTTTTCTATAATTTGTATATCTCTGTTTTTTGGTTCTTTTTTTTGTTTTATTTTGTATCTGTGAACCAAAGACACTATCCGTTGGCAGTACTATCCCCCCATCCCTCCATATAGAGGGGTGCGCCAACGTTTGGCCAATTCACAAATATACTTTCTCTGTCCTCTGTTGTACACTCAGTTATTGGAGTATTTTAACTATGTATTTTATTTGTTTCCTTAGTCCGTATTGAGTTATTGCGTTGCGAGTACTGTACAAGAGTTACGATTACGATTGCTACTTATAAACTAGATCTAAGTACTACAAAAACACAAAAATTCTACCGACAAACAAAAACCAATCTCTCACTCTCTCTATATATACCTATATTTTTGATATATCTAAAGAAAGTCGTGCACTGTATATAGGTGGCATACGATCCACCTATATGCGGCGGACCAGTACGAGTAGTTATCATTTTGCACTACATTAGTTTTTGATTTCGATTGATTGATTTCGATTTAAATTCCAATTTCGATTACGATTACGATTGATTTATTGATTTATGCAAATATTACATTCAAACACATCTTTTATGAACCAAACCGAATATGTATTTTCCAAAAAAAATATATAAACAAAAGACAATGTGGTCACAACTATTAGTTCGTCCTCCATCCTGCACACGAACGGCACCGCCCACACGAACGGAGGAGTGGACCCCAACACCACCCACGAACATCAGCAGCAGCAACAACAGCAGCAGCAGCATCACCATCAGCAGCAGCAGCAGCTGCCACAGTACCACTACATCACCACCGCTGGGGAAGATGGACAGACCCCCACAACCATAGTGTTCGAGAACTATAATGGCGGCATGCCCGCATCCGTCAACTCTGCCACACCGACGCCCGTGTCGGTGGCTGCCTCGCCGGCGCCCACATCGACCACCACCACTGCCCTGGTCAACACGGACGGGACGATCATCGAGTTTGACGGCAACACCTACGAGGAGTACCATGTGCTAAAGAGCGAGCCGGGGAGCAGCGACTGCCTGAGCAATGGGAGCAGTGCCGTGGCGGCGGACATCATCAAGTACGAGCCGCAGCACGTGGAGGAGGATGACGAGGAGAGCGGCCTGCAGGTAAAGTACGAGGACGAGGGCCTGCAGGTGAAGTACGAGGAGCAGGAGCAGGACCTCGACCAGGGGCAGGACTACGAGGAATACCAGGTGATCAAGGCCGAGGTGGAAGCGGAGGCGGCGGAGCAGGCGGCCGGCGCGGTCAGCTACACAATCACCAGCCTGCCAGACGATCCCAGCCAGCCGCAGCAGGCCAACTCTGGCGAGCCCAACGCCAACAATGTTCCCAAATCGGGATCGGCGGCGGCCGCCAAGCAGAAGCGCAAGCGGAAGACGCGCGTCATTGCCGAGGACGAGCAGGGCGAGTACCTGGAGAAGATGAGTGTGCGGGGCCTGGACATTGCCCGCTACGAGCACATCATCGACGGTGTGGCCTACTGCCTGGTGTGCGCCAAGAACGACATCTTTAAGACGTTCAAGAACAAGTACAGCTTCCAGCGGCACGCCTACCTCTTCCACGAGGGCCAGAACCGCAAGATCTTCGCCTGCCCCATTTGCAACAAGGAGTTCTCGCGCCCCGACAAGATGAAGATGCACAAGAAGGACAAGCACGGCGACGTCCCCATGCCGCCATCGGCCACCACCACGCCCCTCAAGGCGGACGGCGCTCCGGCCGCCAAGCGACCGCGAACCTCCCGCACACCACGTGTCCGCAAGTCCAAGGCCAGCGATGCCGGCGGCACACCCACCGGCACGCCCGCCAAGAAGCGCCTGGCGCAGATCGACAGCGTGCTGGACGATGTCCAAAACTCGGAGAGCCTCAACGTGCCGCAATCGCAGCACCAGCAGCAGCAGCAGCAGCAGCAACAACAACCCATGCAACACACACTCACGACGACGCTGGCACCCACAACGACGCAGCAGCAGCCGCAGCAGCTGCAAACGCTGCCATCGCTGGACTTCAGCGGAATGATACTGCCCGGGAGGCGCTCAGCTGGCCCTGGCCAATCCGGGGGCCAGCAGCTCGATGACCCTGCAGCGTGGTGCGACCACGCCGAATGGCGGACAGGCGGGGACGGCGCCCACAACGACGCTCATCTACTCGAACCAGTTGGAGCTGCAGCAGGCGCTGCTCCAGCAGCAGCTGCACGGCCAGAGCATCATGATCCAGGACCAGGCGGGCAACCTGGTGCCCCTACAACTGGATGGAAGCCAAACGATATACACGACGGCGCCGGCACCGCAGCAGCGGGCGCAGGCAACGACGGCCACGTACCAGACGACTCAGCCGCAGCAGCAGCAATTGGTGCAACATCAGCAGCAGCAGCAGACGGTGGTGAAGGTGGAGGGGCAGTCGCAGCCCCACTACGAGATGGAGAACGTGACCTACCTGAGCTCCACGGCGGCGGCCACGCCGGCAACGGCCGACCAGCAGCAGCAGCACCAACAGCAACACCAGCAGCAACAACACGTGATTGGAACCGTGCAGAGCTACCAGATTCTGACACCCGATGGCCTGCAGAGCTTCCAGCCAAAGCTGGAGCCGGGGGAACTGGGCGACCTTTGTCCCTACTCGCAGTACACATTCCAGCCCACTCTCAACGCCAACGCCCTGGATGCGCACACCCAGCAGCAGCACCACCACAACCAGCAGCACCATCACCACCAGCAGCAGCAGCAGACGCATCTGCTGCAGCAGCAGCAGTTCGCGACCCACAATCCGCACCAGCAGTTCATGGAGCTGAAGAACGAGCTGCTGATCAAGGGCAGCGACGCGTACGCCCTGGACACCGGCTCCATGTACCACCTGCCCTTCTCGCCCACCTCGATGATCAATGCGGTGAACGATGTGAACACATCGTCCCTGCTGGAGACCAAAGAAATTAGGTAAACACTTCCGCTAATCCCTCTCCCTAATCTACTCTCTACTCTATTCCCCACTTTTAGATCTATCTCTTCTCTCTCTTTCTCTGTACATTTTCCCTAGTGTAACTCGCTCGTCTAGTATCTATATCTCTCTCTCTCTCTCTCTCTCTTATTGCTCTCTTAAATGCTCCTTAAATCTGTCTCTTTCCGCTGAATCTGTTGAGTAGTCGGCGGCGATGCTGCAAGTCGCTTGTGTACCGTACCGTTGTGTTTCCTATATTTCCACGTATTTAGTGTTGATCAACGCCGTTGTACCATATGCTACTAAACACATTTTGCAACACTACTGCAATAAGAACAACGACCGCATAAGAACAATGAAAGCAAAAGCCAAGTGCAACGCATATGAAACCACCGAAAACGTACATTAAGCATTAACCAGTTTAGTTTTTAACTTAGTCCTATGCATATTTTACTTTATTTAGTATTATTCTTTTGTACGTCTTGGAGTAATTTAAGACTTACGCGTAACATACATAATTATTTAGTAGCACTTTTTTTTTAATATTTTTTATTGTACGATACCCACGATATTTGCCAACATTTTTGTGCATTTATTTATTGTTTCACCCCCACTCTACGCTTTACATAGACTGTGCGTTGTCTCTGGCTTTTTATTGCTTCCTCCCCAACTCCCCCTCCTTCTCATCCTGCAAGCATCTGCTTATGCTACCTAATATCCCCGCCTAATACCCCCGCCTAACTCCTAATTCCTTATGTGATATAATCATCTTGTTGCCCTGGTTTTGTTCAGAGAAATAAGTTTTGTTCAAATACGTTTTATACCTCAATGCAATTTTGTTCTTTTTCTTTCTTTTCTCTTGTTTTATTTTATGTACACACAACCAACCCACCAACCAACCAATCAATCAATCAATCAATCAAACAAATCAATATGAAACCCAATAATATAACACTCGCGTATGATTAATATCGAAAACGAAAACAGCTACGATATATCAGAGGCGGTGCTATTAGCCCTCTGAGCAATCTGAAACGCCATCGAAAGCTGCAGCCAAAGTACCAAAAAATCTAATTTAATCAAATGAAAACTAAAACTATAAACTCACTCGCTGAAACAAGAGAAAACCAGAAACCAGACACCAAGAGTGAATAGCAAAATGCCTCCTCGAGAGCAAAAGCAACGCAAATGGAAGCCAGTTTCAATGTTTGCTGAGCGCGGGGCAACCATCAAAATACTTCTACATATATAAAGTATAAATCCCATAATACTCACTGTCTCGGCTCATTGATATATTCATTCAATCAATCAATCAAGCTGTCAATCAATCATTCCTCCATCATCACTTGTTGTGCCTGTTCCCTCTCTCTCTCTCTCTCTCTCTCTGTGTGTGTGTGTTTTATGTGTAACATCAGAAAAAAAATCCGATCATCATGAAATAAATATAATAATACTATATGTATAAACGATCCACACAAATAAACTTAACCAATACACATAACAAACTAATACATAAACAATTGAAATTGGACATTTAGTGCAAGGTATGTGTACTTTTATTTATTCGCTTTTCGTTTTTTCGTTTCGTTTCGTTTTGTATTTTTTTTTTGCCTAACCGTCTCCCTCGTTTTGTTACTAACCGAATGTCTCATTACCAATTGGCTCTTTGACCTACTCTTAACGTTATAATAAGTCCTCCTGCATTCATACATGCATGTGCCAGTGTTGGACAATATCCACATGAAAAGCCAGAGTTGCATTTGCAACATGCATGTGTGAGCGGGCTATATTAAAAACGGGGGAATCAAGCGCAGGCATCCACCACACAATCCCACATACATTCGATCATCACAAAGCTATCAGTCATACATATAAGTAATAAATTATAATTTACTAACCCAGATTAACTCTGATTTAAGCCTACCTAAATTACCCAAAACGAAACCACATAAGAAAAATTAAGCAAAATTGCTAATGAAAATATTTTATTTTATTTTTTCTTTTTTCATCCAACAAAAACAAAAAAAAAAAAAAAAAAAAAAAAATATGGAAAATAATTTTTTGTTCGTCCGTTGTTTGTGTTATTTCTTATGATTTGCACACAAAAAATTCATCAACATGCGACATGAATCACAAAAAAAAAAAACAACAACAACAACCCGAACGAACAACAACAGGTTCTTCTAAACACCACAACAACCACAACCACATCTCCAAGAACAACAACCAGAAGGCAATGTTCAAGCGGCCATACACACCAAGCATTCACAGACCCACCACCACCACCACCACCATCAAAAACAACAAGAACAACAACAAAAACACCACCACCAACACGAATCACCAAAACCACCGTCCCCAAAACACTGAAGACTTGCAGCGTCGCCAAGCGGAAGCGAATCGCATTTACTATGAAGAAATCGTCCTAAAGCAGGCACAATCCCGTGCCCGCTGCCTCGTCGGTAGCGGCAGCACGGCCAGTCGCAGTGGCAGCTGCACCCTCAACGGCAGTGGCAGTGGCAGTCGCAGTCGCAGTCGCGGCAGCTTCGTCGATAAGTTTGCCGACTTTGTTACACACAACACGAGAATGCCCATGTCCATGCCCGTCCCCAACCACAGCCACCAGTCCCATGCCGTGCCGAATCCCAGAACTAATGCAAACGCTGTCTCATCTCTCATTCCTCCCCTCAACGCGAACAGTGGAAGCAACGCCAACCTCAGCTCTGGAGCTGCTAGCAACTGTGTCTCTGTGGTGAGCAGCAGCGGAATCAATGGCTTCAAGGCCGGAGCCAAAAAGACGCCGGTCATTCTGCTAGCCGCCCGTGGCCCCGGAAAGCATGCGCCCATCAGCCTCATCAACGGCACTGCCAAGGCCGGAGCGGGCGGTGTCACGTTGCTGCGCGTCAATTCACAGCCCAATCGCAACCAGCGACAGGTCATCGTCGCCCCAGAGCAGGTTCAACAGCAGCAGAACAGCAACAGCAACAACAACAGCAGCAGCACCAACAGCAGCAGCAGCACCAACAACAGCAGCAGCAACAACAACAGCAGGAACTGACTGAGGAAGAGGCGGAACAAATGGAGCTGGCGGAGGATGAGGAGCTCGACGAAGAACTAGAGGACGACGATGATCTCTCCTCTTCCACCGCTCAAATCCTGCGCAAATTCCGCATTCCCAAGGGCACGGCCCTGACTGCCAAATCTGGGGACAACTATCTGGCCATGCCCACGCCCACACCGTCACCCCCTGGGGGCGTCAATGCGGGTGGCTCCGCCGCTGATGTTGGCAACTACATTGAGAACGAAGATGACATAATCGAGGAGCTGCACGAGGATGATCTGGTCGAGGAGATAATCGACGAAGAGCAGTGCGAGGAGCAGCCCGAACTGGAGGAGGAGGAGGATGCGACGACGGCCGACAACGATGGCCTCGACCTGAGCAGCCCAAGCCATGCAGCCCCACAGCCGGTGGCGACGGCTGCTCCAACGACTCAGCAGTTGCTGCTCACCTCGGCCCCACAGCCTCCGCCGCTGCAGCTGCAAACTGTGAGCTCCAACGGTACGGTGACGTACCTAAATCTGCCACCCAACACGATTTTGCTGCAGTCGGCCGACGGCAGCATCATAGCAGCCACCCAGGTGCCGCATCCGAATAAGGCGGGACAGCATCAGCTCATCGCTCTGCCGGGCAACGTGGCGATGGCAGAGCCGGCGCCCCAGGCCACAGCGGCGCCCACGCAGACACTGCTCCTGACGGCCGATGGCACGGCCATTCCTATAATGGCGAATGTCGCGCCCCAGCAACAGCACCACCAGCAGCAGCAGCAACAACAGCAACAACAGCAACAGGCGGCTGCTGCTGCTGCTGCCCAGCTGTTTGCCGCGTAGGGGCTAATGGGTGGCCAAATGGGTCGATTTCTGAACAGTGCCACCATAATGCCGACCACTTATTTTTTTTAAAAATCGCCAGTTTATCCAGTCATAGATCATTGGTGATAGATGGTGTTGCTCATGCGGCAAAGCTTCGTACGGATCGTAAGCCTTGCCCCGTCAGCAACATTTTATTGGGAATTGCCAGAGCCCGATTGAAATCGTCGCACTTGGCCACCCATGTAGGGGGGTGTGAGGGGAAGAGCAATTGGGGAAACGGGCAATAGAATCAGTATAAGAAACAAACTCACAAAAAGCCAAGCTAAAAAACTTCTTGATATTACTACAACGTTGGATGTGCATAGAAAATTTATTTTTATACATATAATCGAAAATGGGGAAAATCAAATGTTGTTCAACACACCCACAAAAAAGCCCACATAGACACACACAAACAAAAATAACAGACACAGTGTTGTAAAGGAATCAAATATGTACATTTCAAGGCAAACTTAAGAGGATCTTTACATATAAATAAATTATTTATACAACTAAGCTAGCATTAAACATTAAGTGCAAAGACGAGACACACACCCAAACCAGTTGTAACTACTCGTATTACCATCGCTGCCCCAATGGAGCGGCGGAATATGTTTAGCCTAATTTACGATTAGCATTGTATCTCGTATTCATTTCTGACTATCTATGCATACATTACATATGTATGCAATGCTCTGAATGCATACTTATGAATATATTTTTGTTCCTTTTTACGTATCGAGAAATAGACAAGAACTATTTCATCTAGTATTTCGCCACTAAGTTCCACACAATCTATTTATTTATTCTTGTTAACCGATATCCCACCCCCCCGCGTGCATTCGTGCAGCCCGCTTCGCGTCGTCCCTTCTCCTAATGGTTTCTTTTAAAATGTTGCATATTATTTACGTGAAATATTATACATACATATATAGGTGTGTATGTTTTATCTGCAATCCTGTTATGCCATTCATTTAAGAGTAAGCGAATTCAAGCCTAGCACTGACCGAACCTACTTTTAAGTTGTGAAATCCCCCCGATCCTTCACCCATTCGATACTTAAGGCTAAAGTATTTTTCATATGATTACACACACCTACAATACAGCCCCTAGGTTACACACACCCCCGCCCACACACACACACACACACACACAAACACATTACATAACATAGCTAACATTAATGGAAGACAATGATTGAAAACGTATATAAATATTTTAGTCTAAGACCCACACAAACAAACAAACAAACAAACAAATAAGCAAATAAGAAAAGAGAGTTGCACTTCTTGTAAGATATACTTCTAGATTAAGGTCTAACGATAAACGAAGCAAAGGAGAAAGCGAATTAAAATCAGCAGCCTAAAATATGTATAATAACGAGTCTTAAACTAATATTAATTTACGTATATATAAATATATATATTTATTATAAACAATAAAATACAATTTTAAAAATTTAAAAGCCGTTTAGTCAGTTATTTTGCTCAGACAACATTTAATTTAATTAAATTCATTTAGTTCCCATTTTGTATGGGTATATTGATAGTAGTTACGACGTTGGTTTTGTTCGTTGGCTTGGTTATATTTCGTCTCGGCATAACTGGAACCATGGACTGGGCATATAACTTAATCGAACCCAGAGTTTGGGGTGGCTTCTCTCTGTAGTTTTCAAAGGGAGTCAAAGCAAGTAGGTAGTGACCCAATGGCAGCTTCATAGGCACAACACTCTCATCGACGAAAAAATCTCGAGCAAAAATGTGGCCCTGAAATGAAAACTTTCGAATCAAGCCAGCAAGTGGGTTACATTTTCTCGGTCTTACCATAAATGGGCACGAGTGATTGACGTTGGTATAACGCTTGAACAGACCCCAAATAAATTTCCCATAGGGGCTATAATTTCTTCGGCCAATAATGTCGCATAAATTAACCACAACATCCACCAAGAACGGATGATATTTATTGCTGTAGTCGCGTTTAAAGATCTTTAGATGAATCTGCAACCGGAGAGGTTAGATCTGTGGCAATTGGGTTAATGGCAACGGTTCCAGCTTACCGTAATATTCTTCACGGGCTCGACCAAATACATGTCCATCTGGGCAACGGCTTTATTCCAATTGACGGCCTTCAGGATGCACGAGACATTAGCAGTGATCTTCGGATTGGGGCTGCATTCCAAGTTCGTCGTCTTGTATATTACCTTGGGTTCACAGCACTTGCAAAGAGTTTAAATGTTAAAATATCTTCGATTATAATTTTTCATTGGCACGTTTTTTTTTACCATTTTCCAAATCAGCAAGGAGCATATAAGAACTGCAAATGACAAACGCATGATTGCAAATGAAATGCGATTTTATTGTACGTTTCTGATGTTCTAAGTTTTTAATGTTTCCATTTAAAAAGCAATTTACTTTTTCTTTTTTTTTTAATTCAATGATTCAAATTTAATAGTTATTTACATTTCATTAAAAGTAGATCAGAGTTTCGGTAACATTATAAATCGATTTAAACCACATTTAATGACGAACGGTTTCAGTTTTTATTCTTCTTATTTATGACAGGTATCATAGCCTGGACATACCAAACGATGCTTCCGGCATGATCGGGCTGCTTTTTGGGGTAATTCTCCATAATGGTAATGTTGATTTTGTAAAGGCCCAACGGAAAATAGTTGGGCACAAAGGACTCGTCGATGTAGGCGCCGCGTGCCATTAAATGACCAGCAAACGGGCAGGAGTGATTGAAATTCGAGAACCGTTTGGTCACTTTAATTATAATCACGCCAACAGGCATAAAGCTCCTTCTCGATAGGATATCACATATATTAATGGTAACGTCCACAAGAAATGGCTGATACTGGTTGCTGTAGTCCCTCTTGAAGAGCTGAACCCGTACCTGAGCAAGCAGTTGTACTTACTAATTAGTGAGGGTTTTTGGGAAACGTTTGGGGTGACATCACTTACTGAGATATTGTGCAGTGGCTGGAGCAGTTCAACGTCCATTTGGGCCACGGCTTTGTTCCAGTTGATGGGCTTAATATAGCACGAGCTGTTAGCGGAGAAGGGGGCTACTCCAAAACATTCGATATTCTTCATTTTATAAATCACAGACGGTTCACAGAGCTTGCCACAAATTGTACAATAAATTGATGCATAGCAGATACGAATAATGCGGGGAATTTTATACTTACCACCATTCCGTAGAGAATAAGCTGCGGAGCGACTAGTGCAACGAGGTACATGGCCAGAACTGCGAGCTCTATTCACATTTGACAACCATTTAAATCATTTTTAAATTACGCAAAAAAAAATTTTCATTTGATAAACAATTAACCCGTAAACGATCTCCATCTGATATATCCCCCTGCCAGATTGATTGAATACTACTGCGTCAGAGGAACGCTCCCCAGCCAATATACATGACAGCCAAGTTGTCCAATTTGGTGGCCTCGTCGATGAGAAAGTTGACCTGTCCTTCGGTTGACAGCGGAATACTGTTGGACTGCTGGCGCTTAACCTGTTGGACAACGATAAGCAGAGTGTCGGTAAATCTTTAAATGAAATCTTTGGAATTTATGTGACGCTTACGTGACCCTGCAGACGATCGGCAATGCGCTGCACATCTTTGGTGATCTTTGCCGTGGCGGCGGCGTTGCGGATCTGCGCTCCGACATCGTAGACAAAGGGTCGCAGCATGGACATCAGCGTCTTGGCCTCCTGCTTGAGCAGGCGCAGGGTGATCTCGCAGCACTTGCGGTAGCTGCCCTCGACGCCCAGCGGCCCCATGGCCGCGATCATGTTCTGGGTGAGCCGAAATGGAACCATTTCCGGGTAGTTCAACATCTCGCCCTGGTTGAACAGGCAGTTGAAATCCACGTGGACTGCGTCACCATTGCGCTCATCGAAGAGTATGTTTTCGCCGTGACGATCGCCCAGCCCCAGGATGTAGCCCACCATGGACATCACGGCCACGGTGCGGATGTACGTCTGTCGGGCCTCATACCAGCTGTGGGGCGTGGCGAAACGCTGACGCAGCCACACCTGGAACACGGGCGGATGGGCGGGCAGCAGCTGCTTGGTGAACACCTCGCGCTTCTTCTCTATGGGATCAGTCAGGGGCAGTGCCAGCTGCTGCAGCTGGCGGCTGGTCATAACCCGACCCCTTTGCGCGTACAGGGCCATGCAGATGCTGCGGTATGACGTCAGATTGGGCAGCCACTCGACCAGGCCGCACTCCTCGTTGAAAGGCAGCACGGCGTAGGTGCGTATGTGGAGGCGCCTCTGCCTGGCCGGCGCACTCTGATGCAAATAACGCTTCACCAGCCCATTGAACTCCATCAGACGGGCGTCGCGACGCAGGTCATCCTTGGGCTTCACCAGCACATCGTACTCCTGGCCATCGCTGCAGCGAATGGTGAGCTTCTTGGGCTTGGCCGCCGAGCGCAGGATCATTATCTGCTCCTGGAAGCCGCTGATGTAGATCTGCTGGTAGGGAAACCAGTTGGTGACCTTGCTGCTGCTCGGCGTCAGTGCCGATGGGCTGGACTCCACGGTGAGGGGCATCGTCGGCTGCATGTACTTCTCAAAGGGCAGCAGGATGCTCGAGAAGTCCGCCTGGTTGCACAGCTTGGTGAGGCGCTGGTCCAGGTCGCTGAGCTTGTATGTTCGGTCCAGCGTAACCTCCTTGTTGGTCAGCTCAATCAGACGCTCCGTCAGGGAGTTGAAGTCGATGAGCAGCTTCTGGAAGGCGGCGTTCTGCAGGCGGGCATCGGTGAGCACCAGCTTGCAGCGCTTGATCCTGTTGGCCGTGGCCGACTTGAAGTGTGGCAGCAGCATCCACAGGGACTGCTGTGGATATTCCTCCACCAGGCGTATGATCACATTGCGCAGCACACCGAACACCTCCGGCGTGGGGTGGCAGAGGCGACTCAGCATCTGGGAGAAGACCGTGTAGAAAATGGCCGTGGGCAGGACGCTGCAGCAGTTGCTCAGCAGATCGTTCATCTTCTTGACGAGCTCGGGATTGGTGGCGGACTCGGCCGTGTCCAGCCACAGGCTGATGAGGCGCGGCATCGACTGGTAGACATGCTCGCTGCCATACCGCAGCGATTTGGCATAGTTGAGCATGATTTGGAGCAGCAGTTCGTCGCTCTCGTGGCTGGCATGGGATGTGGATGTGGCTGCGGCTGCGGCTGCGCCCGAATTGCTGCTGCCCTGTGTGGCCTCGCGCATCTTTTCCAGGAACTGCGCCAGCTGCACGTGGCAGCCCTCCGACTGGCGATGCACGGCAATGGCCTCCTGGAAGTACCGCAGAATGGCATCCGCGCACAGATGCATGGACTCGGCATTGTACACCGCCTGCAGGTACTTGCCCTCGAAGTACAGATGACGCTGCTCCGTGGACAGCTGCTTGGCGTTGCCCTGGCACGAGGCTCGAATGATGGACAGCTGCTCCTCCAGATAGTTCATGGCCATGACCTGGTCGCCCTTCTGCCACAGCAGCCGGGCCCGCTCCAAGAAGAGGCCTCTGGGCTTGTAGTCGGCCGCCTTGAGGATGTACAACTGGGCCCGCTGCAGCTGGCCCGCATTCCGGTTGATCTGCGCACTGTTCAGCCAGAGCCTGGCCAGCTCCGTCTGCAGATGCGGCTGGAGATGGCTGCGATCCGAGAGGCGTTGCTGCAGTTCGGCCAGCAGATTCCGGCGGAAGCTGTTGATGGGCTCCTGCACGCGCACCTGCGGCTGTATCACCTGGATACGTGCCTGCCAGTCCTCAAAGTACTCCCTCATCAGCAGCTCCTGTCGATCCTCGGCGGCCTCCTGGTGCAGCTGCTCGACCAACTGCTGGCTGCAGTGCAGCTCGTGGACCAGATGAAGCTTCAGCACCGCATCGTAGGCATTCGCATACGAGTGCTGCTGGACGGCGGAGCAGCTGCGTAGCTGCTCCAACACCGAACCCCGCATCCCATCCAGCAGCGAGTCGAACTGCGGTCGCGTGGTCAGTGGCTGGCGCAGGGCCAGGCAGCCTTGGGCGCACTGGGCCGGCCAGTTGGCCTGGAACTCGTCCAGTTCGTCGTAGCTGCCGAGGCGCCAGAGCAGCTCCGCTTTGCACTCGCTGAAGCACTGCTCCGTGTACTGGTCCGCGAGGCGCTGCCAGAGGCCGTCGGCAATCAGCTGGGCCGTCTTGGGCGTGTCCATCAGGTAGGCGTCGATCATGGCCCGGATGTGCTCCGGCTGGAGGTGGTCTGTGCTCGAGAGCAGCTGCTCGTAGCAGGTGATCATGTCCTGCTGCCGCTCCACCAGACGGTTCACCAGAATGTCCTGGGTGACACTCATGTCGTAGCTGCGTGCCTGAACGGCCCCCTCCACGGAGTCCGAGTCCAGCAGCTTGCCATAGACCTCGACGAGGAACGTGAACTGTTCCAGGATGCGCTTGGACTTGTCCTCCCCATCCTCCAGATAGCTCTCCAGGTAGCTGAGGGCACGGGCATACTCCCCGCAATTGTAGCTGGCGCGGGAGACCAACAGCTTGGGTATCCTGCCGAGAAACTCGTGAATCTTCCCGTAGTTGGTGTCCACCTCCTGGGGGGGTCTTCCCGCAGTGCTGCGGCCGTGCATACGCTGCCATTCCCTTAGCCAGCGTTGCAGAAAGTCGAGCAGCTCGGCACAGAGCTTGCCGGCGAGCCGAGGCACATGGCTGGAGTCCTCCCTCCGCTCCAGGACACTGCTCGCTGGCTGCTTGACGCCGGCCGCGTATTTCTTGGACTCGAACATCTTGAAGGCGTTCTCCTTTATGGCGCCCAGCTCCTGCTGTGCCTTGGCCGAGCTGGAACTCTCCTCGTTGGCCTGCAACACCGCCATGAACTCCTCCAGCATGTGCTGGCTCTGCTCCGCTGTGCACTCGAGGAGCGCGTGCAGCAGAATGTAGGGATAGAAGGTGCTCAGCATGTTGCCGTCCCGCTTGATGCACGGCTTGTAGGAGCTAAGCAGGTGGCGCGTATCCGAGGATTGGATGTAGTCGATCAGGCGACTGGCCCACACGAAGGCCCACTCCTCGTACGAATTGTTGGAGTAGTGGCTGCCAAAGATCGGCTGCTGCTGGCAGTTGCTCGCCCGCTGGCAGCTCGTGTAGCAGGACTGCAGCAGCGGCTCCATCACCTGACGCATGCGGGTAGGCAGCGACTGCCAGAGGCGCACCTTCTTCTGCTCCTTAGGCGAGATACCGCACACGGCCAGGGTCTCCTGTATGGCCAGCGAGAAGCTGTCCACGTGCTTCGTCTTCTGCTGGAACTGGTAGCCGCGGCACAGCGCCGTCAGAGCCAAGACCGCGAAATCGTCGGACATCACGGTCAGAGGCAGCTGCTGGGGGCTGTCGAAATTGTAGTTGGACAGCAGGTAGCTCGCGTCGATGGCCCCCAGTTCGCCGAGACATTTGGCCGAGGCCATCTGCAGCTGTCGGTCGTCGTGCTGGCAGCCAGCCATCAGGACATTGACAATCTGCTCCAGCAGCGGTTCGAGCGGCAGCTCATTGAGGATCATCTGGTTGAGCTGGGTGCGGCGACGGCCGAAGATCTCGCCCAGATGTTGAAGCCCATAGACGCGCACCTGCAGGCACTCATCGACGATCTGCCTGTGGAGGAAGCGCAGCTGCTCAAGCAGCTGGGGCGGGGACTGCGCCTCCTGCCCGGCCAAGTCCAGATGGGAGGTGTGTCGCTTGATGCACTCCCGGATGTTGGGGGAGACGTTCTCCATGCGCTCGAGGAAGTACAGATCCGTTATGAAGTTGCCCAGCATGGAGGCGTTCCGGAGTATCACAAACTCGTACAAATCGTTCACCTGCTTCACGTTCTCGCTATCTTTTAGCAGCGGCTGCAGGGTGGCCACAATGCGGCCCAGGGAGGGGCCCAGCTCCTGCACATTCACCACGTGCAGAAATATGTGCCAGATCTTCAGGCAGATGCGCTGCAGACGCGGCTCCTGCAGCGTGTGCACAAAGCTGAGCATGGCGATGATCTTGAAACGGAACTGGGTGACATGTTTCGCGCCGACGAAGCGCATAATCTGGCCCAGACTGTAGAGGGTCTCCTCCTTGAGGGGCTTCTCGAAGGACGGCTCACTCAGGCAGCTCTCGAAATAGGTGATTACGCCCAGGAAGCGCTCGGCAATGAAGTTGGCAAACTCCGCATTGGCCGCCTGGCTGGACAGCGCCTCCGCTGAGCCCACCGACAGCTGCAGCAGGCTCTGGAACGATCTCATCACGAAGGTGGGGTTGCGATTGAAATAAATCAGCAGCTCAGCCACCGTTTGCTGCGGAAAGAAAGCAGAGCAATGCAAATATATATAGGACAGGCAGTAGGACAGGGGGCAGGTCCCACCTTAACATCCGCATTCATGAGCTCCTGCAGGCTGGACTGCGTGCAACTGACAACCAGCTGAATGCAGCTATTGGCCAGCTCTGGCTCCTCGGTGAGGTAGACATGGGTATAGAGCCGCAGGAACGAGATGGTGAAAAGCGTCGCGATGGGCTTCCGCAACTGTTTGGCTATCAGCACAAGCACTCCCTTGCAGCGCGGCTCCACGATGCAGTGCGGCAGGACCATGGCCGTCAGCAGGCGATGGTACTTGCAGGTGAACTCCTGGACGCACGAGAAACCCAGCATTTTGGTGAGCTAAAAGAGATCGCAATGAATAGATATAGATTTAGGCGATAAAGGTGTCTCGTCATATATACCCACCGCTCTGAGGGATCGCGTGAAGCGCACACCTTCGGTTAGGTATGCAGTCAGGGCCAGGCGCACGGCCAGATCGAGAGCATCCCGCTTGTACCAGTTCCACAGGTTGACCGTCTGCAGGCCGTGGCGGGCACACATCTCGCTGGCCGTCATCACGGCCTCCTGGGCCACCAGGGAGTGCGTGTGCACCAGGAAAAAGAAGGTCATCTTGAACCAGTGGAAGAGCCAGATTTCATCGATGCCCGGGTGGGCACAGGAGATGATTATGCGCAGCACGGCACGCTGTTCCAATTTGCATTGATCTGCCAGAGGCTTGGCCAGGATTTGCTTGATGGCTTCGAGGATGAAGTGGCCCAGCTCCTGCATGAATGACGCCGACTGTGAACTCAACGCAGGAACCAGGAGACTGAAGCTCTTTTCGCCCACTCCCTTAAGTCCTTCCTCCTTGAGCAGACCGAAGACAAGGGAGGGGCTAACGCTGAGCAGGTCCAGGTGATGGGCAATGTACGAGGAATCGGATTGGAACAACAATTCCCTGACTATCAGTTCGAGTATGTCGCTATCGAAGTCGAGATCCTTTGAATTTGGCTTGCACTTGCCCAGGAAAAGGCCAGGCAGCTTCTCCGGCAGCGGCCGACACTGCGGACAGTACAACTCAACGCGATCTGCCACCTTAAAGACACTCAGATGGGAGCACATCAGCATGCGGATCGCTTGACTGCGCGCTGACTGGGGCGACAGGTGCGGCAGGGCTATCAGCAGTTGCCCCGCTTTGAGGAAACCCGCTAGAAAGAGCTGCGGCAGATTCGGGCAGATATTCTCGCTAAATTTCATGAGACGCCTGGCATAGAAGGATTGCATCTGGGTGTGGGCACTCGAAGGCGTCTCCAGGCGGACAGCGGCAAAGTGTGCCATCCCCTGTATGTGATGCTTCTGGAGGATGGCCAGCAGGTGGTGCAGTGTTTGCGGCTTCAGTGAGTGGCTTATGAAGGCGACCTGCATTAGCAGTGAGCAGATCTCCAAGTATATCGGTTGAATGTCACGAATGTCGGCGCGGACATTGTTTTCCTGGTTCGCCAGGTGCGTGGAGAGCTCATTCCAGTCGGTGTCCGTCTCCTTGGGAAGCTTATACTGCAGGGGCAGCCTGGCCAGGATCGCACTATCCAGCTTTTCCTCAGATTCCAGCATCTTTTGTTGGTTCTGCCACAGGATGAGCTGCTCCAGCTGATGGAAGGCCCGCATAATGGCAACAATTTCCCACCACTCATATAAGGTGGTTTTCTCGTTCGGGAGCTGTTGGGCCATGGCCTGTGTCATGGCTTGAACGATGGGCGAGCGCATTTCAGGTTGCTTCACTGCCAGACGCGTCAACAGTGGCAGCAACTGCACGGGATGCGAGCGCCAGTGGCCCATCACGAGCTCCTTCAGCAGAATTAGTTGCTCCATGGAATTCGACGAGTCATCCAGCTGCTTTTGAACGCAGTCGCTCAGACTTTGCAGCAATCCCTTATCGATTTTCAGGCTCTTGGACAAGCCCAGAATCTCGTTTAAGAGCAGGTAACTCAGGTGGAGGGCCTCGCGGCCAGTCAGCTGCAGGACAAGCACCAGTTGTCGTGTGGACATATCAAGCCGAACCAGCTCCTGCCGGCTCATGCACTCCATTTCCAGCCACTTGGCAGCCATGGACCACATCATGGTGATGGCCTCCAATGTCAGCTGCGCGTAATGGGCCACATCGGGATTGGTCAGCCAGCTGTGGGAGGACTGGGACTGCAAGACACCGTGGCAGTACTCCAGGCTGGCCAGCTTCGTGTCCATGTCGCACTCCTTCAGGATGAGCAGCGCCTGCTGCAGGCTCCCCGAGAAGATGTCTCCGTGTGTGGCATCTCCAATATGGTGGGCATGTTGCAGAATCGTCATCAAACTCTTGGCATACGCATCTGCCCTGTCCACCGGCAGTTGGATGTCCTCGAATGCGCACTGGGGATCGAACTCCAGCAGAGGAGTGGCATCGCACTTGAATATCCTCAGGTTAAGTTTCTTGTCATCCCTCGTAGACCCCTCGCTTAAGTCGAGCGCACTTAATTCTACGTGGATCTCTTGCAGTGCTTCCACATAGGCCTTCACCAGGCGCTCGTACAGCTTGGGATGATTCGAGCAGCAGGAGCTAATGATCTTCCTCTGCAGATCGATGCACTGACTGTGGTGAAATAGTTGGCATCAAATGCATATCATTCGGTTTTGTGTTCTTACCTGCCATCTTCACTCTCGCCCAAGCACTTGGCCAGCTTGTTCAGCAGCCACAATAGAAATGTGTCTTGGAATTTGTTGTTCAGCTCGCGGATCAGCGAGCAACTTATAAGGCTCGGCTCCTGGCAGAGTATGTCCTCGATAACTGTGTACGCCTGGGACAAGTTCCCTTCGTTCCGATTCACCAGGTTATAGAGTAGTTTCCACATTTCCTTGCGATGGTTCGCCATTTTCGCTAAATTTATTTTAAGATCCAAAAATAAGCGAAAATAGGCAAAGACCGGCAAAATTTGCCGCAAATTGTAACAGCGCTGCCAGATGCATGTAATTCAGCTCGCCTATCGTTCGTACATATGTATCGATATATTGTATAAGTAGGCATATCGGTTATTTAAATTCTAACTATTATATTTTTTTCTGTTTCCTCTTGGTTCGCATAATCTCCCAATACCAATTAACAGTGCCATAGAGCGCTTTGCTTCCTCCAGAATAGGTTTCGAGAAACGTGACGGATATCCAGTAAATACCGGTTGGAATGGATGATGGTAAATTGCTGGTTTCGAACATCATGTCTCGACCGAACATATGACCCTGCAATAGTAAATTGTGGAGTTATTCCGTCTCCCTACGGTGAATTCTGTGCTGCTAGTTACAGAAAAAGGACAGGAGTGGTTGGCATTCGTGAACATTTTCAATGTTTTCCAAAACAATAGGCCGTAGGGTAGGAAAGTCTTTCCAGCTATCAGGTCGCATACATTAAACGAAATGTTCACCAGAAATGGTTTATACTGGTTTGTATAATCCCTTTTGTATAACTGAAGGCGAACCTGCAAGCAATCATCTCATCTCAGATATTATTTGATCAAAATTTGTACATCTTCTTACGGTTGGATTCCTCAGCGGTTCTATAAGTTGACAGTCCATTTGTGCCAGCGATTTCTCCTTGAGGTAGCATGTCACATTTTCAGTGAACTTTGGATTGGATTTGCATTCGATTTTTGTGGATCTTAGTACCAATTCGGAGGTACATCCCTGTCAGTATTTGTCCTTGGCATTAGATAGATATAATGAGCAGACAAATAATGTATATTACCTTTGAAAAAAACACCAAAAAGCAGAGGAGAACGATCATCATCACATGCAAACTAGCAACTGAAAGAGCCAACCACTAACCCTAATCTGGTTTTAGACTAATGACTTAATAATAAGTCCCCCTTTTCAATCATTGTTACAGTGTGTACTAATCTAATTCAAGATCTGTCCACTAGACCGAAAAGCTGTACAATGCTGTTGAAAGTGACAAGCATAGCTGGAAGTTCTTGTGTCTCTGGAAAATATTCGGAAACCGCGAGACTTTGGCCCTGATTTTGATAGCTGCGGCATTTCTATGTCGTAATGGAGAAAGTAATTTTAAAACTGATTAAGCGCGGGCGATATGAAAAATTAATAGTGCTGCCAGACATCGATAGGTATTGAGGGGGTGGTACCAAACATCGATATTATGTCCAATCGTTATCGTTCACAAATTTGTTGACATTTTTCTGTTTTCCTAATTTGTTGCTGATAATTCGCTGGTTTTCTTATTTGTGGGTGGAGTTTTGCCCCGTTTGGCAGACTTGAAGTTCCTTGGCGCCAGCCAGCTGGACGGTTCATGGCTAACCGCGATGTATTCTCCAAAATCCTGCCCAATGTTAAGTTGGCCACTCGCTACGATGAAGACGGACGCGAAGTACAGGTAAATACGTCTGAGCCTGCATAAATGACTCCTCGTAATGCTCGTTCTTGTTGTTCAGGTGGAGCGGCGCGAGGACTCTGATGCAACAGCAAAGGAGCAGGACACTTTCGACATTCTTGTGGCCGCCGGCTATTATCGCGCCCGCATCAAGGGACTCTCCGCATTTGACAAGGTTGTGGGCGGCATGACTTGGTGCATCGAATGCTGCGACTATGACGTGGATGTGGATCTGCTCTTCCACGAGAGCCTATCGATAGGACAAAAAATGTAACTGAGCTTGCAAATTTCTTGGAGCCCAATAGGATTTATCTAATACATTTTCAGAGCTCTCGTGGAGAAGATTGTTTCGGTTTTGATCGATATGAAGTGTCCACATAGCTTGGAGCCGCATCAGGTGCAGGGTCTGGAGTTTCTTGCCATCCATCCCGTCATTCAGTGGCTAGTGAAGACTTCGGTAAGTGACATTTCCATTGATGCGTACACAGGAATAAAGAAAAGTCTTCCCTTTGCAGGTGGAAAATCGTGCAGTGCGAGGCCAGCGCTTGAAGAGATTTGCCATTGGGGAGTTCCACAATCATTATCAGTATAAAAGCGACAAGGATAATCTGACCAAAATACGCCTGGCCTCTGCCAATATAAAGACCATTCAGGATCTCTACAGCCCATTTAGGATGTACCAACGCCAGGAAGCCACTGACGACGATGAAGTTTCGCGGGTGCGCGTGACGCTGCTTGAGTACGGAGATCCAGGGCCGATGTTCAAGGCAAGCGCAGGCCGCAAGGCAGGGTTGGGTGCCGAAGAGGGCGATCAGGTGAGACCGAATGAATTATTTTATAATTTCACCAAACAAAATTTCCTTGGCAGCTGGAGCAACTGGAGCAGTACCTGCGCAGCCTATCGCTGGCTAAGGAAGAATTTACGGGCACCCAGAAACGTATAGATCTGGACCCTAAGGCGCGGCATGCCCTACAGCAGCACTATGCGGAATTCAAGCTTGAAATGGAAACCGATACCCAGGAACTGAAGGCACAAAATCAACAGAAGCGCCTAGAGGCAGCCAAGATTGCGCTGGAGCACAAGGTGAAACGCTTCTGCAAAGACAACGAGCAACTGGCCGAGGCGGAAAAGGAGCAAGGCCAGAAAACAGCAGAAAAGGAGGAGCAGCTGGAGACGCTAAATGCTGAACTAAAGGCTCACAAAGAAACGGAGGAGAGTGCGGATCCACAGTGAGTTGGCGACTGTCTGGTGGCTTCTGATAAATATGTTCCATGGTTATCTCTTTAGGCTGCTGGCAAGGGTTCAGACGCTGTTGAGGCAGCACGATGAGCTGAAAAAGAGTGAGGCGGAATTCAAAGAGTCCTGCAGGACGGATTTGGCCAGTCTACAGCAACAGATTGAGTAAGATGCGAGCCATTAAAGGGTGACCCAAATTAAATCCTTTATTTTCGTGCAGTGAACTGGAAGCCTTCAGTGCCCAGGATGCGGAAGCGCAGGCAGCTGCCTTGGCAGGCGAAGAGAAGCGCCTCAGGGATCTGCGACTGCAGCTGGCCAAACGAAATCGCGGCATTGTGGCCATTGAACGGAAGCTGGACGCGATACCCGACCGCACAGAGCTGGCCCAGTACCAGCGGCGCTTCCACGAACTCCACAACGAGATGAGCGGCAAGCACCTGGAAACAAAGCAATATTATATACTGTACAATACGCTGAACGACAAGAAGCGCTACCTGGAGAAGGAGCTGACGATGCTGAACTCCATATGCGAGGCCTACAACGAGGGCATGATGAGTCCCCATGGCCGCGAGGACTTCATACGCCAGTTCGAGACGATTGTCGATGGGGTGAAGAGTGCCCAGGACAAGGTGCGTCACAAATACAACGAGGAGCGCATGCGGCGCGACGAGCTCAACGAGGAGCTGCAGTCCCTGCTCGAGCTGCAACGCCAGTATGCCACGGCCGTCAAGCAGCTCACCCGCGAGTGCCAGCGATGCGACCAACTGCAGCAGCACCTCAAGTCAATTAGAACTAAGACCCAGTCCTAGCCCCGCAATATGATATTTAATTATGGCTAGTTCTCCGAGGGCTCATTCCTCCGATTCCTGTCATTCCTCCTATCCGAGTGGGGGGCGGCCTTGCGCAATTACTTAGTAAACTTGTTCAATAAATTGTGTCCCCATAATTGTAGTGCCATTATTCGAGAATTCGTTTGCTGACTGAGTGGACTCCAAGGATTCCACTCCCCAGGGAGCGGATCAAGCGCACACGCTACAAGCCCCAATGCTGCCCATTCGTCATGCTTAACTTTAACCTTTGGCAGTGCAGTTTCACATCTTCCAGAGAAAGAGCGGTAGAGAGAGAAACCCTTGCATGTGTATTTATGGAATTTATGTCACTTTGGCTGCTTCTCCTGGTGGCTGGGTCAGCAGTTTATATCCATATATGTGGAGCTGGATGCTTTGGCATTTGCATATTTGCAGGGGAAGCAATGCAAATTGCCACCACAAGTTCAGCTCTCTTCGTTCCATTCAATTTGATTCTCCAATTAATATGCGGGCCGCTTAGTGCCACGCAGCGCAATCAGAGCCACTTCAGGTGGTGCCTGAAGTACGGCGCATGGAGGTTGGGGGTGCCCGCAGCCAGGAAGCGAGAAGCATGCCCCAGCTGACGGTGGTTTCTGTTAATTAATGTCCTTGCACCTTAACATTGAATTCAAGCTGAGCAATTGCAATTACACTTTATTGCGTGGCAATCAATTCCATTCAACAAGTGACATTGAGACAGAGACATACTTTCTTCTACCCTCTACCTTATACCTCTTGGCTGGCAGCACCTACTCGTCTGATGGCACCGCAGGAGAAACCTTCGTCCAGCTTCAATGATAAATTTTTAGCATACATATAGGAAATATTTAAAGGGAGCCTTGGTGCGCCGCAGCGGACAATGTGTGCTGGATTGAGCCATGTGCAGGGGCTCAATAGAGTCCTTGGCAGACAGTCGAACAGTACTACTTGTACTCGACTCGGCTCCTGGGGTCCATTCCATTGTGATAATGAGCAGGAGTGCCCTGCCCTGCCCTGCCCTGCCATTTTGCCATCCTCTAAATGCCGCCGCTTTGCCTTATCATACTGTAAACACACATATGTATTACTGTATGTATGTATTTACTACTCCCCCACACTCATCGAGCTCCCAGCCAGGCACGCCAAGGAGGAGTGGAGGTGGAGGTGGAGGTCGAAGTTCCATGACTTTTCCCCCGGCAAAAGTGAAAGGCAAAGGCCATAGTAGTGGTAGAGGCAGGGATTGGGATCCCGCGTTTCCTCATTTATATTTGCTCTGGCATTTTCCCCAAACACACAGGCTGAATGGAGATGGAGCAGAAAAGAGATGGAGATAGTGGATAGTGGGCTAGAGAGAGAGGGAGGAAAACACACACACACACACACATGATACGATACGATAAGGGACACGATACGAGGCATAAGCCTTGACAAAAGTCAATCAGCATATTTGCTCGATTGGAGGGAGCATGCCAAGCGGATAATCGATTCGAAATGTGTTTGAATAACAAATTACTGGAAATTGTGAATGCGAAAGTCATTGTAGCACAGTATGTACCCCGCATACGGGTGTATAAAAAACGCTTCTCATACTTTTTCGGTTGGGAATTGAACGTATGCAGCTGTCAGTGTCGCCAGATTTGGCTGGAAATCTTGTCTTGTCTTGTCTCCATCCTGACAGGCGACAAAGCTATGGCGGCACGTATGCGTGCATGGGGGCCAGGTCTGGCCTGACTTGACGTTCGCTCGGCTGTCTCTGCCCTGTTAACCACTTGTTGGCTCGTTGGTGACTGAACTTTTGTCGCGAACTATTGAACTTTGGGGGCACAAACAATGAACTGCCTTACTGCCAGCAAGGCTGCCCCACCCCTGTAGCAATCGTTGCCTATTTCTGTGATTTCTGTGATTTCTGTGTGCAAAAAGCAATAATACTCATCCGCAGATGTTGGTCCGTGCAGAAGGGAAATGAAACCACATGATGTGCCCAGAACTTTAATAGTATTTCAGTGCCATTTGAATACTCACCCTAGAATCGGTTCGAGTCGAAGCTTGGGTGGGGTGTGGATGGGTTCGATTTGGTCAAATGTCAGTGCACCTTTGGTAAACAAAGAGAGTGCGCCCTCTGGCCATGGCTCTGGCTGGCTATGGCTTCAGACATCCACACGACAGCATAGCATATGCCGCAGACAAGTTTAAATCAAGCCACAGTAAAAGATGCATTAATCAACTTGAGCAATGAACCAAGCTGCCCCCAGGACTGGCACCAGGACCCTAATCTCCCACTCCACACTGTCGACAATTTGTCACTGTGTGTCACATGCGGGGAGGCGGTCTATGATCAGCCGAAAGGAACATTCGTTCGGAGCATTGATTTAATTAATTTATGTTATCCTGGCGGGCCGCCCTGGCAACAGCAAACAAACGCTAGCCAGACGCTTGACCCAAGGCGTGTGGCAACTCTGGCCAGCAGCATCGCTCCGCTTCGCATCGCATCACCCATTCAACAGGTCTGCCAGCTTCCGTGCGAGGGACGCAGAGCTTTCGGCGAAAGCTCGGATGAAGGCATGAATGAAAAGCGTCGGCTTACAACCAACCAACCAACCAACTGCCCAACCGAAGGGGCAGCAAGACGAGACGATGTGTTCTGTTCGTTCTCGGCCCAGTTCGGTGGCTGCTGCTGCAGGCTGGCTGACTGGCTGGGCTCCATTCTCTCATTGCTCCGCTAACCAGGCACTCGAACGCACACGGCGCGGACCCAGCACATCCGCACATCCATCCACTTTGGGATCTCGGGATCTCGACTTCGTTCCGTTTTCCGTTCCGTTTGGTTCCGTTTTGTGCGCGGCTCCATTCGAAAAAGGGGGCGAATAATCATCATTTCATTTGAATTTTTATTCAATAAAAAAGTGCACAAAAAAGAAATTCATAATAAAAAAAAATAAGAATAATAATAAAAAAATAAAAAAACGAAAAACGAATAATCCTAAAGCTACAAATGTAAATGGTACTCCCCTCCCACTCCGCAGTGCGACTTCACTTCCCCGCCTCTCTCTCTCGCAGTGTGTGTGTGTGTGTGTGTGTGTTTGTGAGTGTTTGTGGAAATATGCAAAAGATTGGCGCAAGTTGCGAGGCGTAAAAATATTCAAATTTCATGTAGAAATTACTGCACGCAGTTTTAAATAATCCAATGCCAGCGGAACAAGTGTACAAGTAATCGGGAAGCAGGCATAACAGGCCGCGAGCCGCGAGCCACGAGCCACGAGGCATCTGCTAATAGGATTACGCATCACCTCCGGTCGGTCCCGACAGTTGTGCGGATTAGCAACAGCGTCAGAGTATCCGCCATCGCAAACCTCAAGTCCCGTCTTCATTCGAGGCAACAGATTAAAAGGTATTCTACCCACAAAAACACGAACGGGTGGCCAAGCCACACGGCGCGTATGCGTGATTTTCCCATTGAACAACCGATCCTACGAGTGCTCGTATCTCTGGCTAATTGTTAACTATAGTCATTCAAACACATTCAAACGAATTAATAACCAACTTGGTCCCACATTAATTGGCATCCGCCATCAGTGGGGTCGGGGGATGCACAGGGCGGGGTCTGCACCTCTCAGGAGGAGCAGTAAACTCCATAAATATCGCATTTTATTAAACAAAACCCGAATCCATTTGCGTTATTGCTTTTACGTGCACGAATGTTAATTGAAGCCGCTCACCTTTTCGGGGGAGACTGCCAGGCAGATCCACCCACAGCCCAGCACAGCCCAGCACAGCAACACCCCACCCCACCCACCTAGCAGATTATGGCCAGCAAACCACCAAAACAGATTAGATAAGTCGATTGCGATGGTGGCTCGAGTTATTAGCGAACGGAGGCAGTGGGCGATGGGAGAGGGCGCGGATGGATGTTGATGACGAGTCAAGTGGCAATGCGAGCGTGTGTGTGTACACATACACATACACATACATACCCATATATGTATGTATATGTGTATGTACTATGTGGAGAAATGAATATTCATAATGAGGCGCCAGTTACACATTTCCCGTCGAAGCATGAAAAGCAAATTACGCACAAAATAATTGACATTAGCATATTTTGTGCATCCTGTACGAGCGTGTATCTGTCTCTCTCTCTCTCTGTATGTGTGTGTGGGTGTGTGTGTGTGTGTTGAGTGTATCCTGGATATCCTTTGTGCAAATGGCTTTCAACTTAAACAGTCCCGTGCTACGTTCCCCTCTGTATTTTGATTGAACTTGAAAGTCTCCATGCGTACCGTATACCCCACACGGCGCATACGTGATGTGTCTAAGCGGATTAAAGCCAGATGGAACCGATAGAAGAGTGGCTGGTTGAGTGGGGTGCATCGGTGCTTTGGCAGTATTGTGTATTAAATAAACATTTTTTTTATACCAGAGCTCTCTGTGGGAAGCTCTAATTGATCCCCCCAGCTGGGCGGGCTCCCATCCTCTCATCTCTCATCTCTCGTCAGCGGACAAACGGAAACGGGCAAATGGGCAAAAGAAAAGCAGGGAAATTTGTTTTCAATATGGACATGTGTTTACTTATTTACGCACTTCCCTCCGCCCCGCTGTACTCCTAAGGCTGGGTGCCCGGGCACCCACTTGGACAATCATAATCCTCCACTAACTGAGGCAAGTGTAAACGATTCCTTGGGGGCATAAACATCACACGCTAACTGACTGGCTGGCTGCCTCTCTCTCTCTCTCTCTCCCTCTCTGTGCTTCACAGCACCACTTAATCATTACAAATGAGCCGCACACACACAGTCACAGCGTTCAACACACGCACACACTCCCAACACAGCCGCACAGTGGGACCACATTTATGGCTCGTTAGCAATTCGAATTGTGGCAAGAGAAATAGCGGAAAAGGGGAAAAGATGATTGGAACTTTGACTCGTTTTGAAGTTGTGGCCAGTGCGGTTTGTGTCTCTCTTTGGGGCTACAGTGCGGGTGTGGTGGCCGGCCATTCAAGGGTTAATTGCCAAAGATTTTTAGCTGCAAGCATCGGGTTTCCCTTCTTGATTGGTTTCCATGGTCAAAATGGGAAGCTGCAAACATTGAAAGTGGCTGGCCAAAAGTTAGGGGAGGAGCAAAGCAGAGCAGAGAGCAGTGCCGCCCCTGCCACATTTGATCAAAGTCGAGTCTTATCTTGAACGAAAAATGCTTGCAGCTGAAGTTGATAAATGGATTTAGTTTGATTTTATAGCTAAAATCGATGCCCCACCATTTGAGTCCCTCTGAACGGAATCGGAATCGACCAGTTTTTGGGAGTCGCGTCAAGACAATGGGCCAACTCGGTCAAAGACCCCCTGCAGGACCCCCCCTACCCCTGTGAGACATCCTGACTCATACGAGGGGTTTCCCCCAAAAAATTGCACTTAAAATTGAATGCTTTGGCAGAGGAGCAGGAGCCAGAACCAGAGCAGGAGCCAGATATAATCTACAGCATAAAATCACGCGACAGTAAACGCTGCTGCTGCTGCGGCTGCTGCTGCTGCTGCGGCTGCCTTTCGGGCAGACAAAGAACAGGACAAAGGATCAACTGCAATTTCTCTGGATTTTTCACTTGCTGTATTTGGAAGCGTGCCTGTGGTGGGGGTGTCCCTGATGTCCTTTGTGGCAGCCACTCGAGTGGAAATTACACCAAGAAGTTCAGTTCGGTTCGCATTGGTGCTTCATTTTTGCGCTCGTTTTGACTATCAGCCATTGCATTTGCATTTGCATTTTGCATTTAGCATTTAGCGTTTTCAGACCTGCAAGTGACTCACAGCTGCAGCTGCTCAGCCATAGATACATATGTACATCTGTGCCCATCTTGTACCCATGTAACTACATATGCATGTACATATGTATCCAAGCAGACATGTTTTTGCTCATCTGTCAGCTTGTATTTATCATTTTCGCATCATTAGCTCGTGACGATGCTGCTGGCATATGAAGGGGATTTATTTATTTGGGGTTTCCTATCGTAACAGAGCGAGAGAGAGAGAGAGAGAGAGAGGGAGAGAGAGAGAGATTGAGACTGAGCGATGGCCGAGACATTTAAACTATTGGAAAACTGCTGCTTTCATGCCAGGATTCATCCTTCAACTGGCCGCCCGATTGAAGGGTTTCTGGCACTTAATCAAAGTTTAATTTGCCATCAAATGTGAAATAGTTTGCTGATTACCTGCCATCAAAGTTGGCGATGCAACGAGTTTTAGCAGCATGCCACAGCATGCTCCTGCCACAAGCCTGCCACATGCAGAAATCTCCACGTGAAATTTACTGTTGCCTACCTTGAGGGGCACTTACAAATGTCGAACCACAGAATGTTTTGTAAGCCAACAGTTTTATATTTAATTGCTTAATTACTGCTGCCGCACCCACCCCCACCACACGCCTCCACTAAGCAGCTGCCATTTATGCTTACGTCTCTCAAACTGTTTTATGACCCTGCGGAGAACGGAGCCTTTACGACCGCCCCGATTGCGCCGCCTCTGCGGTGCAACTGGCAGGCGGCTGCCAGACCACAATTACCGTCAAGCGGCCGTTTAGCCACTTGAGCCACCAACAACTTTAACTTCCATTTTAACTTGAACTTCAAGCTACAAGCTTCAAGTTGACTTGGAAGTTAAAGACAAAAGTTTTCATCCTTCCATTACTTGCCGCCCTTCTGCATGCATTCCCGTGCAGACTTCGACCTTGGCTTCCGTCATGAGAATGTGTTCGTGCCCTGCGTAGTCGCATTCCGGCCCTCGACAGCCCAGCTATGTGGACCTACATGATGGCTGCCGCCCGCGGAGATCGGGTCAACACAATGATGTCCACCAGAAGACGCCCCGAAACCGAGTCCCCAAAATACGGCTACAAGTAAGTCCCAACATTGACAGCGGACTGGAATGACTACTGTACTCAGCATCTGCATTTCAGCCTCTCCTCTCGTCCCATGTACCGCACCAGCCGCTTCGTGGGAGCCACCTCCTCAGCGCCCGCCCAGTTGCAGCTGCCTCATCACTCGCACCACCAGCAGGCGATGGCGTTGACGGTCCCACCGCCGCTCGAGGAGATTAGCGGCGGCTTGTTCGCTCCATTTGCGCCAACGGCAGCGATTTCAGTTGAGCAGGCAGCCAGCTCGATTCCCTTGGGAACGGAGAACGATGAGCGCCTGGAGGTGCATCAGCTTCATTATCCACGCCGAAGCTGGCAAAGAAGACATCGGCATGGCAATCAGGAAGAAGCGGATGACGACTATGACGAGGACGACGACGAGGATGATGATGATGATGATGAGTTCGGTGAGGCCAACGACAACCAAGAGGAGGGCATTGCTCCCGCTGACCTGCAGCAGCATCGCCACAAGCATCACCAGGAGCAGCAACAGCAGCAGCTGCAGCTGCAGCAGCACTCCAGTGATCCCAGCTACGTGGAAAACGGCAGGAAGCTGATACAGGTAAGGGAATACGAGAAAATACACATCATTTTTGCATTATGGCCAACGTGACGTACATTTAACTCGATTGGAGCTGCAGATAAACGAGAACTGATAAGCGATAGCCAGCATTCAATTATGTGGAAATCTAATTAGGTAATTGCTATAATTGATTGACTCCACTGCCTGTCTGCTGCCTGCTGCCTGCAGGAATTGGCCCAGTTTCTGGCCATGCTCCATGCCCAAGTCCCCCGTCCCCCCCACGGTCTGCCTCTTACGCCAGGCAAACGCAAATGAACTGAGAGAACCTTCATAAACTTGACCTTGCCGTAAATGGTGTTTTAATTACTTCCTCTATTGTCACGTAGCCCATCGCAGCCCGTCGGCAGTTGAATGCCATTTCGGGCTACCCGCAGAAATTTTTATTAGCACGTGTCAATCGACTTAAAAAACAGACAAAAAAGAAATAAGAGAGAGTGAGTGAGAGAGAGATAAGAAAAGGCAGAAGGGGGGTTTATTCCAGAGGGTTCGCTCAACTAAAACCTGAATACTCTAACAAAAGTCGTTTAAAGATACAATAAATATGTGTATAAATATACAGGGAGCAGCAGATGCCTGGGTAGCAACTAACTATAATCTGAGCTGCATCAACATCAAAACTATTGAAGCTTATTGCAAAGTAAGCAAAGAAGCAATCCAGAAAATTGAAGAATCTCTGGGGTATCTTCTTCAATGAGCAAACTTTGTATGGCATTTAGCCAACTTCCACTGAGCCCACAACACAGGAAAAGCCCCTCTGCAAGCTTCAGCGAAGGTAGACAAGATCAAAGTTTCTTCCGCTGAAGGATTCATGGTTAAACAGGAGACAGACAGTCTTGGGCCATTCAGTCTCCGCATTGCAGGCTTTGCACCTACCGGTAACCGAAAACTCAACCATCTTCAATCTTTTCTGCTTGTTCAAAGCAAACAACTTATCTTTGGTGCAGTTTGCGCTTCCTCTGCAGGCTTCATTGGAGAGCTCTTGGTGTGTGTCCGCCCCGGCCCGGCCCGGCACATGTCCTATCGAGGATAATTGCATTACTTGGGTTTCCCCTTGTACGTACGAGAAAGGAAACAAGACACGCCGATCCGTGCCGGGCACTTCCTTTGACCCGCAGGGCTATAAATAAGTGAGTGTGTATTTTGGTCGAATGGGCAGAAACAGCTGGGGGGGAGCAGCAGCCATCGTCGGGGAGCTCCAGAATGGGGGAGATTCGACAGTTGGCTCTGAGCGAGCAGCTGCTGTTCACAAGGGAGCGGGCAGCAGGAGTCAGGAGGAAGCCAAGGGCGACAACCAATTTGACAGATAAGCGAGTCCCGAGTCCAGTCCCCTCAAAGTATATGAAGCCGAGGCACCATCAGCAGTAACAGAAACAGACGCTGAAACAGAAACAGAAACTGTTTCAATGTCATTTCATAAATGGCCCAATAGGAAACAGAAGCAGAAGCAGGAACAGCCACAGCAACGCCAATGCCAATGCCACTGCCACTGCCACTGCCAATACTTGTACCAATACCAACAGCAACGGAAAAACGCAATGAAATAAATACAAATGAAAAGCCCTCAAAGCCTTTTCCCTGTCTCCGCCCGCATGGATGTTGTCTGCCAAATATTGGCTTGGCTCTGGCTTGGCTCTGGCTCGGCCCTGGCTCTGGCTCTGGCTGTGCTGGTCTGTGGTTGTTGTTAATGCCTTTTTGAGGTGTGTTTCCAGTGTTTGGCCAGCAGCAGAGCCCAAAGAGCTGAAAGAGCAAGGCAAACTAAGGTAAGAAAAACCCCCCAAACCGCCGCCATTGTGGTTACATAAAGGTCCATTACTCAAAACGGACAGCCAGGACAGCCAGGACAGTTGGGTGTAGACAGGGGGAGCAACTTTATAGAATTGGCATTGAAAATATGACAAGTCTCGTGCCAATCTAAAATAGTTACAAGTTCTTCAAGTTGAACAGCCTCGACGTCGACTTCGACTTCGACCTCGACCACCCTGTCATCTAGTCGGCCAGGGCAGGGCAGGGCAGGGCAGCGCCATTAAACCGATTAATGAACTCTATTTGCCTGGCCATACCTACATACACATACATACATATGTACCTACCTCCCTCCCCCCAGATGATAGAATGTACATGGATGTTGGCTCAATTGTTTAACCATCCATTGGCATGATGATACTACGAGTATTGTAGCGGGTGTGCAATTTGAGAAGGCGGCAAGACACTCAACACGATGATGGCACACAGGGCGATGGCGATGGCGATGGCGACGACGGCGACGGCGACTTGGGAAAAAGAGTGGTACGGGATGGACGAACGGACGGACACCTCTAGAATAAACAGCAAAAGTGCGGGGAGTTCTCTGTCTCTGTCTGTGTCTGTCCGGGGACATTCCGTTTAGTCAAATTCTTTTTTTGCGCCATCGACAGTTGGGTAAAAAACGCGTTCGCAGTCGGCAGCTTAGCTCTCAGCAAGTAACTCTCCAGCAATACACAAAAAATAATACAAGAAAATAAACCGAGAAAAAAACTTGGAAGCGGATAATTTATAATATTATAACAATGTCAAACTCGTCAGCGTAATGCGTTCGGTAAACAATCGAAAACAAGGCTTAAAAATTGAAGCAACAACAGACACAGCCACAGACACAGACACAGGAACGAGAACGAGAACAATCGACAAGTGGATTTCCATATTGATGAGGGTCTGTGGGTGTCGTCTCTCCCCATCCATTGTGGGGCAACTGTAAAAGAATAGAGAGAGGATAACGCAGCAGAACAAAGCAGTACAAAGCAGAACAAAGCAGTACGGAGCAGCAAAAGTCAGGAGTTCCGTGGGGGCGAGAGAGAGAGAGAGAGAGACAACCGCTTTAGTCTGTTTATTAAACGGGACTCGTTATCGGTTTTGCTCTCCTCTCCTCCCCTCCCCCCCCACCTCTTCCTCACACTTGACAGGCATCAGAGTTTATGGCCATTCAATCTGCGCCACAATTTGCATTATTTCCCACGTTCCCATCCAAATCAAAATCAAAATAAATAACAAACTACTCGCAGCCCAATCCATTGGCGCAGTCCGAGTAGTTTTATTTCGCCCATTGCGAGTGTCAATAACCAATATAAGTGATAACATACGAAGGGGTAAACCTAAACCTTGCATCAATCCAGTGATAAGATACTGAAACTTGTTCCTCATCCATTAGTAGAATGTTTTCACCCCAAAGTATCAATCAATATTTGAAAGGGGATTCAGCACATGGCTACTGCTTTTTCTGGTTTCATGGAACAAAAGTCCCCGCCGATATCCCTGGCTCGCGCGGCTTCCCAGTATTGTTTGAGAACGATGAACGCTTTGATGGCGTCAGCTTACTGCTCTTTGAGTATTTACGCTCTCGATTAGAGTCCAGGTACCACCGCATTTTCCAACTGCTTTGTCTACTCTCACTTTTCGCAGTAGTCTAAATATTGAATGAGGAATATTCGAGTAACACTCGACTAAGATCCATTGATTTTTCGCCAAGAAAATGGTCATAAGTTTCGAACTCTTTCAAGGGTATCTACAGCTTCGAAGCTACCTTTCTGTTCTGGCTTACTGTACATACGAATAGCATAAAAAACGCACGCATGCAATAAACATCGCTATGAAAATGCTTGATTTGCCTCAATCACCGACACCACCCCACCCAAACCCCACCCCACCCCACCCCATTGGGGGACTCGATCTAACGGACTCGCAATTATGGAAATTTATTGAGCAGCTCCAGCACGTCGCGGTGCGGTGCGGTGCGGCGCTGCCTTTGTGCCGTGCATTCCAATCAGGGTGTCGCTGGTGATGTGATGATTATGCCGTGGACGGTGGTTGCCTGGGTCAGTGTTTCAATTTCGATTTACACAAAAAATACCTCTCGAATTTCGCGCAACCTCGCAATTGGCCAACGCTGCCTTGTGTTGCCTTGACTTGGCGATGAGCTCATCGGATATTAAAATCAAAATGTATGGAGCAGCAGGGAAGTCTATCTATCGCATTCATCACATTGGCTGCTTGTCAATTCAGTTGCAATTAATTTATGCAAAAGTGCGTTTAGTTTTCTCAGTATCTATGTACCAGCACCCGGTACAGCACAGCCTTTCAGCTTAATTGAAATGATGGCCCAAACAATTAAAAAACATTTAGACAAAATGCCAAAGCAGCGCCAGGCGTCATCAATCTTGTCAAAATGGCCACCGCCTTGTCACCGCCACACAGGTCGTCGGAGTCGGTTCAGAGTGCGTGGTCCAATGAAGGACCAAAGTCGCCCGAGACATCATTTTAATTAATTAAAACGCGGCAGCGCGTTGTGGCAATGCAAATTAAGAAAATTGCAAAACAGCATTCCCGTATTGACAACACACAAGCGACGAGGCTTCGCGCAGCCGTTGCTTTTGATACCCTACCTCTTGCGACGAGTTGTCAGACAAGATCAAGCGAAAGTAGACGAAAGTAGATTCTCGTTCTGGTTTAATGCTGCTGATTTATGGATTAATGGTTGATCGCTTCCCTCTCTGCTCTGCCACTGAGTCCAAGTACCCTCTGCAGGAAGGGTGCAAGTAGCAGAGCTGTTGGCTATTCTGTATGCCTGTCGTGGTTCGGTTCGGTTCAGTTCGGTTCGGTACGGCTAATGTCGATGTCAACGTCGCTGCCCGCGGCGCTGCCTTGCGTTCAATGGCAAATTGCGTGGCGCGGCAGTCAGGCGGTCAGGTGGTCAGGCGGGCGGACGGGTGGCGGCAGTACTCAAAAAACTGCTTGACGTCGATGTCGATATGCGCATGCGCGCAGCTTCTGCCCAAAAACTAACGGCTTTAACGGCCTGTTGTTGTCACTGTTATCAACGTGTTTTTTTTGTTTTTGTTTTTGTTTCTGTTTGTGTTTTTGTTGTTGCTGTTGATTTAGGCTAAATTTGGAGAACAATCAAAGTGGAAGTGCTGAAAGTGGAAGTGCTTGAAGTGGAAGTGAATTGTGATAAAATACAACGACGAAGAAAGAGGGGGCGAAGACGAAGGCGCAAACGAAGACGTAGACGTAGACGAGGATTTGTATGCGACATTTCAAAGTCAAAGCCATGGTGCAGTCGTTGGATATAGCAGCCATAACGGGACAGCAAACAGATGCGGTAAATCAGCTCGAAAATACGTGTGTACACTGAGAGAAAATAAGCAAACGAGTGTAGAAAAATCTAAAATATGGAAAATATATATATATGTATGTATGTAGATAGGGGAGACAGCTCAATCGAATATTCATTCATGAAACAGTGAAAATTCCTCCATTTTCAGACGCTCTTTTTGCCCAGTGTAGAGCTAAAGCATACATATGTACACATGTATGTACATGTGTAATAAGCCTGATTGTGTATGTAATAATGACCTTCGGGGCTGGAGCGCACACACAGCGGGAGGCGTGGCATTGCATTGTCATTTGCCAGTGCTCTGGCATAACGCGGCGTATGAGTCATTTTTTTGTGCGGTTCATCCTTTCTTTTCGCGTTGGAGGAGTGCAAGAGAGATGGTTTAATGGATTAACCGCTGCCGGCGTCTGATAAGCGTTTATTAGCCTGTCAAGAACACGCCCTTAATGCCCGCCAGCCCACATGAGGCTGCTGCAGAGGGTATCCTATCCACGTGTGTGTGTGTGGAATGGAATATATACCCAGCATTTGGCTACTTTCGGACTGCAATCGTAAGCGAAAATCCAGTGGCTTGGTCTGCGTCATTCCCTTTTCACTTGGCCACAATTGCTGGCAGGGCAGACACAACAAAACTTAAGCACAAAACTTGGATGCTGGCCAACTTTTAATGCGGTTAAAAGAGAGCCACCGAGCGAGCTCCAAATCGTTTCAATTAGCAAACAACTGTAGTAGAAACTTTGCCTAACTTTCCCTGGTGTGCTCGTTCCACCCCCGAACAGGAGCCCAGCAAACGGAGCAAACCATCGGCTTTGCGGCGAACCCTGCAGGCGTTGCGGCAGCGTCTGACCAAACGGAACCGACCAAAGCCGCCAGACTGGTTCCTGGAGAAGTTCTCGAATGCCACCAACACGGACAAGATTGGCAAGGGCTGCCCCATGATGGACGATGCGGCCCTCTCCAGCGAGATACGAGGCAGCAGTGCCCTGTGCAACCGCCTCTCCGTGGACCCCACACTGCAGTCCCATTACAGGGTAAGTCAAGACCCCCCCCCCCCCGCACTGCAACTCAAATATCAACTCAAATTGCATCTGCATGTGCATCTGCAGTGGCTGGCTGTGGTCTCGCTGGCCGTGCTCTACAACATCATCTTCGTGATGGGACGTGCCGTCTTCTGGGAGATCAATAAGAGTGCTCCTGCGGTTTGGTACACCCTGGATTATCTCTGCGATTTCATCTATCTGCTGGATACGCTTGTTCACATGCACGAGGGTAAGTTAACAGACATCCCCATCCCCCATACCCCATACCCCATCCCCCTGTACTGCCACCGCCACTGTGCGTGTTTGGGATTTACCTATGCAAATGAGGCCCACACCAGGCGAATCACTCGCTTTAAGCCGCCTCAGACAATGGCACTGCCACTGGCACTGGCACTGGCAATGCGAATGCTGTCGGCAAAGCCATTTGCTACGCATATGAAACCCATTTCAGTGCCACATATCAGCAGTATACATATGTCTGTATGTGTGTGTATGGCGTAGTTGAGTTGCCAAATGCAGGGATAAGCCAACCTTGACATTTTCCACAATGGCAACAAATGCTCAGATACCCTGCAGTGGAGCCAGCCATGTGAATATCATAAATTGGGAGAGAAGAATGTGGATGGTTGAGGCATATTCACTGATATTGATTGACAAAATGTGGAATGTACCCTTGAAAGTTTCTACCGCACTATAATTAATTTGTAGCCAGAGACACGCAAGGTATCAGCAGTGCCATCACCGCCAATGCAAAGAGATGCAAGTGTCCGTATTATGCGTATCGTAAGGCCCAAGGGAATCTGTCTAAGGGAAGCCATCTTTCAAGTCCAAAGTTCTGGCTTCCGATACACAAATCTCACATGGCTCTCGGCTTATTCCAGGGTGTCCCCACGTCGGGCAATTAAGCTACAGAAGAATGGGTTTAAGAACGCAGAGAACTGTAAAATATGCCACTGCATAAAGCTGGCAAAAGGCACAACTGAAACGAAAAGGGGCACCGTAACTAGGGGAAGGGAGTGGCGGAATCTCAAAGCCTTTACCTTAAACTTTTTTGTGTGCTTTGTCGAACGCAGGATTTCTGGACCAGGGTCTGCTCGTACGGGACGCCTTCCGGCTGCGACGGAACTACTTCCACACGAAGGGCTGGTACCTGGACGTGCTCTCGATGCTGCCCACGGATCTGGCGTACATCTGGTGGCCGCCGGAGACCTGCAGCAGCCTCTACCTGCCCTGTCCGGTGATTGTGCGAATGAACCGGCTGCTGCGCATGAATCGGCTCTTTGAGTGGTTCGACCGAACGGAGACGGCCACCGGCTATCCGAATGCCTTCCGAATCTGCAAGGTGGTCCTGGCCATCCTGGTGCTGATCCACTGGAACGCCTGCATGTACTTTGCCATCAGCTACGAGATTGGCTTCAGCTCCGACTCGTGGGTCTACAATCTGAACGGCACGAGGAACAACACGCTGCAGCGGCAGTACATCTACAGCTTCTACTGGTCCACCCTAACGCTGACGACCATCGGCGAGACGCCCACGCCCGAGAACGATGTGGAGTATTTGTTTGTGGTGGCCGATTTTCTCGCCGGGGTCCTCATCTTTGCCACCATTGTGGGTGAGTACGAGTCCGTGGGCAGTGGGCAGTGGGCAGGGGGCAGTGGGCAGGGGGCAGTGGGGAAAGGAGGCACCCTTTTTAATGGCTGGATGCGGTCTATGTTTGCCTTTCGGGCGAGCGTTGTTTACGCAAATATTTCGTCTGATCGTTTAATTGGTTGCAGAGTGACATCTGGGACATCTGGGACATCTGGGACATCAATGGGTATTAATTTACAGCCACGCACGTCGGGGTCTCGGCCCACACGTACTCTCTGCCCCATCCCCATCCCCATACCCATCCCCATACACATCCATCCCTCCCACATTATTCATTGCTCTGTCTCTCTTCCTTTTCTCTGTTCAGTTTTGTTCAAGTTTGTTTTGTTTTGTTTTGGTTGTTGGGTTGATTTGTTGCTGTCGCCTTTCATTTTCTTTTTCGGCAAACGTGCCTTTTTATCATTTTTGTCGTTGCCCTTATCGCTGCCATTACCGCCCCGAGATGGGCAGCATTCCCCCAGCAGAAGGAGCAGAAGGAGCAAATGCCAGACTTGTCCTCGACCTCATCCTGACTGTGCAAACAAATTTACTTACAATGATGAATGTCGAGTTCTTTTGGACAGGACTGGCATTGGCACTGAGGCATCTCATCTCATCTCCCTTTACACCACTGTCCTTCCCATCACCACCGCCACCACCGCCACTCCATTCTGCTCCCACAACAGTCTGTCATGGGCACCGGAAGTGCCGCCATTAGTCGCCATTGTGCCACGTTGCCCATGTGCCGGAATGGAGTCCATAAGTGACATGGCGGGGTCTAGGGTATGGGCTATGGGGTATATGCCAGCGCCGAACCGGTTATGAAACAGCCCTGATTAAGTGCTTCCAGGAACGAGCCCCTTGCCAGCGATGTACTCGAAACATAATGCCAGTTATCGGGTCTCTAATGCTCTCCCTTTTTCCGCTGCCAGGTAATATCGGTTCCATGATTTCCAACATGAATGTGGCACGCGTCGAGTTCCAGAACCGCATGGATGGCGTGAAGCAGTACATGGCCTTCCGGCGCGTGGGCCATGAGCTGGAGGCGCGGGTGATCCGCTGGTTCGCGTACACCTGGTCCCAGAGCGGGGCCCTGGACGAGGAGCGAGTGCTGGCCGCTCTGCCGGACAAGCTGAAGGCGGAGATTGCCATCCAGGTGCACATGGACACGCTGAAGCAGGTGCGCATCTTCCACGACACGGAGCCGGGCCTCCTGGAGGCCCTCGTGCTCAAGCTCAAGCTGCAGGTCTTCAGCCCCGGCGACTACATCTGTCGCAAGGGTGACGTGGGCAAGGAGATGTACATCGTGAAGCGGGGCAAGCTCTCCGTGGTGGGGGACAATGGAATCACCGTGCTGGCCACCCTGGGCGCCGGCTCCGTCTTCGGGGAGGTGTCTGTGCTGGAGATTGCTGGCAATCGGACCGGCAACCGACGCACCGCCAACGTTCGCTCCCTGGGCTACTCGGATCTCTTCTGCCTGGCCAAGCGGGACCTGTGGGAGACGCTGGCCGACTATCCCGAGGCCCGCTCCACCCTCACCCAGCGCGGCTGTCAGCTGCTGCGCAAGGATGGACTCCTGGACGAGCAGATATTTTCAGGTGCGTTAAGGGTGCTGCGTCTCAGTCCCTGGGAACTCTCTCAATGCTCTCAATGCTCTCAATTCTCCGTTCCAGACTCCCAGCGCGTGCATGACAGCATAGAGGGGGGCATCGAGAAGCTGGAGCTGTCCGTGGAGAACCTCAATATGCGCCTGGCCCGACTGCTGGCCGAGTACACGGCCAGCCAGGCCAAGATCAAGCAGCGCCTGGCCAAGCTGGAAATGAAGTGAGTAGATAGCAATACTCGTGTCGAGTCCTGTCCTCGCCATCTCACTGTGTTTTCCCTTTTCAGTGGCGGCCCTGGCACTTGGCGCTTGGAAAGCGAGCCCCAGACCCGAGCCCGCAGCGGACGTCTCTACTCGCTGCAGCCCAAGCGGCGCCCACGTTCGCGACCCGACGCGACTGCCAAAAGTGGGGAGGCTGCCAAGCAGAACACGCTCTAAGCGGAGTCCGCCGTCTGGAGTGCCCCAAATAGCCCACCCCTCCAGCCCATCCTACGTCCCAGTGTACGCCGGAATAAAGTGATAAATGCATTAAAGTTGCAGGAGCGAGGAGCAGGAACGAGTAGATAGAGGCGGCATTTGGCCAGGGGCCAAACTGTAGTTGAAGTCAAAGTTAGGGGCAGGTAAATCAATTTTTAATTTTTACAATTAGTTTGTAGAGAAATGGAACGGAATGGAACGGGGGGGTTGGGGCAGGGGACATGGAACGGAAGGGAAGGGACGTAGAAGTAGAAGTGTAGATAACTTTATAAATTTATAAAATTATTCAAAACTGAATGTGCCTCAAAGTTTGTGTGTGTTTGTATGTGTTTAATGATAAATAGGCTAAGGAATGAGAGAAAGAGATACAGAGAGAGAGAGAGAGAGAGGGGAAGAGAGAGAGAGAGAGATACAGAAGCCGGTGGCATATAAAGTTTAATCCCCTACTATCCAAATGTATTGTACATATGTTAAGTATACGTACTAGTCCAATTTTACAAGCGAACAAGCAGCAACTGTTTGCCCCTAGGCTAGGAATTATTTTACAATCCATCAAAGTTGATGGATCCGAGACCAGAAACAGAACCAGAACCAGAACCATAACAATACAAAATATAACGAAGAAACCACTGACCAACCAGAGACATTGCTGAACTACCTAGAACTGGAATTGGAACTGGAACAGGAACAGAAGAAGACTCTAATGAGAGACGGCGATCAGGAGACAGAACTGCATTTCGTGCATTTCGCTTTAAGGGCAAACCCCTCCACCCCCCCACACACACACTACAAAAACACCCATTCGACTTCAAGGAAAATGTTAACAAAAAAGCTTACAAAGCTACCAAACAAAATGAGAACAAAGGAAACCCAAAAGGGAAGAAAAACAAACGAAAGTAGAAATGAAAATGAAATGTATTTTTATATTAGTCGTAGACATTGAATGTATTGTACGTATGATGTGTGTATGTCTGTATTGTATATTGTATATTTGTAAGTTCAGCTACAGAAGAATAAACGAGTAAAATCGAGTAAAGTTATTCGGAATAAGCGTAAGCGTAAGCGTATCCGGTCCCAAGCTGCACGAGTACGAGTATTCCTCGGGGCTCCTCCATGTGCTGAGACGGATAAATGCAAATCACCTCGAGCGTCGAGCCTCCGATTCCACATTCACATCCACATCCACATCCACTCGGATCCACTCCTTTGTGCCGGCTCTAATGTCATCTTCGAGTGCGTTGACAAGTTCCCGACTTGCTGTCGAACAAAAAGGTGGCAAGGAAACAACAAAGTAAATAAATGCAGACGCATTGGGGAAAGTGACAGCGACACAAGTCGCCTTTTTAGGTGCCACATCGACATTGTGTGCCGCGCACCACGAGTCGTATGAGCAATGCCACAGCAAAAGGAGACGCTAAGAGCGGAAGGAGTGGAGTGGAGTGGAGTGGTGGGGGGAGGGGATGGAATGGGAGTTGGGTTAGCTGAAAGCTGACTGCGAGGGGAAGACGATTGTGGAGCCATGTGGAACCCCGAAATGGTCGCATCATGCCGTAAGTGCAGTAAAAAATCAATTTTAGCAAAATGTTAAAATATTCGCGTACACTCAAAAGCGCCAAAAAAAATAAAGAAAGAAACAAGGTGGCGGGGGCAGGACTGAACGCCTCCGCCCTTTAAAATCACTTGGGCACGGCACGGGGCTTGAGCCACGTGAATGGAGCTGATTTCGTCAACGACGGGGTGCCTGCCGGTGGAAAATTACTGACAATAAAATGTTGACGCAGTCAAAGAGCATTATGAATAAACAGGGTGACTCAATGCGCTTGGATCGGCAAAAGGAATAAGTAAACATGCCATATGCCGGGCTGACTGCAGTTTGTGGAATTTAAATTACAGAAATTCAAAATTACAGAATTGAATTTTGATTGATTTGTATTAAGGGTTTCTCATACTCCATACACGAATATTTAATACATTTATGTATGTATATATAAGGTGGAAGGGATTACTCCTGACTCCTAAAAAGAGGCAGGGGGCTCGCTTGAACCGCTTTTGTGTTCATCTCAGGGATAATGTGATTGATTCAGCCTCTCGCAGCCCACTCCAGGATTAATATCGTACAATAAACTGGGATTTTTGTTTGGCTCAGGACTCTCGTTGTCCAAGTGAAAGGTTTTTCATTCGAAAAAGGCCTTGCCTCGTGTCAAGGATTCCTCCATCCCGCATTCCTGCATACGCAAAAGCATTAGGAAGTGCTTTGGCTTGGAGTATGTACTGCCACTCCATAGCATGCCCTGCCTGTCTATTCATTTTCATATTCAAGAATCATATTCAGCATCAAAAACGACAGTTAAATAAAGTCATGGCCGCTAAAAAAGAACATGAAATGCGGGCGATGCGCTGCCTGCGGTGCCTGCAGGTGGTGGAGTGCTCGCGATACGACACCAATGCCCTGCTCGTCCACATTAAGGATAATCACCCCGAGATCTTTGAGCAGGACAATGACAAGATTAAGAACCTGTACAAGCTGGCCGCCGAGCATGGGGTGAGTGAGGAGCGCGTGTCCCAGATCGGCAAGATGACGGGCATGACCGAGGCGCAGATGGCCGATGAGGCGGAGCGTTGTAAGTGGCGGGAGTGGGTGCAACAGAGTGCCATTAGTGACCGACTTCATTGCAGACATTGCGAAGCATCCGAGCAGTGGTCTCAGCGGAGGATCGAAGGCGGAAGGATCTGAGAAACAGTCGGGATCTGGCAAGCAACGCGAGTGCGAGGCGGCAAAGGCCAAGGCGAACGCAAAAGCAAAAGCAAAAGCGAACAACCGACGTCAGTGCTATCGGGCATCGATTGAGCGCTGGACACCCGTGGACGGGAGCATCTACTGCCCCAGCTGCGGCTGCAACCGCCGGCCGGTGGTCAAGTCCAGGACGGAGGTGATCACCAGCCACGGCTGTGCCGCCTCCTGCGTGATCAGCTGCTGGCCGCTCTGCTTCCTGCCCTGCCTCGTGCCGCCGGAGAACCGCGAGTACCTCTACTGCTGCAACTGCAAGTCCTTCCTGGGCATCTACGATCGCGAGAAGAACTGCGTCAAGCCGAGCAAGGAGTTCGTCCCCAGCTCCTATGCTTGTCCCAAGAATTCGTAGAGGGGTTAATTGTGTGTTTGTGTGTGTTCAAATTGTTCGTATGATTAATTATATTTGGAGAGAGCTTTCCGCTCAGCTTTTGCAGCTTTCGGCTAGTCGATGCAGACACCATTTGACCCCCTCATTGGCTCGTCGCAACGGTGAGCACAACGGTCTGTGTTTGTGTTTGTGTCTGTGTCTGTGTTTGGTTTTGCATTTGGGCCTGTGCGCGTCTCTGTAGCATGGCGTGTGTTTGGTCGGCATCCTTGTAGGCCTGCTGCTTCACTTGCTCCGCCACTTTGTCCCGCGACTTTTCAGCCCGCTTGGCCAGGACCTTCTCGCGCGACTTCTGTGCCCGCTCGGCACAGTCCTTGGGGCGGGTCTTCAGCGTCATGTCGTCCACGGCCGCCTTGCGTTTCGCCGACTTGGAGAGGCATCGCTCAGTGCAGCCGATGGCCACATACCGTCCGATGAAGCAGCCGCACTGGGCGCAGTAGTGATTGATGTCCCTGCGGCCAGACCACTTCTTGCTGGAGAAAATGAGAGATCCAACGGTTAGATAGATTCGCTGGGAGCCAGCACCACCCCACCCCACACCCACCAGAGATTGGAGAAGCCGAGGAATCGCTGCAGACAGGTGACGGCCTCCAGCTGGACGACACTCCACTCGGAGCGCGCGCAGGCGGGACAATGGACCCATGTGGACTCGGGTTTCAGGTGGCCCACCTGCTGCTTGGGCGCGATGCTGATGGCTATGATCTGCGGCTCGTCCATGCCCATGTTGTGCTGCTCTCTACCGCTGGCCACTGACTGACTGAACATCAGTGGGCAGGCAGTGTGAATCGAATGGAAAAGAGCACAGAGAACAGAGAAACAGAGTGGAAGAGCGCGAGATCGATCTCTCTGATATGTAGGCGTTGGTCTGGTAATTAATTAGGCGCGTGGAACACATTGAATAGATCTCTTTATTGTTTGTTACATGATGTGTGTGATGTGTCTCCCTATAGCTGGGGCCTCCGGTACACGCCCAAGTACTCGCCACAGGCGCCGCAATGGTGCCGCTTCGTGCAGAAGCGCAGCCAGGAGCGGACCACCCGCGTCTTGGCCTTAGTGCGGCAGTGGGGGCAGGTGATCTCGTTGGGGCCGGGGCCGACGGCAAAGTAAACGGGCAACAGATCCTGGGCCATGGCGAATCGTACCAAATGATCGGCAGTTGCGGTCTGGACGGGTCCAAAAGCAAACGAAGACTAAACCCAACGAAGAGAAATGATCGAAAGCGATCCCCATAAACAGCAAAGAGAGCCCCAAAGGAGAGAGAGAGAGAGAGCCCGAGTGATTGTTAATTTTTAATTTTATTTCTGTTTTTGATGTGGGGAGTGGGTGGCTTTTGGCTTTTGGTTGTTGGTTGTTGGTTTTTGGTTGCTAGTTGAAATGCGAAATATTTGAAATATTTTTGGGCTATTTGGTTGCCTTCAGCTTGAGTGGCGCCCGCCGCTTCATGCTGCGTCCGAAGTAGCAGCCACAGTTGCCGCAGTAGTGACTCCGATCCGTTTGCTTGCAGGGCACATAGTAGTTGAAGCAGCAGCAACAGCAGCAGGTCCTGCAAAAAGGATTTAAGTACAATGACTCGAGTGACTCGTTGTGCACCTACACGAAGAGACAGCCGAATATGCGATTGAGCTCACTGGCCCACCACTTGAGATCGTTCTGCACCACACTCTGATCCTGGACACCGCAGGCGGGACACTTGATGGCCACCGATTCGTGGGGCAGATTGAGAAAGGTGCCCGCCAGCGGCGTGGCAAAGTTATCATAGATCTTGCGCTCCTTCCGATCCTCCAGTGCCTTGGCGACCGCCGCCTTGGCCACCTGCTCCGTCTCCGTCAGTGGCGTCGACATCGTCGCTGCTCGCAGTCCAAACTGAAACCGAATCGTGGCCCCAGCGATCGAACAACCAACCTGTTCGGTTTGTCCAACAGAGACCAGTCTCTCTCTCTCTCTCTCTCTCTGCGCGTGGGGAGCGCACAAAGAGAGCCAATGATGGGGAGAAAGAGAGCCGCTAGATGATTTATTTGACTTTTCTTTAATTGAGTTAGATGCGTAATAGAATTAGATGTGAAATGTGAAAATATTTGGCATTAATTCCACATTAATTGGTCCACCGACTACTTGGCCTTGCGCTGGATCCCCACCTTGCCGCCGCAGTGGCTGCAGTAGACGCCTTTGGTGGTCCACTCCCGGTTGCAGCCACACCAGGTGCACACGCAGCAGATCCAGAAGAGCGGGAAGATGCTGCAACACAGATGGGAAATGGAAAACTGGGCAATGTATCTATGCTGAGCATCCTCACCAGGAGAGCAGGCTGAGGCAGCAGCTGGCATCCTTGCAACTGGCCGCCCGCATCACGGCCGCCTCGCTCCTCTCGCGGCACAGCGGGCACAGCAGCTTGTAGGTGGAGGGGCCGACGGCATAGTACCGCAAACGAGGCTGCTGGACGGAGGCAGGCGGAGCAGCTGCCTCCAACTGGGAGATCAGAGTAACCTTCTCGCAGCTCTGCTCATCGATGTAGGGCACCAGGGAGGCCTGATCGCCCTCCACTACCACATGGGCTATGATGTTACCGGCCCGCTCCTCAGCCGTTCGCGCGGGCAGCAGCCTGACCTGTAATCTCTCCACTGGCTGGTGCTGTTCCATTGTAACTGTTTGGGCCAGAGGCCGAGCATCGAGTGCTGACCCCTCCGCCAGAGCAGAGTCCCAGCGGAGCTGGACAGCCACATGTGCATGAGAGAGCAGAGCAGCTGTGAGAGCATAAGAGCGTCGGCAAAGAGAGAACAATGGAATTCCAAAGAGTGTACGGTATTCGTATGTGGTGTGTGTGTGTGTGCTCCATGATGCTATGATGTCATCGACAGTCGGCCAGAACCAGATCAGAATAGCGCATTCTTTGTTTATCCAATAAATGGAGCAATTTGTCGGTGAAACATTTTCCATATTACATCAGCATCCATCTGCGCACTACATGCTGGAAGAAGGGAAAATATATATGTAAATATTTGATAGTCTGCATAGTATGCAGGATTACGTTGAGTGGCTGCAGACTTTTGCGGGTCAGTGTATTGCTTACTGAACGCGTTCTTGAGCTGCTCAAAGCAGCTGTTATTTTGTTGCTGTAACTTCAGCTCAGAGCGAGTGAGCGAGAGAGAGAAAGAGAGGAAAGCTTAAAGCTCAAGCTTTGGTTTGTTTGCTGACAGTTAATAATTCACTTTGTTTATTTGAGAGAGAGATGTAAGTAAAAGACAAAAATATTAATTGGGAAGGGAATAGGTAATACAACTATTCCCTCTACTTTCGTTTGTTCAAACGTAACTTCAGACCATCCTTGGGCACCATGACGGGAGCTTCATCGAAACGGAACTCCACCTCCTTGCGCGGGGCCTGAACCAGATCAAAATTCGCCAGAATCTTGGCCACTGCCACCTTGGAGTTGACCTTTCCCATGCGTAGAGCTGTGAAAAGTGCAGAGAAATATATAGGAGCAGCTCGAGCCAGGCTAATCCAGAGTGGACTCTCACCTATGCAGTGCCTGGGACCCTCGCCGAAGGGCATGTAGGCCGCCTGGTCATAGTTCATGTTATCCGCATCGAAGCGGTGCGGATCGTAGCCCTCGGGATTGGGGAAGTAAACAGGGTCCCGATGGATGCCAAAGAGCGAGATGAGAATGGGCGTGCCCCTGGGGATGGTGTGACTGGTGCCCGGCACGGGATACTCTTCGGTGCACACTCGATTGAGGAAGGGCAGACCAGGATACTTGCGCAGGGTCTCTGGCATGGAGATACAATATAATCAGCGATCAGCGATCAGTGGTAGTGGGAGTGGGAGGCGAAGCACTCACCCATTAGGCAGAGATCCAAGAACTTGAGGTCCTGCACCGCCTCATAGGTGAGCTTGTCCGTGCGCTGGAGATTGTGCCGCTGAAGAACTGCGTCCAGCTCGTCGCGTGCCTCCTTCAGCAGCTCCGGGTACATGGCCAGCTCGTAGAGAGTGAAAGCGGCCGCGGCCGCCGTCGACTCCGACCCAGCGACGTAGAAGAGGAAGGCCTGTGCCGCGATCTTCTCGATGGACATGGCCTTGAGCTCCTCCTGGGCCGTCTCGATGTCCCACACCTCGTCGTCATCCTCGCCAATCTTGCCCGTGTTGCGCAGGCGGATGAGCAGCTGCAGCAAATCCTTGCGTACCACATTGTTGCGTTCCCGGAACTCGATGGTGCGCTTCATCATGTCCCGGAGAGCGATGAGGATGGGGCTCTCATAGCCCAGGCGGTTCATCAGCTTGGCAACGCTGTGGGAATGTGGGGAATCATGTAGATATGCTTCCAGAATCGGAGATTGCAGATTTCAGATTGCAGATTGGAGACACTCACGGCGGACAAATGAACATGGCCAGGTTATGCATCTTGAGCAGCCGAGAGTTGCTCCGAGCCTCCTCGTTGCTGATGGCCCGGAACTCGTTGTTTGGATCGCTGAAGCTGTCGATCTCCAGGCCAAAGATCACCGACCCAATGATGTCCACCGCATAGGTGGTCATCATCTCCTTCATCTCGATCTCATTGTCCGCCCCCGCCTCCGCCCCCTCCAGCACACCCCTCAAATGCTGCACCATCTTGTCGCCCACATCGTCGATGGTGCCGAACATTCCCTTGATCTTGCCCGACGAGAACGAAGGTGTCAGCTTGTGGCGCAGGTTGCGCCACGAGCTTCCTTTCAGGTTGAAGAGGTTCGCGTTGAGCGGATCGTTCTCCTCGTCCACATGGAGTCCGCGATCATGGAAGCTGGCAAAGTCGCTGGTCATGATCTGACGCGCCAGCTGCGCATCTCTCACCAGAATGCTCGGCCGGTTCAACAAATAGATGCCAACGATCTTGCCCTCGTGACGTTTGTATATGTCGCTCAGGGCCATGCCCAGACTCCTCTCCCTCTTCAAAACAGTGTTCAGTACGCCCATTGGGGTCTTGGCTTTCTCCTCATCCACGCCCAATCTCTCCCAGCTGCTGTACTGCCGCATCAATAAGTGATACAGCAGGCCCAGTGCCAGTATTAACAGTAGAATAGCCCACATCCTCTATCCGCACTTCTCTACAATGCACACCGTAGATTCTATATGAGGCGTCTATATGGTATATATGCCGCGCCTCGATAAGCTTTGCGAATGAGCGATAAAATGCAACTGCAACTGCAACGAACAGAGATTCCCATTGCATGCCAAAGTCCATAAATGGGAAAGCTGGAAGAAGCTTTTGGCTCTCCGGAACTCTGCTTTCGGCTTCGGTTGAAGAGATTCGATGCAGTGCAGCTACAGGCATGTACAGGCATACATCGATACTGGTGTACACCCAAGAATAGGAGCACAACGTTAATTATATTAATTAAAATTAAAATTTATTATTATTTTCTCTCATTTGTTCGCTTGAAGTTCCAGGGCCTGACGCTGCTTTCCCAGTTTCTTTTCGTCCAGCTGCTCCTTCTCCACCTTGCGGAAGCGCTGCCAGCGTCCGTTGTCCTCCACCTCGCCCCTCTGCAGCCGGAAGAGGGTGCGCTTGTACCAGCTCAAGGAGATGTGTCGCCCAATGAAGCATCCACAGGCGCCGCAATAGTGATTGACATCGTGACGTCCCGTCCAGCGAATGGGATTGCTAAACGGAAAGCACCCAGAGACATGAGAGAGAGAGAGAGAGAGAGCACGTGGCATCGTGGGGCCTACCAGCAGAGGAGAACGTTCAGGGTGCAGGCGATTTTCTGCAGACAGGTGACGGCCTCGCGCTCCACGCGCGTCATCTGCCACAGTCGACAGGCGGGGCACTGCAGCTCCTGCGGTGCGGTGGTCAGGTGACCCACCTGTGGCACGGCCGACACGTTGCCGTCTTCATTCTCGTAATCGCAGACACTGCCGTCCAGGCTCTCGGTGCTGGCCATTTCACAGCGACGACGCACAGACCTCTACTGACAACAGAGGCAACAGAAGCAGCAGCAGCAGCATCAGCAGCAGCAGCGGCAGTGTATCTCAATCTAATTCTGGGTGGATCGTAGCGCTGTGAGAGGGAGAGCACGCGATGATTTTTGGAAGAGGAGCCAGCCAAGTGGTGGCCGAATAAAAACGCGTTACTTGTTAAAAAATTGGACAGCAGCTGGGCGATGGCATTTATTTATAGATCACTTGTATAATTCTAGAGAAGCGGCATGTCGGGCGTCGGTCGTCGGTCGGCTAAGTGGGACGCCAGTGGAAGCCCAGATGTCCGCCGCATCTGCTGCAGAAGACCCGTTTGGTCTTGAGGCGACTCTGCAGGCACGAGTACACAAAGGTCAGGGCGAAGATCGGGAAGCAGCTGCAAGTGGATTGAGAGTTGGCATAGAGATAGCTAGGATAGAGAGGACAGAGAACACTCACCAGGATAGGGCGGAGAGCAGACAGCTGAGCTGGCCCAGGGCCCCAGTCATCTCGACCGTCTCCGTCTTGGAGTCCTGCTGGCAGAGCGGACAGCTCACCTGGTAGCTGCTGGGGCCAATGCTGAAGAAGCGCACCTGCGGCTTGCCAGCATTTCCCTGCAGCGTGGCCGTGGTGGCCGCCGAATTGTTGTCCAGCTCCAGCTCCAGGTCCAGATCCACCTCCTCCAATTCCTTACTCGGCTCGCTCGGCATTGCGACTGGCCAAGACAGCGGGCCAAGCAGTTTGGCCATCGGTTGAGCACGCGACGCGCCACCACAGAGATCACCGAAGAGCGAGGATCGTGCCAAAGAGACAACCGAAGAGCGGAAGATCGAACCAAAGAGATTCGGCGAAAAGTAACAATTTATATTTCTTTTTGGGAATGTATGTATCATCTTCTCTCGTTCCAAGGTCAACAAAACTACTTAAAAATAATAAAAACAAAATAAAACAAACGAAAAACATAGCTTCCCCCCCCCCCTTCGATCAGCCATTGTCATTGCCGCTTCCAGGCACCCAAGAGATAGCCGCACTTGCCACAGATGACCTTGCAGTCGTCGTTGGAGCGTCGCATGCAGCAGGGATAGATGGGCAGCAGGGCAAAGCAGCTGCAAAACAGGCAGAGACCAGCATTAAAAGGGGTGGGGCTCGGAATGACTGTAGCACATCCCTCCTCCTACTCACCACATGGTCAGTAGTCGCTCCAGACGCACCCCCTGCTCGTGCAACCGCTCGTGGCACTCCGGACAGTACATCTGCCGCAGGCAGCTGATGTTGGTGGCGGCAGGCGCGGCCGGTGACACCTTCTCGGCCAGCTGGCCCGTGGAGTTGGACTTCCTGCAGAAGTAGGAGTCCGGGCCGCGATCAATGTCCGCATAGCCATAGGGATAGCCGCGATGTGGGGGCGTGCTGGCCGCCAGGAGCAGCTTGTCCAGGGCTTGGGCCGACTGCTGCTTGGCCTGGCCGCAGCTGGCATTCAGGTTGATCTCGACCAGCTCCGAGTGGAACTCCTCCTCCCACTGGGACGGGGACAACCGCGACGGCGTCGGCGACGGCGACGGATCCTCGACCTGCACATTGAACTTCAGTTGCCGACTCATGTTGTTGAACTGACGAGACAATATTTTCTATTTGCCTATAAATTGGGTTATTTTTCCCTTACAATTGAAACATTCAAGACATCAAAAACATTGGACGAATGTTTGCCGAGCAGGGGGCAGGGGTGATCTATCTATTGGCCAAAAAAACCAGTTGTTCATCTGTTTTTGTCAGGCCCCCCTGCGCCGACTCGCAGACTCTGTTTGTCTAACACTATTTTCATGGCTGCAAAGTTAACGGCTCTGCGCACTTGAATCCAAAGTCAAAGCGATGAAAGCTCCACGGAAGCTCCCCCTCGAATCGAGTGGGTGGCAAGCACAGCTATTAGGGTGGTCTGAAATATGTATTCGGAAAACAATTATGGCAGGGGCAAAATTATATTGCGAAGTGCAGTAAAAATACTCTTTCGATGCAGAACCTGAAGAGAATTAATTCCAAAATCTATTTTGTATATAATTGGTAGTATTTTCTCGCGCTCTTTCATCTCTCACTAATCTCATGCCACAACTGGCGAGATTGCGATTCGTTTCGCTACCCCTAACCACACCTATTTCTGGTTATAGATTACACATTTAAAATTACAAGGCGAGCTGCTCCCCATTCCGCGACAATCTGTCAACACTTCGTCGCTTATTCATCAGCGGTACGTACATACATACGTACACAGTACTGCTGTACGAGTATTGGTGCACAGGGGCAGTGCTGCGAGGTGAATCATCATCTTCTTCAGCGTAATACAATCGCACTTGTCCTCTCTTAATCAACCACACAATAAAAACCGATACAGCTACAGATGGGAACCTTTTATGGATGCGGCTGAAAATCCCCTCTTGCTCGGCTTTCCGATAAGATACTGATAGTGGCGCTCGAGGGCAAGGTTTTCTAGGCCTCCACTCTCAGGCGGCTCCTCAGTGCAACGCCAACCAGCAGGCCGAACGGTACACAGCATTTTTCAAAAACAAAGAGAACGAGACATGGACAGCAAGCAGCCTCCACCGTACAGCGAGCAGAGCGGATTCACCCCGGCGCAGACATACCAGCCAGGTGGACCCACACAGCCGCCGTTGTACCCACCCATGCCCCAGCCGCCACAGCAATCCACGGTGATCATTCAGACGACTACGACCTCGAATCTGGTGCCGATCGGCAGCGGACCCACCCGCATTCGCTGCCCCTCCTGCCACGCCGATGTTCTGACCACCGTTAAGAGCACCCCCTCGGGACGAACCCACTGCTGGGCGATGATCCTGTGCCTGTTCATGTGAGTAGCGACGGCCATGAAATGTGCCCCCCCCCCCCACGACCCCACAATGTGTGCAACGGATCAGCCATATCAGCCAGCAGTATGAGTAAATTCGCTGTTCTCGAACAGCAGGTATTGTAAATAGTGTTTGTACATAAGAGTCACACTCTCTTATCGCCAGATACATAGACATAACATACATATGTACATATGTATGTGCGGGTGTACAGGCCTGAGTGATGTGTGTACGAAAGAGAGTCAGTCGACTGACTTGTGGTTGTGGGTTGTGCTACCCACCAACACGCGAAAGCGTTGTTATCTCAAGTGGAAATGGAGTTGAGTCAGATAGGAAATTGACGTAGAGCAGTAGAAATAGCCAGACACGTTCCTTCCATCGATTGAGTCGATTTAGTTGATTTATTGGCCCGAATTACACCCACTATGTACTGTTATCATTACTATGAATCACTCACCACAAAGAACGGAGTTTACTCACTCGCTGTGTATCTCTTTCTCCCCACAGCTGCTGGCCTTGCGTGTGCCTGCCCTACTGCATGGACTCCTGTCAGAACGCCAACCATTACTGCCCCAACTGCAGTGCGTACATCGGCACCTTCGAGAATTAGTTATAATGTAAACATATACGAGCGCTATCCATTAGCCAGCGCAACTTAATCAACTGTAAATATAATCACGAGAACCCACATTAAACACAAGATTCCAACAGGAAAAAGAAAAAAGACAAACTCAACGATTTGTTTACTTGCTTTAGCTCTTCTGGCATATAGCATATATAATGTGTCTCACTTGCTTATGTATAATCCGTCCATAAGTTTTTTCTGGCTCAACTTTCTGTATGTCCAATCCAATCAATATGGCAGCAGCCCCCCTTTAGCACCCATTTGAACTGCCATTAGCGATTACTCAACTCAGACTCTATCGCTGATTAGTCAGAAGAGATAACTAGCTGTGATAGTACGCACTACATACACTCAGCCACCACAAATGGGCGCACCCGGAACGGGTTCAGTGTATGTCATACCATGAACATGAACACCACCTCGCAGGTGGTAATTACCGCCGAAACCTTTGAGCCGGTCTGCCAGCCAATCTCCCTACCACCCGGCACCGTGGTGGCGACCCAGCAACCTATTTCTAGCCGCACTCCGATTGGGACAGGAGATAGCTCGCTGAAAGTCGGCTGGCAGCCGATGCAAGTTCGGTGTTCCTCCTGCCATGGTGAGGTGCAGACCAGCCTGATTATCGCCTCCACAAAGACCACCCATCTGTGCGCCTTGATACTGTACATTTGCTGGTAAGTGGATTCGAGTGTGCTACTACTGGGTACTCGGATTAACAGATGAACTTGATTTTAGCCTCTGGCCATGCGTCGTCCTGCCCTACTGCTTCAACTACTGCAAGAATGTGCGACATTTCTGCCCCAACTGTGGAAACTACATAGGGACCTATTCGATTTGATTTAGTGTTAAAATTATCCAAGCCGCTATTAAACGATTCAAAATGAACAGTTTTTAAAAGCTCTGCTTCAGTTTTTTATTCAGCTGTTGAAAGCTCTGCAAGAAGAGCCAGCAAACGATAAATATCTATCATGCCTATCGATAGGCCATAGATAGCATAGTCTCTCGCATTTGCGCATTCCTCCTCGTTCAACGTTCGTTTTCTTTTCAGTTCAGTTTCAGACTCTTTCCGTGTGTTTACTTCTTGCTTTGCATTTTCTGGAAGAAGAAGACACTGCGTTATCGCGAGAACTGTGCATTAAATACAGTTGTGCGAGCTTTTGCAGTTCTTTCGAGTTAAAACGTTTCGAGTATCCAAGTTGTTCGAGCAGATATGGCAGACTACAGCAAACTGGGATCGCCACCGGCTTACATGGACGAAGCCTCGGCTCCACCGCATTCTGAAATGATTCACTATGCACCACAGCCGATGTATCCGCCGCTGCAGCCACCGCCTCAAGTGGCACCGGTACAGGTTGCACCTCCTCAGGTGGTGCACCACACCACCACTGTTGTAGTTGATAGCCAGGGACGCGGAATGGTCTGCCCCCAGTGCAATGCCCGTATCCGTGTGCGCACCGATTTCCATCCCACGGGCAAAACCTACTGCCTGGCAGCTCTGCTCTGCCTTTTCCTGTAAGTAACACACACACACACACACAACTCAAAAGCGATGAGTAATCGTCGAACGTGCTGAATAAACAAATTGTGCTTTTTGTTTCCGTTAGGTGCTGGCCCTGCGTCTGCGTTCCCTGCTGCTGCAACTGCTGCTACAAAACCAGCCAATTCTGCCCCAACTGCAACGCCTGCCTGGGCTCCTTCTAAGGAAAACCAAACCAGTGAACATTCGACACTCATATGTATGTACATAGATATGTGTGAACGTACATAAATTACATACTAAAATAATCACATAAACAAACATACATACATACGTAAATATGTATATATGTACTGACATTTGATCATACAATACTCGACGAAGTACGGAATAAACAGAATCGTATTTGTGCTTACAGCAAGCGAAAAATCAAATAAAGGCTTTGCAAGCGAAGCAGATTCCAATTCCGGGAATCCCATAAAACTAAATCGGCAAATTTTTGCTGTTGTTTCTGTTGTTGTTTCGGACCTGGCAACATTGTTGCTGCAGCATGTTGTGGTGGGTCGTGTCCGACTATCGCTTGTTGGCTCACGTGCGACTCCTCGGCTTTCCAATTGCGAATTTCAAATCATTTCCATTTTGGCGGCTCCAGGTTTCAGACTCTATCTCTATTCCGAAAAGTTGTTCTTGTGTGGTTGATAAGAAACTTGTGAGTATAAACAAATGTGCACCTGTAGAGGCTGTGTTAAATATCTCAATTAGAGTTCAGGTTTAGAGTAGATTTGATACGGTTTTGCAGCCCAACACCTTAAAAGGTCTTGTCCTTCGCCCTGACAGCAGTAACTGAACCAAGACACGCATAGATAGGCAAGTGTCAAGGGATTGTGAGGGCGGTAAAGCAGTGTGGCCGGGCACACCCCCATCAGCCTAATGATGATAATAACGCCGTAACGAGTTTGAATATAAATAGATGTTTTTTTTTTTTGTTGATTTTGTGAGGGAAAGCCAACAAAATTGCCAAAGGTACTAGCGCGCGCCGTCTTGTCCAGAACTAATACGCAGAAAGCGAAAGGAGATAGCGATGGAGATGAGGAATACAGAAGAGAATGACGGCATCCATCTGACATCAGAGGAACGACGAAAGGGTATCTGGTCTGCTGCGCCCAATGGATGACATCAGAGGAAGTCCAGAGCGGCGCTGAAATGTTTGGGAGTTGAATTGAAAACACAACAAAATTAACAGAGATAAGGTCGCGCACATGTGTCGCTTCTATGCAATTATAATCGCCTGCATTGGGTGTTATAGAGGGTCACTGGGGGGATAATTTGAAACTAAAATAATTCATGTTTCATGTCCAACTCCACTTGCACTCGCACGCGAACCAGTAGTTGTACCCGCGGGACTCAAGGTCGGTGGTGCAGTGCAGCAATCGATAATCAGTTGGGTCTTTCGTTCTCTGTCTGCGCTCTTTGCAGCAGCAGCATCATCAGCGTCATGTCCACACCCGTCGGTCCGGAGCCCAGCAGCCTGATCTGCCCCAGCTGCCGCCAGAACGTGACCACGCGCACCGAGCCAAAGGCCTCGACCAAGACGCACTTGATTGCGCTGATCATGTGTCTGACCTGGTAAGTGGCAACGAACCCAATACGGCAATCTGTTAATTCTAATTCTCTTCCTCCCATCGCTTAGCCTCTTTCCCTGCGCCTGCTGTCTGTACTGCACCGAATGTGCTCGCAACACGGCACACTTCTGCCCCTCCTGCAACGCTTATATTGGATCCTACGAGCGTTGAGCCCTGCCCTGCATTCCCTGTTCTGCTGCCCAGCAGCCCTGCCGGAATGCTGCGCTATTTTTCTTTATCGCAATAGTATTTTTGTATATGTCGTTGCCTCGCACAAGCATTTATTCCTATGCAGAATTTTGATGTCAAGCAAAATACTGTAGTACAAGATTAAGCTTATTTTGGTCCACAGCACAGAAATAAAGATTATCCGTTTAACTTTTCACAAAACTAAAGCTTAAATGGTTCTTTGGAATTTCTAAAAATTATTCGTCGCCTATCCCAGACTTAGACTACGCCCATGCTCGGTACACATGTGTATGACCATTAAGTTCAGGGCCACGTGTCGCAAATTGGAGTGCCCCCAAATGGCTAGAAATTAGTGGTAATGGAGGGTTCTTCGTCATGGTTAGGGGACAGCAGGGAACACGGCATGTCGGCTGTCGGATATAAAGCAGGGCTAGGCACGCTCCTGTTGGACTACTCAGCCATGGACGTGGACCTCAAGAGAACAGCCTACTACCCCTATTTGGGGGCGCAGGAGCCTGTACTTGTGCCAGGAACGCAGCCCAATCCTGTTCTGGTGATCAATGCCAATGGTAAGTGCGGCAGGGGCTGTAGAAATGATTCTATTAATCAGATTGCTGCTGCAGCAGCAGAGGCACAGCCGAAGCTGGGACCTGTGGCTCAGATCTTGTGCTGTCCACACTGCCGATCCACGATGGAGACCCGTCTGGAGCCGCGAGTGACCAAGCATACCCATGCCTTTGCCTTTGCTCTCTGTCTGACGGGGTGAGCGATGCCTAACACAAGAGGAGATCGTGTTTCCACTCAATCTCCCGCCTCCTCCACTTTTAGCCTGTTCTGCCTGGTGCCGCTGCCGTACTGCCTGAAGAGCTGCCAGAGCGTGGACCATTACTGCAGTCAGTGCAATCGGTTTCTTGGAAAGGCTTCCAGTTAATCTTTGGCTCATAATAAGCACATTCTTTCAGCAAAACTTAAACTCATAATAAGCACATTCTTTCAGCAAAACTTAAACTTGCAAAGGCCAAGTATATTTCAATCTTCCACTGAACTTTCTTTACACCACTCTGATAAGAACGCCCACATCAAATCGCATCCCACATATTTCCTCATTTATTCCGCGCAACACATACACACATATACTTTGAACTTGTGAAATCCCAATGGATGGCCCACAGCTACACAGCGCCGGAGCGGGAAATTCAGTTTCGTGCCGGACATCGAACGCTTCACACACTCGACGGAAATTGGCACAGCCATTGTAAGATTATAAGAGCATGGATCATAAGGGCACCGCTCCACCGGCATACGACCAAGGTTATATCCAAGCAGCTCCCCAGCAGATGGTTGTCCAACCTGCGATGCAAGGTGAGTAGGACAGTGCAGGGATTCCTCGTGTTTACTCATGTCGTCCCAATTCGTCGCGCAGCCCCCAACGTGCTGGGCGATATTCCGGCTTTGGCCACATGTCCGAGCTGTGGCGTCCGAAGGCAGACGGCTCTCACCTTTGAGGCCAACACCAAGACTCATCTTCTGGCGCTCGGCATTTGCCTGTTGGGGTACGTAGCACTCAATCGAAGCAGGATCGCCACGGAACTAATCATTCTCTTTGCAGGGGCATATGCTGCTTCTGCATTCCCTACTGCAACAAATCGTGCCAGACGGCCAAGCACAATTGCAGCAGCTGCGGTGCCTACTTGGGGTCCTACAACAACTAGATTCGAGAGGACCTTTTTGATTTTGTTTCACTTTCAATATATTCCCACACAATGTTGCGACATATGTACATACATATACATATGTACTTGCACTTACAAACATATATTTCTACACATGCATATGTACTATATTAATTATGAATAAAATCACCAATTAGCATTCCCATTCAAGCCTTATCAGCGGGGCTTTGCGATACTTCCAAGTATCGTGGGACTTGAACGGAAACTCAAAAGATTAAAATGACGCAGAGCAGAGCTGGCTCCAGCCTCAGTACCGAATCGATGTTTGCTCGGAGAAGACCTGCAGGCAAAATGCGCTCGCAAGAAGTCTATAGAAGTCTCACACAGCCGCCGGATGCTCCGGGTCCGCCGCCAGAGCCTGCGCCGGAAGAGAGTGCTGACGACAGCTGCCCCCACTGCGATGCAGCCCCAATGGTCGGCCAGGGGCATTCGAGGCTAAGTTGGTGGCACAAACTACGTGCGACTCTATCGTGAGTATTCACACAATATTCACACTGAATTTCCCTATTCCCTATTTCATGGAGTCCGTTTTTCCAGGCGGCCCCTCTGTTGCTTTCGCCTCCGATACAAAACGGTCTATAAGTGCAGGTCGTGCGGGTGGCGGGGTTCGTCACCCAGGTCCCCGAAAAGATGCAGCTATGAATGCAAACCGACTATAGGGATCGAATCGCAAATATGAGATTATATTGCTGAAAGATGGCTATTATTTCACGAGTTCCTATCATCACACTCGCACAACTACGTCAATATAATCACCGATTATACTCGGATTATTGTTAGAATGATAAGTTTCATCAAGTTATGGCTGTAGGACCAGTCCCATTCAGGATCTTAACAGAAAAACCAAATATATAAAGTATTATTTGCCAAATCTAAAGAGGCTATATATATATGTTTTTGGATATTTTTGGCAGGAGGTACATTAAAAGGGAAGAGACAGAGAGACGCGTTTGGGAAAGCTTTCCGCAACTGGTGGCACAGTTTTTGCGCAGAAATACTGAGAGAACTGTTGCATCGTGTTGAGAGAGCTGTTGCATCAGGAGACATGTTGCGAGAGCTGTTGCATCAGGAGTCATCAGCCACATGTTGGTCCGCCTGGGCTTATCGTTCATTGAGTAAACCTATGCAGAAATTGTAAACAATAAATCAGATATCATGGCTGCAGCGTAATGGATTACATTAGTAATTTAGTTCATTGTTTATTGCAATGCTACTTCGCCAAAATCTACCACTCCTCCAGTTCCTCCCACAGGCCCAAATATTCGACCAGCTCCTACAGCTCCACTGCTGTCACCGCCTTCTCGAGACTTTTGTGCAATCAGAACATCTTTGAATTAATCAATCAGAATTATCTTAGCTAAATGGACGATCCCAGCTACAATTTCATCTCATATTTGATTTGTTTAAGGGTTTAACACTTGAAATCGCCACAGAACTATCCGAAAAATTAAATATATGCCCAGAAACCTGTGTACATATAAGTATGTTGCACATATAGCTAATATATAGCTAATTCCCGGGACTGAAAGCTATCCTCTTAATGGAGCTTATGGCAGGTGATGGCAACATTGTTGCACAGTTGCACACAGGCTGCATGTTGCACATACGTACAAATAACTTTGGAGTTTTTGGTCCAGGAATCAGTTCTCTGTGCGACGTCTCTACTGCTGTTCGAAAGTGCGCAAAACTGCATCTCGTTCATCCGAAGGTCCATCTGCAGCCGCTGATAAGCGCACAAAAGCTGTGCACCCCATAGCTTTTGGCCTTGAACCATTTTTGCGTGGGATACCAGGCGCATCCAGAGGGAAGCTGAGCAGGATAGAGCTAATTCCCACGCAGAGTTCTATTTTTGGGCTGAGCCTTGCTGAGCTACAGCTACTATTTCATCAGAGTCGGAGTGTGCTGCGGCATCATTCGCTGCTTGAATGCCGTTCAAATTGCTGCCACAATACGGCCCGGCGTCACTTGTTGCATTGTTCGTGGACTGGCGTGAGAACTTAAAGAAGGAGATAAGAGCCAATGTGCTTGCCGCTAGGATGGGACAGTACCGGGTTAACCACAGGTACCACCGCATTCCCATCGAATGCTGTCCCCGATGCAAGTCAACGGCCGTCAAGTTGGAGTTCCGCACTAGTCGCTCCCAATGGAAGAAACTAAAGAAGAATTTGGTGTAAGTAATGCGGCTCCAAGTTACATTATGTCCAAAATAAATAAAATATTCCCTTGGTATTCCTTGCTTTCAGCGAACTATGCTTCTGTCGGCCATATATTCCAGCGGGCATGTATAAGCAGGGTCACACATGCCGATCCTGTGGCTGGATGGACGTAATAAAGATATGTTAAAGGAATATCCAAAATTGATAACATATATATCCACATTATATACTCACAAATATCTACACCATATCCAAATATTATTAATTACGATGAAATATTAATCCCAGTTCTTCAAAGTTATTCCCACTTGTTGTTTCTGCCTTATTAAAAAGGGTGGGGAGGGAGGGAAAGCATTAAGCCAGAGACAAGCAACGCATAGATAAGACAGCGCAAAAGCTAGCGGTGGAGCTTTTGGATAAAAGCTTTATTGTTTCGGCAAAGTATTGTAAAGTGTTGTGGCCCGAAAGCAAAGTCTTGAAAGTTCGTCGCTCGAATTCAGTTCTCTGTCGACCATCAAACGGAAATGCAGTACAATCAGCCACAACCTGGAGCCGGTGGCTATCCGTACCAGCCGCAGCCCCCAAGCTACGAGCAGGCCATACATGTCCCGGGTCCGGCTCCCGTCAGAGTTCAGGTGCAGGGTGCACCACCACCACCCGTGGTGATCATTCAGCGTGAGTGGGCAGCATCTGTTTGCAATTTCCCGGCTTGGGGCTCAGTCCATGATTGATTCCAGATCAAGCTGCTTTGCCGGTGGGTCCTGATGCCAGCTTCATCACCTGTCCCCACTGCCATGTCCAGAAGCTGACCCGCGTCGAGTATGCGCCCAGTGTGCGCACCCACTGCATGGCCGCCCTCCTCTGCCTGATTGGGTAAGATCTGCTCTCGCTTGTGTCTCGGTTATCTAATCTTTAATTGGTCCACGTAAACAGCCTCTGGTGCTTCGCCTGCCTGCCCTACTGCGCTACCAGTTGCATGAATGCCAACCATTTCTGCGGCAACTGCAACAAGTTCGTGGGCGTCTACAGCAGCGACTAGCAGCTTTCGGGCATCGATACTTTCAGAATAAACAAGCCGATCCATTCCAATCCATTCCAATCCAATCCAATCCAATCCGATCACATCATCACATAGTATCATACGAGTGCGAACATTTTTGCCTGGGTGTCGGCGTCGACAGACGAAAGACATTTTGCTCCCCATAGTGTAAACAATCGGGCAAGAAAGCTTTTCCACCACTAAACGGCTTTTATTGATAAGAATGCGATACGAGTCAACAATTTTTCGGTGCGTTCCATTGCCATTGACGCTCACCGACGAGTCATTTGTCCATTCACGCCCAGAAAATCAATATGGAACCCGTTTATCCAGCCGCTCCACTGGAGGCTCCGAAGGGCACAGGAGACGTCCTGGCCGAGCACCAGCAGCTACTGACACCGTCACCTCCCAGCTACGATCAGGCCACATCCTCTCCGGCGCTCACCACGGGACCCGCAGCGACTCCAGCTCCAAGTGCAGCTCCCGTCCAGCATACAGTGGTGGTGGTTCCTGGATCAATCTACGGGCCGGAGCCCCTGGACATTCAGTGTCCCTACTGCCACAACTATGCGCGCACCCGCGTCTCCTATCGGCCCAACTCGCGCACCCATCTGATAGCCCTGATTCTGTGCCTCTTCCAGTGAGTAATGCCGGGGAGTGTCCGCTGCTTCTGCTGCGTTTATCTGATTCCGTTTATCTGCTCCTATTACAGGCTGTACTGCTGCGTGTGTCTGCCGTACTGCATTGGCAGTTGCATGAACACCAACCACTACTGTGGCATGTGCGACCACTACCTTGGCAGCTACCAGCGCAAATGAGGATGGGCCTGATACCATGCTCTGGAGATGGGCTTCTTTCCTCTTTGTCTGTTTCCTCGCTCTTTTCATGCTTACACATTTATGTATAAAAAACGCTTAGATAATAAACTGATGATGGTCTTTAGCCAATGTTCACTGTACTTCAGATAGGTTGGGTATACATCCCTCCCCATTCATTGTGTGCATTAGATAAAGCTTCAGGCCAAAAAAACTCGTACAATTTTAAAGATATTTTCCGTTTTGCAATTGCCGAAAAGGTTGCCCAACCAGCCTCTCTCCCTTCGAAAGCTTTCAAGCTCGCTCTGTGGAGCGCGATCTAAGCCAAAACTTGAATCTGTAGGCAGTAGCTAGCAGAGAGCGAAACAGAAGAGACGACGAGCGACGCCAATCTGCGAATTCGCATCAATAAACAAAAACCAAGTTGGGATTACATATACACCACATACACACATTCATACATATGCATATATGTATATATAGAGGTGGAAGAACTTGAATCTCTTACGTGCAAACAATTGAAAGCTGAACTTCGCACTGGACGGCAATGGATCAGAAGCGGGCCATGCTCTATCCGCAGGTGGATTTCAACACGCCCAGCGCACCGTCACCGACGCCGACGACGACGCCAGCGAGGGAGTCGGTTGGGCCAGAGCTGGTGCCCGTGGAGGCTCCGCCATCGTACGATGTGGCAATAGGCACAAACGCAGTGACTGTTCCAGCAATTGCAGTCACCCCACAACCGCCGCAAGTGGTCTACGAGTATGAGCAACCAGCACAGCAGTCCACTGCTGTCCAAATGGGTAAGTGATTTCTTGTTAGACTCTTGGTATCTCTGACGTCATGGCTGGCTAATTGCAGAAACACTGAACTTGGGTCCGAATCCCTGCAGAGTACTCTGCCCTGCCTGTGGTGCCCAGAAGACCACACGCATGACTCACACGGCCAATTCGCGGACGCATTTGGGAGCTGGACTGCTATGCCTAGTCGGGTGAGTCCGATCATCGTGGGTTCCATGTGCGCATCCGTGCTAAACATTCTCATTTCTCTTAGGTGGTGCTGTTTTGCCTGCTTCGTGCCCTACTGCATGAACAGTTGCCGCACTGGCAACCACTACTGTCGCAAGTGCAACACTTTCCTCGGCGCATACAGCCCCAGCGGACTGAAATGAAGATAAGACTACGGTGAGATGTGATCTGGTGGTACCTACTCGTACATATAACACAAACAAGAGCTGCTATCTCAGCTGTTTGCCTAGATATTTGCATATGAATATATTAACCATAAACAAAAGCCGCTGCCGCTTACCTTCTTGTTGCTGTCGTCAAGCCTTTGGCGTACCATCTAAGAGCACAGCGTTGGTGGAGGTCGACGTGCATCGTCACTATGCTGCTGCCTAGCCTTAAATAATGTTAAATACTCGAATAGTCTCTATGAAAAACCACAATAAAGCCATGCAAGGGATAAAGAAGAAGATTTTAATTGTTTTTGAATTTTTTGCGCTTGTTTCGACAGTGCTGCCAAATGTTGCCATTCGGGATTTACCAACACTCCAAGACGGCGACTATTCTTTAATCGCCGTTATCTCAACGAAATTTTTCAGATATAAAGAAATATTAAGAGGGTCAAGAATAAAGTCATTTAATAATGTTTAAAAAGTGTTACTTTCCACATTAAATAAAATAAATAGGGTAAGCAAATGTTCTTACTACCTGTTGACTAGCAACAAGTGCTCACGTAACGTAACATACGATTCCCAATACGTTACACTCCAATCCCACTTACGTTTTTGATTGACCTTTTCTGTTTCAACCTTGTTTTATAAACAATAAAATAAAAAAGAGTTCTCAAAATTGGCAAGTCTTCTAGAAAATTGATTCATCAACCGGATAAAATTATATGCTAAATACTGAGAATTATATCTAGTTAGTTTTGTTAAGCCGAATATCAAAATCAAGGAAAATGATTTCCAATCCTGGAGAAGTACCAATTAACCCATTGTCGACCAGTGGATATTTAAATTTTTGTACGAATATCATTTTTGAGTGCAGTTTAGGTGAAAGATATAGAAGTTTTCTTTTTTTAAATAATGAAGATAGATAGGATTGATCTACACTAACAAATTAAAAACGAAATGGTTTAAATGTAAAAATATCATAAAAATTAAAAACAAACCAAAAAAATGTTTTCATTGCTCTTTGACACAAGCTGACTAATATAAAAAAAAAAAAAATTATAACTGCTTGCTGATAAAAGCTGACTGATTTGAAGGAGAAAAATTATAATTGATCGATGACAAAAACTGACTGATATGGCACGAAAAATTATTATTGCTCGCTGATAAATGCTGACTGATGTGAAACGAAAAATTCTTTTTGCACGCTGACACAAGCTGACTGATACGAAACGATTATTTATAATTGATCGCTGATAAAAATTAAAAAAAAAGGGAAAAATGTAAAAACTAGAATGCAATTATCTAAAAGCAATGCGTGTCCTTTGTTATTGTTTACAAATTGAACAATGGAGTTTTTCGCTTCCGTTTTTTTCTTCCAAGACCACATAGCTACAATACCCTGCCGCCAAACTCCAAAGCGACAACTGACGAACGTACTATCAACTTTGTCAATAAAATTTAAATTCGTGTCACGTCATGAGCTGAACGCGGTCAATCCCAGAGCCGAAGACCTGGGACCGTACGCTGAAACCTCAGCTGCCTCACTTTCATTGTATGAACTGGCACATCTATATGTATACCGAATGGTTAGTGTTAAAATGGAGCGGGGTTAAGTGGGCGGCTGATACTTTTTTTCCTCGGTATATTTTTGGTATATTTGTACAATGCGAAGGTATATTTCGGTATTCTTTTTCAATAAATCCGCGGTCACACTGGCAGAAAGTTTTTTCACAACAAAAAACCTCCGATTAAGATACAATTAAGCATCCAATGTGTGTTTTTAGCATTAAGAAACGCTTCTAAGCCAGTTGTGCGTGTCTGCCAGAAGGCTGCACCCCAAAATTGCCAGCATTTGCGCTGCGTTTTGGCAGCCACAACAACAGCAGAAGCAGCAGCAGCAGCAGCAGCGGCAGCAACAACAACGGTGGAAAGGAAAATTCAGCCCAGCTGCATTTCGCTCTATCCCCACCACAGCAGTTTCTATTATGGACAAGAAATCATCGCCCGTTCGACGACAAAAGCGCCAAGCGAAAGTGATTGAAGATAACTTTTGGGACTGCAGCGTCTGCACGTACAGGAACTCGGCCGAGGCGTTCAAGTGCCGCATGTGTGACGTGAGGAAAGGTGAGTGACCTCGATTTCATTTGCGACCACAGCGGCTGCGACTGTGGCAACGGTTGCTGCGTCACATTTCAATTACCCGTGAAGGACGGCGAATAATCGTTCGCTGTGCGCGTAATTTGTTTTCTTTGCTCTTGTGCAATGACGATGTTCTCCTCCACTCACTATCACTCTCTTCGTTCGTTCCCTCCACACCGCTAGGTACCTCCACGCGAAAGCCTCGCCTGAACTCGGCGCTAGTCGCACAGCAGGCAGCCACACTGCCAGGAGCCAGCGGCAACATGCCCAACGGCAAATCCGCATCCAGTTCACGGCACGGGAGTGGACACGACAGGCAGCGGCACAAAAGATACCCGGCCCGCTTGAAGAACGTTGATCGCTCCACGGCGCAGACACGCGAGGTGACCGTCAACTCGGTCACCGTCTTCATCACAGAGTACAAGGCGAAGCCGGTGAGCAGCAGGCGCGAGTCCAGCGAGCAGAGCTTCAGCGAGAGCAACGACAGCCGGAGTTAATTTGGAGCCCGTTGCCAGCCCAAGTCTGTGCTACCTTTTGATATTGTGCGCCACAATTCCCCAGGCCCTGCCCACGCTCCTTCCCCCTCGTCTAAGTGTACAAGTAACAAATTGTAAATTCTAACTGTTAGGCCCGAAACAATTGTAAATCGAAATCACTATAAGTTATTGAGTATTAGGCAACGTTCGAAGCCGAAGGCCCCCCGGTGCATGGCTTCAGCGACTTCCAGCCCAGCCCAGGCGAATGCAGAGCGGGAACAACGACAGAGACAAAACACGCATTTACACTGCATTACCCTCTGCAGGCCAGCCCCCTTCGAATGTGCTACCCTGTATATATTCTACCAGCAGATACATATAGATACGTACCTTGTATATCTGTCTCGTATTGTAATTCTAATCCCTAATTTATTATCGCTGAATGCATCTTCTGTGTATGTATATTTTCAACAAGGATATCGTTTACTGTATAAGTTTTCAATTAAAATATGATTTAAAGAAAGCTAATCTCACTGTTTAGAGCGAATCTGTAAACAAGTCCAAGCCCCCACAAAATGGTTTTTGTTAATACTTAGCCAATGCTGCTGTCAGCTGTCTTTGCGGATAGATCGATGATGCCTGGACAATTATAGACAATTTGATAATTTTAATTCGTTTGTATACAAGACTGATTAATAGTTACCACAAAACACACAGCATGCATGCATGCAGCCTCCACAACCACAGCCCAGGCCACACTCCCAGGTTCACACTTCTGTTCGCCCCCCCCGCCCCCAATAGGCAACCCGCCAAGCAACAATAGATAAATACTCCATCGAATAACAAGAATTTTTGTACTTAGCAGAGCCCCAACAGCTCTCCTCCACCATACAATATACCTAATTAGAAGACGATGAATTTTGATATGAACGATTATATTAAATATTGGATAATGGATATAATGGTTTATAATGTGCTTGATGTTTGCATTTTGAGATAGATTATTTAGCCACAACCTACACACTCCACACACACACACACACACACCCAGGCAACCCAGACAACACACTCGGAAGCCAGTACCTAATGCCAGCACAGCACCAGAGGCTACAGCTCACTCGAATACTGCCTGAGACTGAGTGTTGAATGTGTTGTAACTTCCAGTAAAACAAACTTCAGCTTCAGATTAAAATTAACATTAAAAACTTATACAAATAGTTTATAACTGATGCTTAGAGATGGTCAAACAATAATTAAAGACACAGAAACACACACACTTCCATCCATCCATCCATTCACAGGCTCATAGATACAACTCCCCACCCACACACACACACACTCACACACACACGAACATATACATATGCATACAAAGTTAGTTAAAAACTTAAATTCAAATTGTAAAGCATTCGATTTTAGAGCATTATAAAATACATTAAATAAATTTCAGAAATGCTACTTAAAATCCGTGTTGTGTCGAACATTTTACCTGGCTAGAATTATCTGAAATTATCACGTAATTCTATAGGTTGCACCTATTGGATGGGATTCCTGCTTCACGTTTAAAGTTCTTTAAAGGCAGCGGACCAACAAGCAACCCACAAGCAACCCCTCGCTGTGGATGCATGCCAGTACATCCACCATCGTTCCACTCAAAGACACAGCAGGACCAGGGGACCACCCACGCGTTGCCTTTGTCTATGGCTATGTGTGGGTGTGTGCCAGTGTGGGCCAGTGTCTGTGTGTGTGTGTGTGTGCTCTGAAGGGGAGGAAGAGGACGTGGACGAGGACATCATCTGTGTATCTGCTTACGCGTGCTCTCAGCTTTAGTTTGGGTCTCAGTCGAGACCCGAGACCGAGTTTCAGTTTCAGCTGAAGCCACTGTCTCTCGCTCCTATGTATGGTCGAGGGCTACGCCTTTGGCAGCTGCCTCAACTTTTCGCACAGCGCACATCGCACGCTTCGCAAATAAATTACAAATTGTTTCGTTCCAGCGCAGCTACTACTTACACACACACACACACACACACACACATACATACACTCCACACCAGCTCCACCCCAGCTCCAACTCCATCCTCATCCCCGTTTCTACCTCCTCGGCGACTCCAACACTCTACAGCCCTCACACAATTCGTTTCAAACATTCTAGCCTGACGTTCGAAATTTTCCCGTTCGCATTTTCTCTAAAATGTTAAAATTCACCAGGCCCAGACCCAGACCCAGGCCCTGCCACACAGCTACACCTACACCTACACCATGCCGCCACCCAATGGCCTCCCCCAGGCGGCACAGGACCTGCGTTATCAGCGCCGCACTCTGTGCGCTTATCTTCCATGTACGTTTCGTTCTTGGGTTCTGTTTCATTCGTTTGTTCGCTGCTCCTTGCGCCTCGTCCGCTGTCTCTTGGCTCTCCTCCACCCTGCTGCTGCCGCCTGCCTTCTTATCCGTTTGTTTGTCCGTGCTTCCGCCTCATCTGTGCGACCGTCCGCACATCCTGTTCCTTCTCTGCCATTTCCACGTCCTTGTGTGTAGTTCGGAAAATTTGGTTTTTCTCTAGAAAAGCGGCAGCAGCTAAAAAAGTTGCTGCAATTGGAAAATGTTAAACTCCTTGCGGCCGGAACTCAGCCTTGGGTCTGAGCCTGTGCCTGAGCCTGAGCCTGGACCGGGGACCTGGCTTCAATGTGACGCATACGCGGTGTGGTCCGGCCCGAAGATCGCCTGGAGAATGGACTCTAAAACTTCTGCTGTGGAGCGGCTGCGTTGGATTGGGGGGTGGATGGGGATGTGGGCATGTGGGTAATCCCCGCAAGTAACTTGAGCACTCTATGGCACAGCGCGCACGTGTGCCAGTGCCAGTGCCAGTGTCAGTATCATAGTGTTTGTGCGGGTGTGTATCTGTGCCAGATAGCCGCGAAGGATACTTGAGAGAGACAGAGAAGGAGAGAGTGTGGGCCCCCTTAAAGCTGCGATAGCTCTAGGTTTAAACACACTTTAGGCATTATCCATTTTAATTACATTAAAAAACTTTTTGTTGGCGTAAAATAAATTGGAGCCAAAGACGAGAACGAAGACCAAGATTTGGGGGCTAGGGCAAAAGGAACGGAAAACGGAAAACTTATGTCACTTTGATCCTTAAAAGTAACTTCAAGGCAACTCATGCGAGAGACAATAGGGAACTACCCCCAGCAGCGAATCGGCAGCGACTCCCATCCCAACCCCTGTTAGTGGCTCAGCCTCTTACACTCTCTCACTCTCTCGGTAATCAAGTTTAGTCTTTAAAATTGAAATTCCAGCATTAGGCAAGGAATGCGACAAACGGGAAATACCATCCGAAAGGGGTGGCTGCCTGCCTGACTGCCTGCCTGGCAAAGGCATTGACGGCTGTGCGAGAGGGGTAGAAATTTGCCTTCCTTCGCTTATCTGCCTCGAATGTGCCACAGCACGCATGGAATATACTGAAGAAATCGTTTGCACATTGCCAAATTTAATTTACAAATGAATACGTAAGATTTTCCAGTAGTCACTGCAGCAGAAATTAGTTAAAGAATGAATCGAATCTCAGTACTAGTACCAGCGGCTTTCTCGCTGTTTTCATTGATTAAAGTTTCAAATTAAAGTTGCCCAAAAACAGAAGGAAGAGGACGAAAAATGTATGACAGTCGCAGTGTCACCACCAACCCATAGACCCACGGCCCCACGGCAAGGGCCACATCCACATCGCCTGCCAGGACGAGCCGAGCCGAGCCGTGGCTGGGTCGTCAGCTTCATTGTGTTTATTTCTCATGTTAAAATCAAATTCCCGCGTGTGCAATTTTTCATTTGCCCCGAACCCGGCCCGGACCCGGACTTGGGCCCCGGGCAGCAGTAGCTGGAGCCGTAGTCGGAGCCCAGTGGAGAAATGAAAAGGAAGTGGAAAAATGTGTAAAGGTGCGTGTGGCGGGGTGGCAAGGGTGGCAGGGCTCGCATGGGGTGGGGTGGGGTGGCGTGGTGGTGTGATTGCTTGGCTGATTCTTCCGGCGTGCTGTCTGACGTCAGGTGAAGTCAGCTTAAAGACAAACTTTTCTAACAAACTTTGGCCGCCAGCTTCAAGAGCTTGTTCCTCGCCTTTTCTTGCTTTCTTTTTGCAGTTGAAGAATGGAGTCCAAGATGAGCTGCAGCAGGAGTTGGATGCACGCTGCAGGAAAAGATGGAGCTGGTGGGGCATTAAAGCCATTGCTGGAGATGCTGCTGGAGATGGTGCTCAGCTGCATTTTGGGTAACATTTTTCGATACCTGTCGGCATGTGTCGGGGTGTGCTGCTGCCTCAGCACCAAGAAGCATGCCCCAGCCGCTGTTCCTTGCCCCACAATCTCCGCGTGGCTACTCCTCCTTGGCGCCCGCATAACTTGCGCTCTAAACAAAACAAAAATGCGTTGGCAAAGCGTAGGACCAGAGACAGCCAGAGTCAGAGCCAGGGACATGGACAGAACAAGGGGCTGAGTCAGGGGCAGAGACAGAGACAGAGGCAAAGGCAGCTGGCTGCGATGACTACGATGGTGATGGTGATGGCGACACTGGCAACAGCAAAGGCAACATCAGCGGAATACCCTACAAATCAAACGGAGAACTCCATTTCTGATCTGCATTGGACGTGCACTAAAGCTTACAGCTGGAGGGAGTCGAAAGTAGAAGAGATGCCTGAAAGGAACAGGAAAAAGCGGAAAAGAATTAAAGCCAAATGAGAGCTCAAAAATCCATCAAGGAACTTATACAAAGGTGCGAGGTCCAGTTATCCCTGAAAGGGCATTCTCTCATCGGTGTGGGCGACTAGCAGCCCTAAACTACTCCTGCCCTGGCCATGGCTGGCTGGCTGGCTGGCTGGCTGGCTGGCTGGCTGCTTGCTCCCTGTAAGGACAGCGACAGGCCGACGAGGACGACGATGACTACAACGACGGCAACGGAGGCAACGGAGGCAACGGCAACGAAGGCAACGCCAAAAAGGAGAATGGGGGGAAAAGGCAACCCGAGAAGGGGGAAATGCGATGGTGAGAGGGGAAACGAGGCACGTTATGCGGAGGGAGGGAGGAAGGCAGACACGACACACCAAGTGTACAATAGCTTTAAGCTTAAACTCTCGCACACTTGCACGCACACACAGGCACGGCACAGAGAGACCGACACACAGATACACTCTAAGCATATATTGGGGAATACAGGGCCACAAGCAATTCAAGGGAAAAAGCAACATTTGGTGTTGCCTTTTGCCTTTTGGGTGGCAAGCAGAGAGACGCGAAGCGATGCGACCCAACCTTGGGGCCCATTTGGGGCACGATCGGAGCAGAGCCCCCAATAGGGGGCACCCTGTATGCCCCACTGGTAGTGGGTAGTGGGGAAGAAAATTCACGGACGAACGCTATATGTCCAAGTCCAAGAAAGAAAAATACTCGCTGCGACAACACTCCAGTGGAGTGCCAGGGATGGCACTTCCTTCCAGCTGCTAACCAAGAGGGGATCTCATTTTGGTATACTGTACGGAACTGGAGACGCGAGTATGGTAGATTGGTATACTGTACGGAACTGGAGACGCGAGTATGGTAGATGGACTCATTTAAGAATGAACTGATTGATATATTAATAAAAAATTGGTTTGGGGTTTGCTTTATTCGCTTAGCTGTTATGGGTGACGACACTCCCCACTGTAGATGTAGATCTTTGGCACATAAATGGGTCACTCTGCCCAATCTCTGACAACGTTTTCCGTATCGGCGATCAAGAAAGTTCTCCTTATCTGGGGAACAACGTAAATTAAATATGATATTAGGCGTTTGTACAGCTGACGACTAGCCAGCGATAAGAGTTCCATTCCGCCACAAATGGGTACTCCACCGGCGACAGAACTACAGCTACAGCTACAGCTACAGAAAACACCCCAGCCCTGGCGCATTGGAGCCGCATTGGAGCAGCAACGCGACTGAAGGCAAGGCAAGACGACTAGCCAGGCAAAGGCAAAGGCAGAGGCAGAGGGAGAGACAGAGGCAGCTCCAGCTATAGCTATAGCTACAGCTACATCTACAACTGGGGAGCTCGTGGAGCTCGGCGGGGTTCGTTGGGGCTTTGGGGGAGCCATCAAGTTGCGAATTCATCGCCACGTCGCTGGGCGTTTGACATATCCCCAATCTTGTTGGGGCTATGCTCCACCAAGTACCCAGAAATCGACGAAATTCAGTGTACGTAGACGGCAGATAGAAAAATTCGTTACTTTATGCCGCGTTCGCCCCCAAAATGGCCCCAAAAAGCCATGCACGCCAGTCATTGGAGCCAAGTTGGTGAACTGCTGGGGCGACTCGCCCGAGAAAGTCTCCAATTTTTCATGTGGAGGCCCCAATGGGGCACCAATCGTCGACTTACTG